ACACAGTTGGTCCGGTCTTAACTTGACCAACCGGTTCCGGCGGGCCTGAATGCCACCTGATTTACACATAAAACGAAGCCGGGTTTTGAAAAATGTAAGTCTTGTATCTGCCCCATTTATTCCTTATAACTTGCACAATGCACCTGTCTTCCTAAAATACATTTTAGCAGGGGTTAAGTACCATAAAAGAGAAGTACAGCCAGTCATATTGTCATGTAGAAATACTACAATTTTGACACAAATTACACATAACACGAAGCTGGGTTTTGAAAGATGTAAGTCGTGTATCTGCTCCATATATTCTTTATGACTTGCACAATGAACCAGTCTCCCTGAAAAGTATGTAATCAAGCACTCTCTGGAGGTCCTGATGGCTGAATCTTGCCCGCAGCCCGAGCCTGCCGAGCCCAAGGCCCGTAGGTCCGAGGGCTGCAGGCAAGGGCAAGATTCAGCCATCATCATGGCAGACAGAGCGTGCTTGATTAATTGATTTCTTACAGCACAAAGCAACATATTAGGGAAGGTTAATGACGTCAAACGGTCCTGAAATTCCCGAAATGACGTCAAACGGTCCTGATGGCCTGATTATGCCCGTGGCGGGAAGACCGCCTATTGGCCATGGCCCCGGCAACGATCACGTGTCATGTAAGAAGTATGTAATCAAGCACGCTCAGGAGGTCATGATGGCTGAATTTTGCCCGAGCCTGCAGCTCAAGGGCTGCAGACAAGAGCAAGATTCAGCCATCATGACAGACAGAGCGTGCTTGATTTGATGTTTTACAGCACGAAGCAACATATTCGGGAAGGTCAAAGGTCGAATTATTCCCGAAATCGGACGTCAAACGGTCCTGAAATTTCCGAATGACATCAAATGTTCCTGATGGCCTGATTATAGGGACCTTTCGCAAGTTGCTACGAATCGAATACGAAACGAAAGTTTGATTCGGCTCGTAATCGTTTCGGTGAAAACAGATTCAGGTTTCGCAAGTCGTCCTGCAAATGTGCATGGTAACTACGAAAACGGCCATACGCGGGTGTTTACACGCACACGTGCATGGATCATGGATCAAGGGAAAAAGGTGTACCTGGCAAAACATGTGTACCTGGCCAAATAAATGTGTACCTGACGGATTCGGGGCGCGCCACGAATGAAGAGGCTTCCATTCGTGAAAATGAGCTCTCTCGCGGCAGGGACTCTGACGAATCCTCGAACCCAGGTGACGAATCAGCATTCGTTTCGTATCCGTACGCGTGATGCGAAAGGTCCCTTATGCCCGCAGCGGGAAAACCGCCTATTGGCCATGGCCACGGCAACGATCACGTGTCATGTAAGAAACAAATTTTTAGCAGGGGTTAAGTACCATTATAAGAGAGCTGCATGTACATCTATAATATAGTAATACCAAGAGTACATAACCCCCAGAGTGTGCAACGCCGATCCAGCTCTGCATAGGGTCTTGGTCGAGCGGAATCGGATCTTCTGATGTCATGCGTACACTCCACACGTACACCAGCGCAAGGCCGGTCTCGAGGCAGGGTACCATTGTTTTTGATCCAAGAGCACCCGCGACTCCCCGGGTTCCCCTCAGATGTGTACGGTATTATGACGCAAAGATCCGATTCCGCTCGACCAAGACTAGGGATGTCCAGATTCTGTTTTCAATTTTTTTTGCATTTTGGGGTAAATCTACTCCGCTTTTGCATTTTCGAATTTTGCCTGTTTCTGCACGGTTTCGACCCAGAAAAGGGCGGTTTTCCTGGGGTTTTTTTCGCTCTACGTCACAAAGTGAGAAACTTCGCAAGAACTTTCGCAACTTTGGCCGCGAAACTTGCAGGGAACGCGAAATGAAAATGTGCAGAACACAAAGTTCATGCGAAAACTTTCGCTCTACGTCACGAAGTGATTACTTCGCACGAACTTTCGCAACTTTGGCCGCGAAACTTGCAGGGAACGCGAAATGAAGCTTTGTTGTCATGGTAACGAACGCATTTTTTCCGCGGTTTGGCTAAAAAAAATTGAATTTTTTAGAACATTTTAGAAAAGCATAAAAAGACGATATGCATTTTGATAAGATTTGGCCGCATTTTGCATTTCAATTTTTCCACAAAAAAACGCGCAGAATCGGGCCAACCCTAACCAAGACCCTATGCAGAGCTGGATCAGGCGTTGCACACTCTGGGGGGGGGGGGGGGGGGGGGGTTATACTCTTGGTAATACTGTCATAAACAGGCAGCACTTTTCCTGCAGCAGTCACACCACCATCGTCATTATTTCGACGGAAATCCTCTTCAGCTCCTACATCGTTAGATACAATGTAGGGCTTTAGGACTGGCTCGTCAAAAATAGAGAACGTGAACAAGCGTGCACGCGACCTCTGACTATTAGTATTATCAAGAGTAGATAAACAAGAGTGTGCAACTCGCGGATGGGTTGGCCCACGGCGGAATGTTTTGTTGACGTAATCTTTTCGACGACGCACGCGCTGCGAGCCTTTTGGAGAGTTTTCCCTCGTGCACTTGGCTGGGCTTTACACTACAAGGTCGGTGCCCAGCACGTGCTCTCACACTGCTCTGCGGCAGAATCCGCGTTTCTCTGAAAAAAGGTGACGTAAACAAAAAATTCCGCCGTGGGCGCGGGCGGGGTATCTGCAGATTGTGCAGGAGAGATCCGGAGTTGCACACTCTTGTTTACATGTATCTACTCTTGGTTTGGGATACCTGAGCACTCCAATACTGAAAAGTGATCAATGCCGAAATCGTTGCCCACAGAAAAAGCACCGTATGTAATCAAGCACGCTCAGGCCAGGAGATACCAGTAAGATCTAGATGGCTGATTATTATTATTATTATTATTATTATTCAGTTTCCTCTGAGACAAAAATGCGATAATACTCATAAAAAGGACACACTTCAGGCTCATTACAAACATCTTGAAAGTTTTCGTCTTCACAAGTATACTGTTTTACCACCTTCTTACTGTATTTAATCCACTGTTCCTGTTCCTTTTCCCTTGCCTGTATTTCACCTGATGAGAAGGCTTGAAAGTATACTTGTGAAGACGAAAACTTTCAAGATGTTTGTAATGAGCCTGAAGTGTGTCCTTTTTATGAGTATTATTATTATTATTATTATTATTATCAAATTTTTGATAGGGCAATCCCCACAGGCCTAAGGCCTTCTTACAGGGTACCCTAGAAATGAAAGTACTGAATTACGGAATAGATGCAGGGAAGAGCATAAGCGGACTGCAGCGGGGAGGGCATTCCAACGGTCGGAACCGATGAAAGAAACTGAAAAGAGACCGAAACGAGTTTTAGCGATTCTTACATGACACGTGATCGTTGCCGGGGCCATGGCCAATAGGCGATCTTCCCGCCGCGGGCATAATCAGGCCATCAGGACCGTTTGACGTCATTTCGGGAGTTTCAGGACCGTTTGACGTCATTTCGGGAATGTTCGGTAGGGTTGGCCCGATTCTGCGCGTATTTTTTGTGGAAAAATTGAAATGCAAAATGCGGCCAAATCTTATCAAAATGCATATCGTCTTTTTATGCTTTTCTAAAATGTTCTAAAAAATTCAGTTTTTTTTAGCCAAACCGCGGAAAAAATGCGTTCGTTACCATGACAACAAAGCTTCATTTCGCGTTCCCTGCAAGTTTCGCGGCCAAAGTTGCGAAAGTTCGTGCGAAGTAATCACTTCGTGACGTAGAGCGAAAGTTTTCGCATGAACTTTGTGTTCTGCACATTTTCATTTCGCGTTCCCTGCAAGTTTCGCGGCCAAAGTTGCGAAAGTTCTTGCGAAGTTTCTCACTTTGTGACGTAGAGCGAAAAAACCCCAGGAAAACCGCCCTTTTCTGGGTCGAAACCATGCAGAAACAGGCAAAATTCGAAAATGCAAAAGTGGAGTAGATTTACCCCAAAATGCAAAAAAATTGAAAACAGAATCTGGACATCCCTAATGTTCGGACCGTTTGACGTCATTTCGGGAATAATTTTTCGACCTTTCGACCTTTCGACCTTTGACCTTCCCCAATATGTTGCTTCGCGATGTAAGAAATCAAATCAAGCACGCTCTAGCGCTCTGTCTAGTCTGTCATGATGGCTGAATCTTGCCCTTGCCTGCAGCCCTCGGGCCTACGGCCCTTGGGCTGCAGGCTCGGCCAAGATTCAGCCATCATGACCTCCTGAGCGTGCTTGATTACATACATCTTGCTCGAGCCTACAGCCCAACGGCCTCAATGGCCGTAGGCCCGAGGGCTGCAGGTAAGGGCCGGCAAGATTCAGCCATCATGGCAGACAGAGCTAGCTAGAGCATAGACTGATAGAGCGTGCACGCGTGCTTGATTTGATTTCTTACAGCACGAAGCAACATATTAGGGAAGGTCGAAAGGTCGAAAGGTCGAATTATTCCCGAAATGACGTCAAACGGTCCTGAAATTTCCGAAGTGACCATGGTGACGTCAAATGGTCCCGATGGCCTGATTATGCCCGCGGCGGGAAGACCGCCTATTGGCCGGCATGGCCATGGCCCGGGCAACGATCACGTGTCATGTAAGAATCATACATACTTTACGGCCCGGGCTTGTGGTCCACGCTTGGAGGTGAAGTACAGAAGGCGAGTAGATTCGCGCATGAGCGACTAATAATCGGACTATGACCTTTCGGACTGGATCTGGACTGGACTGGACTAGTCGAAAAATAACAACGTGCGAGGCAACCCCCTGGTTTGGGTATGACTTCCTCTTATATTAGAAAGAAAGCCTAGCGCCTCTCCAAAAAAGCCTTCCCTTACAAAAATGGACATCTAGCCTATCCTACTAATAAGTAACTGTGTCATTGATAAGGACTCAATGATACATTGAGTGGTCCCGTTGCACGCGTTGGTTGTCCGCGGTATCCCCTCGGATGCCTTCTAGTTCTTGGCAGTCGTGATGATCAGTCTGGTGTCAACAGTTGTATTGCCATTATTGGTACTGTACATGCTGCTCTTCTCCTCGAGACCTCACAATCCGTCTTTTGCCGTTTCACCACTTCCACCTCTTGGTTTCCTTCGTTATTGATCACTGACGCAGAAGAGTTAACACTCTTTCACCGTCTTAGTATGATCTGAAGACAACGCTGAGTGACAGTCCCGGGTTGTCAAAAAAGAAGACCGGGAAGAGGGGCGGCAGCTTCTATATTGCTACACTTTCGTCCAAGTTTCGAAGGAATTCCGTCTCCCAAGTGAATCATCATGACCAAATCGAGCGCTGGCGCTCTTTGCGTCGTCCATATCCTTCTCCTCTTTTCGCTTGTATCACTTCAGACCTGGAGACCAGCCAACGCACAAGGTGAGGAAGTGTGCAAGATCGTGTACAGGTTTCTGGGTATAGTAGATGCTGTGCGTATGGGGGTCTTTCGGTAACCTTTACCTGTTTACTGGTCAATGTTATGTGTGGGGTGACAATATCGCGTGTGTGTTCGCACTATACACCGGAAATTAGTCTAGCCGACCTCACAGCTCTGAAGTCACGACGCTGTCGCGGAGGACATGATGCAAGGAGTAGCATGTGAGCGTCGGCTGACTGGCGGTATTCACCATTATTATACTTCGAACAAGACTGAGTGAGCTCAACATGTATTCTTGCTAGCCAATACTGACTGTAGTAGAAAGGAGGGGAAAGAGGGGAAGGAAATGTCCCATCCAGTAACGTTCGGCATTCTCTGTTGCCGTGGGACATAGCTCATGCTCATATTCGCTGCGCTTTCCTTCCCCTCTTTGTAACTTTCCTAACCAGAGCCTTCCAAGTTGGAGGGTTGTTGGTCTGCACCTCGTGGATGTGTAAGGAGCTAGGTGTCAGGTCGTTGAATCAATAGAGAGGTTAAGATGCACGTTATTTCCGACGTGACGCCCAATTTCACGTCAAATTTGGCATAAAACTCCAAATTTCGACGTGAGCTGCAGGTCACTCATGTTGTTTTTCGACGCGCGAGCCAAATAACGCAAGCTGGACTTTCGCGGCACGTCAGAAATAACGTGCATCTTTTAACCTCTCTAATGTCTCAGTACAGTCACACCTCGCGTATCCGGTCCTCTTTTATCCGAATCCCTCGCCAACCGGAAGAAAATCGCTGGTTACCGATGTGCAGCATATGTTACGCATACAACATAACCGGACCTCGCGATCCGCATACCGGTGCATGATTTTGTGTACAAACTGGTTGAAATGTGTACAAAAAGCTTCGTCGTATCCGGTTGCATGTGGTTTGCAGAAGCTAGAATCAGGGAGTTGTACTAGCAAATGAGGTCCTTGACCTGCTGGATGCATGCGGAGAGTACTCAGTTGCATGTACTTGTTATTTTTCTCGCTTGTTTTATATATGGTGCACGCTAGTTGTGCTGCATAGGACTTATCTGCATGTATGTACGATGTCACTCCTTTTGATATGCCACATGCATATACAGTATGTGTGTTCAGTTATCTGGTTCCCTCGCCCGCTATCCGGATACTTTTGTGGAAACGGATGTGTGAAGTTAAGCGAGGTCTGACTGTACTACTTGTCAGTTTTGTGCCATGTTGTCGCACTAGCTGACTGTATAATGATCTGGTTACATTGTTGGACAGTTAGCCATAACTGGTAACACTTTTGTTCTTACCGTTATCCATGATAATATTGTGTGTATTTATTATTCTTTTTGGCTGTTTCCTTAGATACCGGCAGTGGTGGTTCTGAAAATACTACTTTACTGCCAACAACAATGTCACCAACAGTGAATAGCACGTCGCCAATGACAGAGCCAGAAAGCACAGGTCAGTTACGTGTTATTAAGTGGGTAGGTCAAGTGGAACATGCCATGATGAACTTTACACTATACATGTATGTGCAGTTGAAACATCACCCACAATGAAAAGCGTCACTGCTGCCGTGACAGTTTAGTAATATTCTTAGCCAACGTCAATGAAGCAGGAGGATATTTTCAGCTGTGCTGCGACCTACAGTTGATTTGGTAACTCTTAGCGCTTCATGGAAAAGAATGATGCAACAAATAAGATTTCAGTCATTGACCACTTTGATCTCTGTACTCACCTCCCAGCGCTTTCGTAGCTGAATCTGCACCTTGGGTAATGAGGTTGGTGGCGTTGCTACGCATGCGAAAAGTTCGAAAAGTTCAGTCTAACTGGGTCTAAAGTGAACTATGAAATATTTTAGCCAAGGTGTGTATTATGGAAAAAGGGTACTAATAAGGTGTGATTGTGTCGGCTGTTAGCCTCATTGCATTTATTATTATTATTATTTTAGAAAAGGGGGGTTTGTCAGCTGACAACCGCTCTATTCAGTTGATATTAACACCCGGCGCAAGCGCTGGATGAAAAATTCTTTATTTGTGATGTCGAAAAATTATGACGTTACGGGCCAGTCACCACAAAAATCATTGTGTGTACAACCCTGTACAGACACAGCAAGATTCAGCAGTTCCACTGTGAAGGTGCTAGCGCCTTCAATGGCCATCCGAAAGAGATATTGATCTCTGGACGACGCTCCTGAATCTCGATGGACTCTTTTATCTTTCTCCGGGCCATCCGTGTCTCCACAGCCAGTATTTGAGCGTCAATGAAATTACATCTGTGCTCTTGATGGTTCCATGCTGCTGGTGATCCGTAGCCATGTGTTTACCACATGGTTTGTTGAGCATCCTGTGACGTGCCTCGTAGTGGTGTTCCTCAAAACGATCTCTTGCGACCCTGAAGGTTTCACCAACATACCGCTTCCGACACAGTGCACACTTCATCGTATAGGTAATGCCGGGGATAATCACGTATGCAGCTCGGCAAACCAGAGGAGCATGAGATGCAGGGGTTGAGCGGTCTTCCTCGTCTCCGCTGTTCTCGGCGCCTCACTCCTTCTTGTGTCACGCTGCACTTCTTTGGATTCAGCGCTGATTTCACGAGGGCATCTTTGAGGTTGAGAGTGTGTTCAGACACGACATTGACCGGGAATCCCGAGCGCTTGACTAAATGCTTCGCCTTCCGCTGTATAAATCAATGATTTTCGGGTTGCGGTGGTTAATGGGTCCACTTCAATTTATCAACACAGGAGCTAGCCCAAAAGATCTGTTAAAAGACTCTAAGATTCGTCCACTTGCCTACAAGGGTAAGCGTCAATACCAGACAGACGATTTGTTCGTGGTAGAGGAGGCAGGGTTAGCAAGGCTAAAGCAAGATATTTATTATAGCATTGTATAAGACCTATCGCCCTCCACATGTCCACAATCTGACAGAAGATGAAAAGGCCGCGATTGCATCGTTACAGGAAAGAACGAAGGCAGGCGAAATCATCATCAAGCAGTTCGACAAAGCAAAATCCCTCGTAGTTATGGATATGCCAACATACATCGAGAATGCGGATCGGATTATGCATGATCAAGTCTGTTATGAGCGGATTGAGATGAGTTTGTCTCAGTACAGTATCAGTCGGTGTTTTGTCGCTTCTTTTCGCGGCCCTGCAAATGACGTACTACGACCGGCCAAGCCCCACCTTGGCGTGCCTACTCAGGTGAGCACCCGGTCTTGTTTGTGTTGATTTGTACTTTCTTTACTCGCCGTATATTGGGTCCTGGCTTAGGTCCGTGGTCCCTTTGATTGCTCTTGTGTGACTAGTTAGCCGTAGCCCTGAACCCTCTAGTAGTGACTAGAGACTGTATTTTTCGTTGAATGGCGTGAAAAGACACAAAAATCGACAAATGAGCAAGGGGGGGGGCTTTGGCTAGAACCCTGGGTTATGTTATGTATTCAGCAACACATACGTGATACTGGTATACTGGTTAAGAGTGGTGCGAGCCATGGTGTTCACACAATGTTTGGGGGAATGATGTGCTGTGGTTTAGGTGCTGGCGACTAGAAACCAGCTGACCCAGTTGATGGCCAAACGTGTTGCTCTCCCCTCCAAACAATGTACATTTGAAACCAAATCCAGCATTCACACACTTGGAAACGGCCAGCCAGGCGTAGATTTCCAGCCAGTAGCAACTGAACGTTATGCACTGGCCACGTACTTTCATCCCCAAGAAGCCATACCGTATACATGAACTGGTAAGCTTCCTAGGTGGTCGGAAATGGTTCTGAAGTTGCTCAAACGTCTCCCGAACTCAGCGGAAACTGGCAACTTCAGGAATGAGCCCTGCAGCCACTGTCCTTGCACTTCTCCCTGTGTCCGGATTATCAAACGTTAACAAAACGCCAACATCGTCAACCAGTTGCGGAAGAAGAGTGCCGGCTTCAGGTCGCGCTGCAGGTGCAGGTTCCGGAGAATCACCTTGGCTTCTACAAGACAACCGGGACCATCCTCAGGTGACAGCAACTCTCCCGACGTTCCACACTGATATTGAGAGTTGGAGATTCTCGGAGAGTCCACACACTCGGGCTGCCCTGAAGTGGATTCCTACTACTTGACACAGAAACTGCAACTGCAAAGAACGCTCCTTCGCACAAAGACAGCTCAGCAAAACACGTCTCCAAATTAGACGCCACATCCACGATTGTCCCTAAAATTTTGCCAGGCCACACGCTGCGCACGCGGCTTAGGATCAGGGTGTGTGAGCAATTCAATTTCTAATGCCTCCAGAACAATTGGAGTGTGAGGGGTGTGCGTGGGTAAGGCAGGGTGTGTATGTGTGTGCGAATCAGACACGAATGCATTAGAAACAACAGGAGTGTGCGTGGATAAGACAGGATACAGACTAGCCGGGGCCTCACTGGCCGGCGCGCGCCCGCACCGGGTGACGACGTGGGAGCTGCAGACGTGGCGATATTTGCAGTTACGAAATTACATCGGCCCTTGTACAGCTCGCACGCTGGCTGGGTCGTGCCGGGCTTGCGCTGATCCCGGGAGGTGCAAGTGTTGGCAGCGTGGCCGAGACGTTTGCAGAGCGGGCAGAGAACGAGCGCCTGGCCTGTGAAGAAGCGGGTGTAAAGGTCCTGGTCAACCACATCCCACTGTATGCTAGGGCTGTGGGCGAGTTTCCGACGGAACTCTTCGTCGTATTGGCACACCGACAACCACCGATAGCGTTTCGGCGCTTGTATGATGCACAGCTGATACGTGATCAGCGACACCGCCTTTGCGGGTTGGGTGTCACAAATCAGTGCACAATACACTGACCACGCCTCCAGCCAAATGGGTAGGCTCTCCAGCTTGCGGCGGGATGGCAGGGACGGGGAGAGCACTAGCTGGCCGCTGTCCTCTGACACCCGGACTCGCTTTGGGCTGGCTCGCCCGAGAGAGGTGGGGGGTGAGGAACAACGCAGGCTCCACATATTCCTCGCGCAGCACCTTGTCGTCCGTACTGCGGGGCACGTGGTCCGTCACCTCATTACGGGACCCGACATTGACAGTACTAGGGTTACACACATTGTATGCAAGACTGCTAGAGATATTCACACTCTTTTCTGGTTAGTTGTTGTTCCTTCCGTGATGGACGGATAGTTTTCTTCCTCTCTTGTCTTCACCAGTATCATGTATTTTCCTGCAATGTATACGGCCCAAAACTAAGTTGTGTGAGCCTAGTCGGTTGGATCAAACTGTGCTTGTCCGGGCCGTGTGAGATCAAGCTGTATGTAAACATTAGCCCCTTTGTAGGTGGCGTCGCGGCAGTGCCTCGTCAAGGTTGCCTTGCCTCGCTCATTCAGGGCTACGCGTACTAACCGGGGCTTTATTGGTGGGCAGTGGAGGTGCTTGCGTTATTTGATCCGCGCCTTCCGATACGCGATGCGAACTTCATGCCCTCGGCGGCTAAATCAGGTACCAGTGTTGGTACCAGAGTCGCAAGATCTTCAGATGGTAGCTCTTCCAGGCCACGCAGCATTACGCTGCTGGATCGCAACCTCGTCTCATTAGCCTCCTCGATCAGGTCACGCACCTTGCTGTGTAGGTCACTTAAGGCCGGAGCTGCCGTAAATGGCGGGTTGGCGGTGGCGCCAGCCTGGCTACTGTTGATGGTGGCAAGCTTCTTTGTGATCTTACTATTGGCGGATTTTGCTACTTCCCCCTACATTACTGACAGGTTCAGTACAGTTGTCAACAAGCACCCTTAGTTTGCGGTTCTCAGCGGATAGTCTGCTGATTTCAGCTCGTTGCTCATCGTGCCGCACCCCCACTGCACATACGGTCTTTCAGCGGTCCTACAATGTCTTCGGGAACGCGGCGAAGATCGTCACACAGATCTCGCTTGAAGTCTCCTAGCATCCTGGCGAACTCAGACAGCCTGTTGCCACCTGGGGTACTGTCGCCGGTTTCCAGCAGCATGCACGGGGCCTTGTCAGCTCCAGGTGGGCTGAGTACTGCCAGAACCGGTTCGTCATCCATGGCACACAAACTTTCTGCCAGGCTTTCAGCTTTTCTCGTCGTACGTTCCTTGGGCGCAGCGTCACTGTCTGTAGACTTGGAGTCACTGCCATGGGGCGACCCATTCTCCCCACGGCCAGCGTGGTTTGGGGAAGTCATCTTGCACACAAGTTTCTTTTAAAACAGCTTTTCACATGGCATCCTCATGCTTGTATTTTTGGAAAACATTGAAAACATCTCAACGTTATGTATTGCATATTTGCTTTGGGCTGTTGTCTCAGCTACTGGAAATGCAAGTACTGGAGAAACAGCTTCATCAGCAACAACCATGGTGTCGAGCACTACCCTGTCGCCAAGCATACTACCAACAAATACCACGCCAACAGCGCCATTGGCAACAAGTGCAGGTCAGTTTCCTGAAAAGTACAATCATGTTTCAAGTCGGCTTTACTCAGATGTCTAAGCATTCTTTAGCTTTACCTATTCACGATCCTTTTGATACTTGAAGTAGTTGCTAAGTATTGGAATGCGTTCTTGTTTGTAGCTTTCTTTTAAGGTTTCCTGTACCACAGTGTACATTATCACTCTCTTAGTATTGACTCCCATTGATTCTTGCTATACATGTACCTAAAAGCAGTCCAAAATTCCTGCATATTTTACTCCTTAGCCTTAAGGCTATATTGACTGCTTATATTTGACTCCCTTTTAGGGATTGAACACGTGCTTGGGTTTTTTCCGATAAATCTAATATTGATTTCAAAGTACTCAAAGTACCAGAAAAGTTTACATAGCACCTTGTCGTTCAATTCCCTCTCCCCGCTCCCCCCCCCCCCCTCCCCCCCCGCCCCCTTTGCCTTTTCAATTTTGACAATCCCACTGTGGGATGGGTGTGTCGACTTCTCAGCACATCTCTTTTTCCCTTTGCATGTAACATTGCCTGATAGCTGTAGTACTGGACTGAACGGTTGTGCTGGTTCAGTGGCAGAGTTGAGGAAAATGGGCAGTAGGACTGCATTCTCATACTGTTCTTCATATGTTGGGCTGCCCCGTATTGGGTACAGATTTGTCCGGCTATGGAAAAACTTTGCCAGGTGCCCATCTTCAATGTTATGCTGGCTATGAGTCTCTGTCTTTGCATTTGCTGCTCTTTCTTTGGGCTTGCTGCCTCTTGGCGACATGGAAACTGAAACATCTCCTGACGATCTATGTTCTGTAGAAGGAAAGAGCACATCACCAACAGTGGCACAAGTCACTACTACTGCTGCAACAACAACAGCAACAGGTTGGTACTTTTCTCAAGTTCTTAGCCATTTTTGAAAAATGTGGAAGTTGCTGGTGCGGTTGGATTTTGTTGGCCATTTTTCGTGTTGTAATTCATGCTTGTATATACAGGGCAGGCCTCGCTATAATGACCATCGCTATAACACAAACCTCACTACAAAGTACGAAATGCAAATGTCCCTGCCGAAACCGCATCACTTCTGTACAAAAATGTCCTCGCTATAACATAATCCGCTATAGCATAATTTTCGCTACAACACACTGTTTCGCAGTGTTTACTTGGTCCCAAGGGCCCAGAGACCTCAATATAATACAATAAGACGTACAGTGCATTGTCTTTCCGGCCCAAACCACTTTCTTTTCTTGAAATTTCTGCTCACGACTGCATATCCTTGCTTGCATTCAACGCGTCTACTGGAATTCATGCGTTCTTCCAACACTACAGTCGTGTGGACTGGGTACATAATGTGTACTTCGCAAAGTAGTGTTTTCATCGCAATGCAGTGGAGACCCTAGTGCAACACACTGCCTGAGTTGACCAGAGTGGATCATTACTACATTAGCGCAACAGTTGTGATCAGTAAGCAAAGGGCGTCATTTTGACATACATGTTGAAAACTGGTGTGCCCAACTCACTGACTATAACATAAACAAACATTGCCAAACCCCAGAGATTACGTTATAGCGAGGTCTGACCTGTATTTGGAAAGGTTATAAAGCAGTAGTTGATAGTAATGTATTTTCTTCTTCTTCTTTTTGACTATTTTCCTTAGTTACTGGTGGTGGTGATTCTGACACTACTACTTTACTGGCAACAACAATGGAGAAGACATCACCTACAATGGCGCAAGCCGCTACTACTGCTGCAACAGCAACAGGTTAGTACCTTACACAAGTTTTTAGCCATTTTTGAGCATATGGAAGTTGATGGTATGGTTGATTTTGTTGGCCTTTTTCCGTGTTGCAATTCATGCCTGTCATTGGCGGCTCCAAGCGGAGTCATTCGGCGGCTCCCTGCAGAGTCATTTGGGGGCTCCATGCTGAATCATTAGGCGGCTCCATGCGGAGTCATTCGGCGGCTCCATGTGGAGTCATTCGGCAGCTCCAAGTGGAGTCATTTGCCGGCTGAGCTGCGAGCCAACTAGCGATCATACCAGTTGCTCGAATCGGCACTCCCAGCTTAATCCAAACTCGGTTGCTCTGCTGTGAGGTGGGGGATGCTAATTGAAATTATTGGTGTGAGTACTGGCTACCGAGGGTAGCAATGGTCACCTTTAGAGCACATGGAGGAGGAGAGTTTGTAGTATTATTCAACAGCCGATTGGTACCGTTCACAGTTTTATAGAATATTCATTGGATAATAATGTATTTTCTTCTTCTTTTTGGCTATTTTCCTTAGTTACTGGTACTGGTGATTCTGACACTACTACTTTACTGGCAACAACAGTGAAAACCACATCACCTACAATGGCGCAAGCCGCTACTACTGCTGCAACAGCAACAGGTTTGTACCTTACACAAGTTCTTAGCCATTTTTGAGCATATGGAAGTTGATGGTATGGTTAATTTTGTTGGCCTTTTTCCGTGTTGCAATTCATGCCTGTCATTGGCGGCTCCAAGCGGAGTCATTCGGCGGCTCCATGCAGAGTCATTCGGCGGCTCCATGCAGAGTCATTTGGCGGCTCCATGCGGAGGCATTCGGCGGCTCCATGTGGAGTCATTCCGCGGCTCCAAGCGGAGTCATTTGCCGGCTCAGCTGCGAGACAACTAGTGGCTCCAAGCAGAACCATAATACCAGGTGCTCGAATCGGCACACCCAGCTTACAAACACGGTTGCTGTGTCGTGAGGTGTGGGGATGCTAATTGAAATTATTGGTGTGAGTACTGGCTACCGAGGGTAGCAATGGTCACCTTTAGAGCACATGCAGCAGGAGAGTTTGCAGTATTATTCAACAGCCGATTGGTACCGCTCACAGTTTTATAGAATATTCATGGGATAACAATGTATTTTCTTCTTTTTTTTGGCTGTTTCCTTTTAGACACTGGTAGTGGTGGTTCTGAAACTACTACTTTACTGCCAACGACAGATCCAGAAAGTACAGGTCAGTTACGTATTTTAAGTGGGTGGGTCAAGTGGAACATGTCATGGTGAACTTTTCACTCTGTACCGTAATTCCGCGCATATAAGCCCACGGGCCTATATCCGGATATAAGCCCACCTCCGTTTATAAGCCCATGGGCTAATAAAGAGACACACATGCAACTCACGTGTCAAGTAGAATTTTTCACAAAATGGACTCTTCCTACCATGGTACAGCAGTTCAGTGCAGTTTACCAGTAGAGTATGGTAGGGCCACTAGTATGAGCACGGACTTGTACTTTTTCGTAAACCTTCAAAATTCGAATATTGGCCCATGGGCTGAAAAACGAACATGTTTTACTGGATATTTTATCCCCAAACTGCATTATTTCACATATAAGCCCATGGGCTTATGCTTGTATGCGCGGAATTACGGTACGCAGTTGAGACGTCACCCACAATGAAAAGTGTCCCTGTTGCCATGACAGTTTAATAACATTCTTACCCAATGTCAATGAAGTGGGAAGAGATTTTGTCAGCTTTGCTGCAAACCCACAGTTTATTTAATAATAATAATAATAATGACAGTTCGCATTTCACTCATTGCATGAGGTCAACGCATCTGTTAACAATTTCGAGCCAAGCAGCTCTATCAGAAGCAGATTGCACAGCATCCAGAAGTGACAGATTAATGCATTGTAAGTCTTTCTTGACAACGTCGATCCATCTCAGACGTGGTCGTCCTCTGGGTCGTCGTATGTCTGTTGTGTTGATTGACATTAGGAGGGCTTGGAAAGAGGACGATTCTTCGCCTTCCCTCACTACATGGCCGAACCACAGCAGTCTCCGTTGCCTGCAGACTTGGGATAGTGGGGTCTGCTCGGTTTTGGCATACAGCGCTGTGTTCGAGATTCGTTGTGGGTTGATTTGGTTCATGTAAATCGAAGTATTTCATGGGAAAGAATGATGCAACAAATAGGATTTCAGTCTTTGACCACTTTGGTAGTGGGTTTGATCTTTGCACTCACCTCCCAGTGCTTTAGTAGCTGATATCTGCACCTTGGGCATTGAGGTTGTAGTCGTTGCTACGCATGCGGAAAAGTCAGTCTAACTGGGACTAAAGTGAACTGTGAAATATGTTAGCCAATGTGTGAAACACAGAAAAAGGGCACTTATAAAGTGTGATTGTGTCGGCTGTTAACCTAATTGCATTTCATGCTTGTATTTTTGGAAAACATTGAAAAGGTCTCAACGTTGTGTATTGCATTGTATTTGCTTTGGGCTGTTGTCTCAGCTACTGGAAATGCAAGTACTGGAGAAACAGCGTCATCAGCAACAACCATGGTATCAAGCGCTACCCTGTCGCGAAGCATGCTACCAACAAACACCACGCCAACAGCGCCATTGGCAACAAGTGCAGGTCAGTTTCCTGAAAAGTACAATCATGTTTCAAGTCGGCTTTACTCAGATGTCTAAGCGTTCTTTAGCTTTACCTATTCACGATCCTTTTGATACTTGAAGTAGTTGCTAAGTATTGGAATGTGTTCTTGGTTGTAGGTTTCTTTTAAGGTTTCCTGTACCACAATGTACATTATCACTCTCTTAGTATTGACTCCCATTGATTCTTGCTATACATGTACCTAAAAGCAGTCCAAAATTCCTGCATATTTTACTCCTTAGCCTTAGGGCTATATTGACTGCTTATATTTGACTTCCTTTTAGGGATTGAACACGTGCTTGGGTTTGTCGCGATAAATCTAATATTGATTTCAAAGTACTCAAAGTACCAGAAAAGTTTACATAGCACCTTGTCGTTCAATTCCCTCTCCCCGCTCCCCCCGCCCCCTTTGCCTTTTCAATTTTGACAATCCCACTGTGGGATGGGTGTGTCGACTTCTCAGCACATCTCTTTTTCCCTTTGCATGTCACATTGCCTGATAGCTGTAGTACAGGACTGGACCGTTGTGCTGGTTCAGTGGCAGAGTTGAATAAAATGGGCAGTAGGACTGCATTCTCATACTGTTCTTCATATGTTGGGCTGCCCCGTATTGGGTACGATTTGTCCAATTATGGAAAAACTTTGCCAGGTGCCCATCTTCAATGTTATGCTGGCTATGAGTCTCTGTCTTTGCATTTGCTGCTCTTTCTTTGGGCTTGCTGCCTCTTGGCGACATGGAAACTGAAACATCTCCTGACGATCTATGTTCTGTAGAAGCAAAGAGCACATCACCTACAGTGGCACAAATCACTACTACTGCTGCAACAGCAACAGCAACAGGTTGGTACTTTTCACAAGGTCTTAGCCATTTTTGAAAAATGTGGAAGTTGCTGGTGCGGTTGGATTTTGTTGGACATTTTTCGTGTTGTAATTCATGCTTGTATATACAGTTCAGACCTCGCTATAATGACCATCGCTATAACATAAACCTCACTACAACGTACGAAATGCAAATGTCCCTGCCGAAACCGCATCACTTCTGTACAAAAATGTCCTCGCTATAACATAATCCGCTATAGCATAATTTTCGCTACAACACACTGTTTCGCAGTGTTTACTTGGTCCCAAGGGCCCAGAGACCTCAATATAATACAATAAGTCGTACAGTGCATTGTCTTTCCGGCCCGAACTACTTTCTTTTCTTGAAATTTCTGCTCACGACTGCATACCCTTGCTTGCATTCAACGCGTCTACTGGAATTCATGCGTTCTTCCAACACTACAGTCGTGTGGACTGGGTACATAATGTGTACTTCGCAAAGTAGTGTTTTCAACACAATGCAGTGGAGACCCTAGTACAACACACTTCCTGAGTTGACCAGAGTGGATCATTACTACATTAGCGCAACAGTTGTGATCAGTAGGCAAAGAGCGTCATTTTGACATACATGTTGCATACTGGTGTCCCCAGCTCACTAACTATAACATAAACAAACATTGCCACACCCCAGAGATTACGGTATAGCGGGGTCTGACCTGTATTTGGAAAGGTTATAACAGGGCTGCCACACTTGGAGGGAGAAAAATCTGACGGTGGTCCGGGGGTGTCCCCGGCGAAATGTTTTAGGATAATGGCTTGCTGTTGGGGCTCCAGAACACATTTTTAACTGGCCACACACATGCAAGCACGTCTGCATTTTACAGCTACATGTGCATGTACATGTAGAGGCGACAGTTTCAAATAGGACACAGGTTGCAAACCGGAACGGACTCAATATTCACTTTCTCCCTTGGTATTTTGATTAGAAAACATATGTCACAGTGAAAATACGATGTGATAATACTCCGAGCCAAAATTTCATGGCTCTGCGATGACCAGAAGCGCCATACCAAGCAGGTGAGTTTTTGACGTGTTGCTTTGCACTGCGACTTGAGTTTTACGACTTCCGAAAAATCAACTTCTTGTCGAAGGTAAACAGCGGCTCGCCTCTCGCCAATAAAGCACCGCATACCAATCAAAACTAATGGAAGCACACACAAGGCTTATTGTTACTCTGTACTGGCCGTCGTGGAGCGATAGCAATTACCTAATTTCAGACCCAGAGTGAATTTGACGTGCACTCTAAAACGTGTCCGGTTTGGAGCCACCTCTGATTTGAACTTTTTTGAAGCGAAAAATTGGGCAACTTAGAGGCAATGGGTCAACACAAAGGAGTGGCTCAGTTCGATTGACTCTGGCCCCAGAGCAAACTTCAACATGCCAGTTTCCTTCCACAAACATATTTCGAGTGAAAAATCAACGCTTATGATCGGTTTGGGTCTACACAAATTTGGCTGTCAAAGCGTTCCGGTATCGAACCGTCTACTCTACAATGACCGGCCAAACGCGACCTGGAAGCGCCGAATGACCAACTGGACTACAAAGTGCTCAAAATAAAATAATCGATTGTCCCCTTTTGGAAACAAAATCGGTCGGTTTGGCCGACAGGCGATCAATAATCGGACGATTTCCGAAAATTCGTAGCAAGTGGCAGCCCTGTTATAAGGCAGTTGATAGTAATGTATTTTCTTCTTCTTCTTTTTGACTATTTTCCTTAGTTACTGGTGGTGGTGATTCTGACACTACTACTTTACTGGCAACAACAATGGAGAAGACATCACCTACAATGGCGCAAGCCGCTACTACTGCTGCAACAGCAACAGGTTAGTACCTTACACAAGTTTTTAGCCATTTTTGAGCATATTGAAGTTGATGGTATGGTTGATTTTGTTGGCCTTTTTCCGTGTTGCAATTCATGCCTGTCATTGGCGGCTCCAAGCGGAGTCATTCAGCGGCTCCCTGCAGAGTCATTTGGCGGCTCCATGCTGAATAATTAGGCGGCTCCATGCAGAGTCATTCAGCAGGTCCATGCGGAGTCTTTCGGCGGCTCCGTGTCGAGTCATTCGGCAGCTCCAAGTGGAGTCATTTGCCGGCTGAGCTGCGAGCCAACCAGCGATCATACCAGTTGCTCGAATCGGCACTCCCAGCTTAATCCAAACTCGGTTGCTCTGCTGTGAGGTGGGGGGATGCTAATTGAAATTATTGGTGTGAGTACTGGCTACCGAGGGTAGCAATGGTCACCTTTAGAGCACATGGAGGAGGAGAGTTTATAGTATTATTCAACAGGCGATTGGTACCGTTCACAGTTTTATAGAATATTCATTGGATAACAATGTATTTTCTTCTTTGGCTATTTTCTCAGTTACTGGTACTGGTGATTCTGACACTACTACTTTACTGGCAACAACAGTGAAGACCACATCACCTACAATGGCGCAAGCCACTACTACTGCTGCAACAGCAACAGGTTTGTACCTTACACAAGTTCTTAGCCATTTTGAGCATATGGAAGTTGATGATATGGTTAATTTTGTTGGCCTTTTTCCATGTTGCAATTCATGCCTGTCATTGGCGGCTCCAAGGGGAGTCATTCGGCGGCTCCATGCAGAGTCATTTGGCGGCTCCATGCGGAGTCATTCAGCGGCTCCATGCGGAGTCATTCGGCGGCTCCATGTGGAGTCATTCCGCGTCTCCAAGTGGAGTCATTTGCCGGCTCAGCTGCGAGACAACTAGTGGCTCCAAGCAGAACCATAATACCAGGTGCTCGAATCGGCACACCCAGCTTAATCCAAACACGGTTGCTCTGTCGTGAGGTGTGGGGATGTTAATTGAAATTATTGGTGTGAGTACTGGCTACCGAGGGTAGCAATGGTCACCTTTAGAGCACATGGAGGAGGAGAGTTTATAGTATTATTCAACAGGCGATTGGTACCGTTCACAGTTTTATAGAATATTCATTGGATAACAATGTATTTCTTCTTCTTTTTGGCTGTTTTTCCTTAGTTACTGGTACTGGTCATTCTGACACTACTACTTTACTGGCAACAACAGTGAAGACCACATCACCTACAATGGCGCAAGCCGCTACTACTGCTGCAACAGCAACAGGTTTGTACCTTGCACAAGTTCTTAGCCATTTTTGAGCATATGGAAGTGGACGATATGGTTAATTTTGTTGGCCTTTTTCCGTGTTGCAATTCATGCCTGTCATTGGCGGCTCCAAGGGGAGTCATTCGGCGGCTCCATGCAGAGTCATTTGGCGGCTCCATGCGGAGTCATTCAGCGGCTCCATGCGGAGCCATTTGGCGGCTCCATGTGGAGTCATTCGGCGGCTTCATGCGGAGGCATTCGGCGGCTCCATGTGGAGTCATTCCGCGGCTCCAAGCGGAGTCATTTGCCGGCTCAGCTGCGAGACAACTAGTAGCTCCAAGCAGAACCATAATACCAGGTGCTTGAATCGGCACACCCAGCTTAATCCAAACACGTTTGCTCTGTCGTGAGGTGTGGGGATGCTAATTGAAATTATTGGTGTGAGTACTGGCTACCGAGGGTAGCAATGGTCACCTTTAGAGCACATGGAGGAGGAGAGTTTGTAGTATTATTCAACAGCCGATTGGTACCGCTCACAGTTTTATAGAATATTCATGGGATAAACAATGTATTTCCTTCTTTTTTTTGGCTGTTTCCTTTTAGACACTGGTAGTGGTGGTTCTGAAACTACTACTTTACTGCCAACGACGGATCCAGAAAGCACAGGTCAGTTACGTATTTTAAGTGGGTGGGTCAAGTGGAACATGCCATGATGAACTTTTCACTGTGTACCGTAATTCCGCGCAAATAAGCCCACTGGCCTATATCCGGATATAAGCCCACCTCCGTTAATAAGCCCATGGGCTAATAAAGAGACACAAATGCAACTCATGTGTCAAGTAGAATTTTTCACAAAATGGACTCTTCCTACCATGGTACAGGAGTTCAGTGCGGTTTACCAGTAGAGTATGGTAGGGCCACTAGTATGAGCACGGACTTGTACTTTTTCGTAAACCTTCAAAATTCGAATATTGGCCCATGGGCTGAAAAACGAACATGTTTTACTGGATAATTTATCCCCAAACTGCATTATTGTCGCAGTAATGTAGTTAGTGTGTGTTAGCATCCACCGATCACACTGCCATGTTTGCATCTGCTGCGCACCGCTGCATCAGTGCATTGCGCACTGCACTCACACTGCCAGCGCATAGATTTGGGCACGCTTAGCCTGACGTCACACAACTGCTTCCTTTGAACTTTGCTCACTGCACTCACACTGCCAGCGCATGGATTCGGGCGCGCTTAGCCTGACGTCGTACAACTGCTTCCTTGGAACTTTCTCTTTCTTTCTTGCTGTTGGCTTCACTTCAAAGACTAGTCTAATGAGTGGTGACTTTTAGCTTGTGCCAGCATCAGATTTTCACCCTCCATCCCTCCCATCTTATCATCTTGCTAATGGTACTAGGGAACATTTAGCTCTATCGCTCCTAACTGGTCACTTGCTTCGCTAGTTGCGGCTCTTCACGAGCCAGTTGTTGCCAATTGCATTGGCTTTGCCTTGCAACCCCATTGTGGCACAATGTGGGTTTATTGCGGCTCCTCGCGAGCCAGTTGCTGCCAGTGGCCTGGCATTGCTTTCCAGCTCTTCGAGCTTTTGCATTACAAGACCAGTTACTCGAAGCAGCACACTATCTCCAAAACAATTCCTTGTTGCCTTGGGCTGAGTATGAGTGTGCGAGGGATATGGTGCTAATTCACATATAAGCCCATGGGCTTATGCTTGTATGCGCGGAATTACGGTACGCAGTTGAGACGTCACCCACAATGAAACGTGTCCCTGTTGCCATGACAGTTTAGTAACATTCTTACCCAATGTCAATGAAGTGGGAAGAGATTTTGTCAGCTTTGCTGCAAACCCACAGTTGATTTGGTTCATGTAAATCGAAGTATTTCATGGGAAAGAATGATGCAACAAATAAGATTTCAGTCTTTGACCACTTTGGTAGTGGGTTTGATCTTTGTACTCACCTCCCAGTGCTTTAGTAGCTGATATCTGCACCTTGGGCATTGAGGTTGTAGTCGTTGCTACGCATGCGGAAAATTCAGTCTAACTGGGTCTAAAGCGAACTGTGAAATATTTTAGCCAATGTGTGAAACACGGAAAAAGGGTACTTATAAAGTGTGATTGTGTCGGCTGTTAACCTAATTGCATTTCATGCTTGTAGTATTTGAAAACATTGAAATTGTCTTAACGTTGTATATTGCATTGTATTTGCTTTGGGCTGTTATCTCAGCTACTGGAAATGCAAGTACTGGAGAAACAGCATCATCAGCAACAACCATGGTATCAAGCACTACCCTGTCGCGAAGCATGCTACCAACAAATACCACGCCAACAGCGCCATTGGCAACAAGTGCAGGTCAGTTTCCTGAAAAGTACAATCATGTTTCAAGTTGGCTTTACTCAGATGCCTAAGCGTTCTTTAGCTTTACCTATTCACGATCCTTTTGATACTTGAAGTAGTTGCTAAGTATTGGAATGTGTTCTTGGTTGTAGGTTTCTTTTAAGGTTTCCTGTACCACAATGTACATCATCACTCTCTTAGTATTGACTCCCATTAATTCTTGCTATACATGTACCTAAAAGCAGTCCAAAATTCCTGCATATTTTACTCCTTAGCCTTAAGGCTATATTGACTGCTTATATTTGACTCCCTTTTAGGGATTGAACACGTGCTTGGGTTTGTTCCGATAAATCTAATATTGATTTCAAAGTACTCAAAGTACCAGAAAAGTTTACATAGCACCTTGTCGTTCAATTCCCTCTCCCCGCTCCCCCCGCCACCTTTGCCTTTTCAATTTTGACAATCCCACTGTGGGATGGGTGTGTCGACTTCTCAGCACATCTCTTTTTCCCTTTGCATGTAACATTGCCTGATAGCTGTAGTACTGGACTGAACGGTTGTGCTGGTTCAGTGGCAGAGTTGAATAAAATGGGCAGTAGGACTGCATTCTCATACTGTTCTTCATATGTTGGGCTGCCCCGTATTGGGTAGTTGACCAGAGTGGATCATTACTACATTAGCGCAACAGTTGTGATCAGTAGGCAAAGAGCGTCATTTTGACATACATGTTGCATACTGGTGTCCCCAGCTCACTAACTATAACATAAACAAACATTGCCACACCCCAGAGATTACGGTATAGCGGGGTCTGACCTGTATTTGGAAAGGTTATAACAGGGCTGCCACACTTGGAGGGAGAAAAATCTGACGGTGGTCCGGGGGTGTCCCCGGCGAAATGTTTTAGGATAATGGCTTGCTGTTGGGGATCCAGAACACATTTTTAACTGGCCACACACATGCAAGCACGTCTGCATTTTACAGCTACATGTGCATGTACATGTAGAGGCGACAGTTTCAAATAGGACACAGGTTGCAAACCGGAACGGACTCAATATTCACTTTCTCCCTTGGTATTTTGATTAGAAAACATATGTCACAGTGAAAATACAATGTGATAATACTCCGAGCCAAAATTTCATGGCTCTGCGATGACCAGAAGCGCCATACCAAGCAGGTGAGTTTTTGACGTGTTGCTTTGCACTGCGACTTGAGTTTTACGACTTCCGAAAAATCAACTTCTTGTCGAAGGTAAACAGCGGCTCGCCTCTCGCCAATAAAGCACCGCATACCAATCAAAACTAATGGAAGCACACACAAGGCTTATTGTTACTCTGTACTGGCCGTCGTGGAGCGATAGCAATAACCTAATTTCAGACCCAGAGTGAATTTGACGTGCACTCTAAAACGTGTCCGGTTTGGAGCCACCTCTGATTTGAACTTTTTTGAAGCGAAAAATTGGGCAACTTAGAGGCAATGGGTCAACACAAAGGAGTGGCTCAGTTCGATTGACTCTGGCCCCAGAGCAAACTTCAACATGCCAGTTTCCTTCCACAAACATATTTCGAGTGAAAAATCAACGCTTATGATCGGTTTGGGTCTACACAAATTTGGCTGTCAAAGCGTTCCGGTATCGAACCGTCTACTCTACAATGACCGGCCAAACGCGACCTGGAAGCGCCGAATGACCAACTGGACTACAAAGTGCTCAAAATAAAATAATCGATTGTCCCCTTTTGGAAACAAAATCGGTCGGTTTGGCCGACAGGCGATCAATAATCGGACGATTTCCGAAAATTCGTAGCAAGTGGCAGCCCTGTTATAAGGCAGTTGATAGTAATGTATTTTCTTCTTCTTCTTTTTGACTATTTTCCTTAGTTACTGGTGGTGGTGATTCTGACACTACTACTTTACTGGCAACAACAATGGAGAAGACATCACCTACAATGGCGCAAGCCGCTACTACTGCTGCAACAGCAACAGGTTAGTACCTTACACAAGTTTTTAGCCATTTTTGAGCATATTGAAGTTGATGGTATGGTTGATTTTGTTGGCCTTTTTCCGTGTTGCAATTCATGCCTGTCATTGGCGGCTCCAAGCGGAGTCATTCAGCGGCTCCCTGCAGAGTCATTTGGCGGCTCCATGCTGAATAATTAGGCGGCTCCATGCAGAGTCATTCAGCAGGTCCATGCGGAGTCTTTCGGCGGCTCCGTGTCGAGTCATTCGGCAGCTCCAAGTGGAGTCATTTGCCGGCTGAGCTGCGAGCCAACCAGCGATCATACCAGTTGCTCGAATCGGCACTCCCAGCTTAATCCAAACTCGGTTGCTCTGCTGTGAGGTGGGGGGATGCTAATTGAAATTATTGGTGTGAGTACTGGCTACCGAGGGTAGCAATGGTCACCTTTAGAGCACATGGAGGAGGAGAGTTTATAGTATTATTCAACAGGCGATTGGTACCGTTCACAGTTTTATAGAATATTCATTGGATAACAATGTATTTTCTTCTTTGGCTATTTTCCTTAGTTACTGGTACTGGTGATTCTGACACTACTACTTTACTGGCAACAACAGTGAAGACCACATCACCTACAATGGCGCAAGCCACTACTACTGCTGCAACAGCAACAGGTTTGTACCTTACACAAGTTCTTAGCCATTTTGAGCATATGGAAGTTGATGATATGGTTAATTTTGTTGGCCTTTTTCCATGTTGCAATTCATGCCTGTCATTGGCGGCTCCAAGGGGAGTCATTCGGCGGCTCCATGCAGAGTCATTTGGCGGCTCCATGCGGAGTCATTCAGCGGCTCCATGCGGAGTCATTCGGCGGCTCCATGTGGAGTCATTCCGCGTCTCCAAGTGGAGTCATTTGCCGGCTCAGCTGCGAGACAACTAGTGGCTCCAAGCAGAACCATAATACCAGGTGCTCGAATCGGCACACCCAGCTTAATCCAAACACGGTTGCTCTGTCGTGAGGTGTGGGGATGTTAATTGAAATTATTGGTGTGAGTACTGGCTACCGAGGGTAGCAATGGTCACCTTTAGAGCACATGGAGGAGGAGAGTTTATAGTATTATTCAACAGGCGATTGGTACCGTTCACAGTTTTATAGAATATTCATTGGATAACAATGTATTTTCTTCTTCTTTTTGGCTGTTTTTCCTTAGTTACTGGTACTGGTCATTCTGACACTACTACTTTACTGGCAACAACAGTGAAGACCACATCACCTACAATGGCGCAAGCCGCTACTACTGCTGCAACAGCAACAGGTTTGTACCTTGCACAAGTTCTTAGCCATTTTTGAGCATATGGAAGTGGACGATATGGTTAATTTTGTTGGCCTTTTTCCGTGTTGCAATTCATGCCTGTCATTGGCGGCTCCAAGGGGAGTCATTCGGCGGCTCCATGCAGAGTCATTTGGCGGCTCCATGCGGAGTCATTCAGCGGCTCCATGCGGAGCCATTTGGCGGCTCCATGTGGAGTCATTCGGCGGCTTCATGCGGAGGCATTCGGCGGCTCCATGTGGAGTCATTCCGCGGATCCAAGCGGAGTCATTTGCCGGCTCAGCTGCGAGACAACTAGTAGCTCCAAGCAGAACCATAATACCAGGTGCTTGAATCGGCACACCCAGCTTAATCCAAACACGTTTGCTCTGTCGTGAGGTGTGGGGATGCTAATTGAAATTATTGGTGTGAGTACTGGCTACCGAGGGTAGCAATGGTCACCTTTAGAGCACATGGAGGAGGAGAGTTTGTAGTATTATTCAACAGCCGATTGGTACCGCTCACAGTTTTATAGAATATTCATGGGATAAACAATGTATTTCCTTTTTTTTTTTGGCTGTTTCCTTTTAGACACTGGTAGTGGTGGTTCTGAAACTACTACTTTACTGCCAACGACGGATCCAGAAAGCACAGGTCAGTTACGTATTTTAAGTGGGTGGGTCAAGTGGAACATGCCATGATGAACTTTTCACTGTGTACCGTAATTCCGCGCAAATAAGCCCACTGGCCTATATCCGGATATAAGCCCACCTCCGTTAATAAGCCCATGGGCTAATAAAGAGACACAAATGCAACTCATGTGTCAAGTAGAATTTTTCACAAAATGGACTCTTCCTACCATGGTACAGGAGTTCAGTGCGGTTTACCAGTAGAGTATGGTAGGGCCACTAGTATGAGCACGGACTTGTACTTTTTCGTAAACCTTCAAAATTCGAATATTGGCCCATGGGCTGAAAAACGAACATGTTTTACTGGATAATTTATCCCCAAACTGCATTATTGTCGCAGTAATGTAGTTAGTGTGTGTTAGCATCCACCGATCACACTGCCATGTTTGCATCTGCTGCGCACCGCTGCATCAGTGCATTGCGCACTGCACTCACACTGCCAGCGCATAGATTTGGGCACGCTTAGCCTGACGTCACACAACTGCTTCCTTTGAACTTTGCTCACTGCACTCACACTGCCAGCGCATGGATTCGGGCGCGCTTAGCCTGACGTCGTACAACTGCTTCCTTGGAACTTTCTCTTTCTTTCTTGCTGTTGGCTTCACTTCAAAGACTAGTCTAATGAGTGGTGACTTTTAGCTTGTGCCAGCATCAGATTTTCACCCTCCATCCCTCCCATCTTATCGTCTTGCTAATGGTACTAGGGAACATTTAGCTCTATCGCTCCTAACTGGTCACTTGCTTCGCTAGTTGCGGCTCTTCACGAGCCAGTTGTTGCCAATTGCATTGGCTTTGCCTTGCAACCCCATTGTGGCACAATGTGGGTTTATTGCGGCTCCTCGCGAGCCAGTTGCTGCCAGTGGCCTGGCATTGCTTTCCAGCTCTTCGAGCTTTTGCATTACAAGACCAGTTACTCGAAGCAGCACACTATCTCCAAAACAATTCCTTGTTGCCTTGGGCTGAGTATGAGTGTGCGAGGGATATGGTGCTAATTCACATATAAGCCCATGGGCTTATGCTTGTATGCGCGGAATTACGGTACGCAGTTGAGACGTCACCCACAATGAAACGTGTCCCTGTTGCCATGACAGTTTAGTAACATTCTTACCCAATGTCAATGAAGTGGGAAGAGATTTTGTCAGCTTTGCTGCAAACCCACAGTTGATTTGGTTCATGTAAATCGAAGTATTTCATGGGAAAGAATGATGCAACAAATAAGATTTCAGTCTTTGACCACTTTGGTAGTGGGTTTGATCTTTGTACTCACCTCCCAGTGCTTTAGTAGCTGATATCTGCACCTTGGGCATTGAGGTTGTAGTCGTTGCTACGCATGCGGAAAATTCAGTCTAACTGGGTCTAAAGCGAACTGTGAAATATTTTAGCCAATGTGTGAAACACGGAAAAAGGGTACTTATAAAGTGTGATTGTGTCGGCTGTTAACCTAATTGCATTTCATGCTTGTAGTATTTGAAAACATTGAAATTGTCTTAACGTTGTATATTGCATTGTATTTGCTTTGGGCTGTTGTCTCAGCTACTGGAAATGCAAGTACTGGAGAAACAGCATCATCAGCAACAACCATGGTATCAAGCACTACCCTGTCGCGAAGCATGCTACCAACAAATACCACGCCAACAGCGCCATTGGCAACAAGTGCAGGTCAGTTTCCTGAAAAGTACAATCATGTTTCAAGTTGGCTTTACTCAGATGCCTAAGCGTTCTTTAGCTTTACCTATTCACGATCCTTTTGATACTTGAAGTAGTTGCTAAGTATTGGAATGTGTTCTTGGTTGTAGGTTTCTTTTAAGGTTTCCTGTACCACAATGTACATCATCACTCTCTTAGTATTGACTCCCATTAATTCTTGCTATACATGTACCTAAAAGGAGTCCAAAATTCCTGCATATTTTACTCCTTAGCCTTAAGGCTATATTGACTGCTTATATTTGACTCCCTTTTAGGGATTGAACACGTGCTTGGGTTTGTTCCGATAAATCTAATATTGATTTCAAAGTACTCAAAGTACCAGAAAAGTTTACATAGCACCTTGTCGTTCAATTCCCTCTCCCCGCTCCCCCCGCCCCCTTTGCCTTTTCAATTTTGACAATCCCACTGTGGGATGGGTGTGTCGACTTCTCAGCACATCTCTTTTTCCCTTTGCATGTAACATTGCCTGATAGCTGTAGTACTGGACTGAACGGTTGTGCTGGTTCAGTGGCAGAGTTGAATAAAATGGGCAGTAGGACTGCATTCTCATACTGTTCTTCATATGTTGGGCTGCCCCGTATTGGGTACAGATTTGTCCGGCTATGGAAAAACTTTGCCAGGTGCCCATCTTCAATGTTATGCTGGCTATGAGTCTCTGTCTTTGCATTTGCTGCTCTTTCTTTGGGCTTGCTGCCTCTTGGCGACATGGAAACTGAAACATCTCCTGACGATCTATGTTCTGTAGAAGCAAAGAGCACATCACCTACAGTGGCACAAGTCACTACTACTGCTGCAACAACAACAGCAACAGGTTGGTACTTTTCACAAGTTCTTAGCCATTTTTGAAAAATGTGGAAGTTGCTGGTGCGGTTGGATTTTGTTGGCCATTTTTCGTGTTGTAATTCATGCTTGTATATACAGGGTAGGCCTCGCTATAATGACCATCGCTATAACACAAACCTCACTACAAAGTACGAAATGCAAATTTCCCTGCCGAAACCGCATCACTTCTGTACAAAAATGTCCTCGCTATAACATAATCCGCTATAGCATAATTTTCGCTACAACACACTGTTTCGCAGTGTTTACTTGGTCCCAAGTGCCCAGAGACCTCAATATAATACAATAAGACGTACAGTGCATTGTCTTTCCGGCCCAAACCACTTTCTTTTCTTGAAATTTCTGCTCACGACTGCATATCCTTGCTTGCATTCCACGCGTCTACTGGAATTCATGCGTTCTTCCAACACTACAGTCGTGTGGACTGGGTACATAATGTGTACTTCGCAAAGTAGTGTTTTCATCGCAATGCAGTGGAGACCCTAGTGCAACACACTGCCTGAGTTGACCAGAGTGGATCATTACTACATTAGCGCAACAGTTGTGATCAGTAAGCAAAGAGCGTCATTTTGACATACATGTTGAAAACTGGTGTCCCCAACTCACTGACTATAACATAAACAAACATTGCCAAACCCCAGAGATTACGTTATAGCGAGGTCTGACCTGTATTTGGAAAGGTTATAAAGCAGTAGTTGATAGTAATGTATTTTCTTCTTCTTCTTTTTGACTATTTTCCTTAGTTACTGGTGGTGGTGATTCTGACACTACTACTTTACTGGCAACAACAATGGAGAAGACATCACCTACAATGGCGCAAGCCGCTACTACTGCTGCAACAGCAACAGGTTAGTACCTTACACAAGTTTTTAGCCATTTTTGAGCATATGGAAGTTGATGGTAAAGTTGATTTTGTTGGCCTTTTTCCGTGTTGCAATTCATGCCTGTCATTGGCGGCTCCAAGTGGAGTCATTCGGCGGCTCCCTGCAGAGTCATTTGGCGGCTCCATGCTGAATGATTAGGCGGCTCCATGCGGAGTCATTCGGCGGCTCCATGTGGAGTCATTCGGCAGCTCCAAGTGGAGTCATTTGCCGGCTGAGCTGCGAGCCAACTAGCGATCATACCAGTTGCTCGAATCGGCACTCCCAGCTTAATCCAAACTCGGTTGCTCTGCTGTGAGGTGGAGGGATGCTAATTGAAATTATTGGTGTGAGTACTGGCTACCGAGGGTAGCAATGGTCACCTTTAGAGCACATGGAGGAGGAGAGTTTGTAGTATTATTCAACAGCCGATTGGTACCGTTCACAGTTTTATAGAATATTCATTGGATAACAATGTATTTTCTTCTTCTTTTTGGCTATTTTCCTTAGTTACTGGTACTGGTGATTCTGACACTACTACTTTACTGGCAACAACAGTGAAAACCACATCACCTACAATGGCGCAAGCCGCTACTACTGCTGCAACAGCAACAGGTTTGTACCTTACACAAGTTCTTAGCCATTTTTGAGCATATGGAAGTTGATGGTATGGTTAATTTTGTTGGCCTTTTTCCGTGTTGCAATTCATGCCTGTTATTGGCGGCTCCAAGCGGAGTCATTCGGCGGCTCCATGCAGAGTCATTCGGCGGCTCCATGCAGAGTCATTTGGCGGCTCCATGCGGAGTCATTCGGCGGCTTCATGCGGAGGCATTCGGCGGCTCCATGTGGAGTCATTCCGCGGCTCCAAGCGGAGTCATTTGCCGGCTCAGCTGCGAGACAACTAGTGGCTCCAAGCAGAACCATAATACCAGGTGCTCGAATCGGCACACCCAGCTTAATCCAAATACGGTTGCTGTGTCGTGAGGTGTGGGGATGCTAATTGAAATTATTGGTGTGAGTACTGGCTACCGAGGGTAGCAATGGTCACCTTTAGAGCACATGCAGCAGGAGAGTTTGCAGTATTATTCAACAGGCGATTGGTACCGCTCACAGTTTTATAGAATATTCATGGGATAACAATGTATTTTCTTCTTTTTTTTGGCTGTTTCCTTTTAGACACTGGTAGTGGTGGTTCTGAAACTACTACTTTACTGCCAACGACAGATCCAGAAAGTACAGGTCAGTTACGTATTTTGAGTGGGTGGGTCAAGTGAAACATGTCATGGTGAACTTTTCACTCTGTACCGTAATTCCGCGCATATAAGCCCACGGGCCTATATCCGGATATAAGCCCACCTCCGTTTATAAGCCCATGGTCTAATAAAGAGACACACATGCAACTCACGTGTCAAGTAGAATTTTTCACAAAATGGACTCTTCCTACCAAGGTACAGGAGTTCAGTGCAGTTTACCAGTAGAGTATGGTAGGGCCACTAGTATAAGCACGGACTTGTACTTTTTCGTAAACCTTCAAAATTCGAATATTGGCCCATGGGCTGAAAAACGAACATGTTTTACTGGATATTTTATCCCCAAACTGCATTATTTCACATATAAGCCCATGGGCTTATGCTTGTATGCGCGGAATTACGGTACGCAGTTGAGACGTCACCCACAATGAAAAGTGTCCCTGTTGCCATGACAGTTTAATAACATTCTTACCCAATGTCAATGAAGTGGGAAGAGATTTTGTCAGCTTTGCTGCAAACCCACAGTTGATTTAATAATAATAATAATAATGACAGTTCGCATTTCACTCATTGCATGAGGTCAACGCATCTGTTAACAATTTCGAGCCAAGCAGCTCTATCAGAAGCAGATTGCACAGCATCCAGAAGTGACAGATTAATGCATTGTAAGTCTTTCTTGACAACGTCGATCCATCTCAGACGTGGTCATGCTCGGGGTCGTCGTATGTCTGTTGTGTTGATTGACATTAGGAGGGCTTGGAAAGAGGACGATTCTTCGCCTTCCCTCACTACATGGCCGAACCACAGCAGTCTCCGTTGCCTGCAGACTTGGGATAGTGGGGTCTGCTCGGTTTTGGCATACAGCGCTGTGTTCGAGATTCGTTGTGGGTTGATTTGGTTCATGTAAATCGAAGTATTTCATGGGAAAGAATGATGCAACAAATAGGATTTCAGTCTTTGACCACTTTGGTAGTGGGTTTGATCTTTGCACTCACCTCCCAGTGCTTTAGTAGCTGATATCTGCACCTTGGGCATTGAGGTTGTAGTCGTTGCTACGCATGCGGAAAAGTCAGTCTAACTGGGACTAAAGTGAACTGTGAAATACGTTAGCCAATGTGTGAAACACAGAAAAAGGGCACTTATAAAGTGTGATTGTGTCGGCTGTTAACCTAATTGCATTTCATGCTTGTATTTTTGGAAAACATTGAAAAGGTCTCAACGTTGTGTATTGCATTGTATTTGCTTTGGGCTGTTGTCTCAGCTACTGGAAATGCAAGTACTGGAGAAACAGCGTCATCAGCAACAGCCATGGTATCAAGCACTACCCTGTCGCGAAGCATGCTACCAACAAATACCACCCCAACAGCGCCATTGGCAACAAGTGCAGGTCAGTTTCCTGAAAAGTACAATCATGTTTCAAGTTGGCTTTACTCAGATGCCTAAGCGTTCTTTAGCTTTACCTATTCACGATCCTTTTGATACTTGAAGTAGTTGCTAAGTATTGGAATGTGTTCTTGGTTGTAGGTTTCTTTTAAGGTTTCCTCTACCACAATGTACAGTATCACTCTCTTAGTATTGACTCCCATTGATTCTTGCTATACATGTACCTAAAAGCAGTCCAAAATTCCTGCATATTTTATTCCTTAGCCTTAGGGCTATATTGACTGCTTATATTTGACTTCCTTTTAGGGATTGAACACGTGCTTGGGTTTGTCGCGATAAATCTAATATTGATTTCAAAGTACTCAAAGTACCAGAAAGGTTTACATAGCACCTTGTTGTTCAATTCCCTCTCCCCGCTCCCCCCGCCCCCTTTGCCTTTTCAATTTTGACAATCCCACTGTGGGATGGGTGTGTCGACTTCTCAGCACATCTCTTTTTCCCTTTGCATGTCACATTGCCTGATAGCTGTAGTACAGGACTGGACCGTTGTGCTGGTTCAGTAGCAGAGTTGAATAAAATGGGCAGTAGGACTGCATTCTCATACTGTTCTTCATATGTTGGGCTGCCCCGTATTGGGTACGATTTGTCCAGCTATGGAAAAACTTTGCCAGGTGCCCATCTTCAATGTTATGCTGGCTATGAGTCTCTGTCTTTGCATTTGCTGCTCTTTCTTTGGGCTTGCTGCCTCTTGGCGACATGGAAACTGAAACATCTCCTGACGATCTATGTTCTGTAGAAGCAAAGAGCACATCACCTACAGTGGCACAAGTCACTACTACTGCTGCAACAACAACAGCAACAGGTTGGTACTTTTCACAAGTTCTTAGCCATTTTTGAAAAATGTGGAAGTTGCTGGTGCAGTTGGATTTTGTTGGCCATTTTTCGTGTTGTAATTCATGCTTGTATATACAGTTCAGACCTCGCTATAATGACCATCGCTATAACATAAACCTCACTACAACGTACGAAATGCAAATGTCCCTGCCGAAACCGCATCACTTCTGTACAAAAATGTCCTCGCTATAACATAATCCGCTATAGCGTAATTTTTGCTACAACACACTGTTTCGCAGTGTTTACTTGGTCCCAAGTGCCCAGAGACCTCAATATAATACAATAAGTCGTACAGTGCATTGTCTTTCCGGCCCGAACTACTTTCTTTTCTTGAAATTTCTGCTCATGACTGCATACCCTTGCTTGCATTCAACGCGTCTACTGGAATTCATGCGTTCTTCCAACACTACAGTCGTGTGGACTGGGTACATAATGTGTACTTCGCAAAGTGTTTTCAACACAATGCAGTGGAGACCCTAGTGCAACACACTTCCTGAGTTGACCAGAGTGGATCATTACTACATTAGCGCAACAGTTGTGATCAGTAAGCAAAGTGCGTCATTTTGACATACATGTTGCATACTGGTGTCCCCAGCTCACTAACTATAACATAAACAAACATTGCCAAACCCCAGAGATTACGGTATAGCGGGGTCTGACCTGTATTTGGAAAGGTTATAACAGGGCTGCCACACTTGGAGGGAGAAAAATCTGACGGTGGTCCGGGGGTGTCCCCGGCGAAATGTTTTAGGATAATGGCTTGCTGTTGGGGCTCCAGAACACATTTTTAACTGGCCACACACATGCAAGCACGTCTGCATTTTACAGCTACATGTGCATGTACATGTAGAGGCGACAGTTTCAAATAGGACACAGGTTGCAAACCGGAACGGACTCAATATTCACTTTCTCCCTTGGTATTTTGATTAGAAAACATATGTCACAGTGAAAATACGATGTGATAATACTCCGAGCCAAAATTTCATGGCTCTGCGATGACCAGAAGCGCCATACCAAGCAGGTGAGTTTTTGACGTGTTGCTTTGCACTGCGACTTGAGTTTTACGACTTCCGAAAAATCAACTTCTTGTCGAAGGTAAACAGCGGCTCGCCTCTCGCCAATAAAGCACCGCCTACCAATCAAAACTAATGGAAGCACACACAAGGCTTATTGTTACTCTGTACTGGCCGTCGTGGAGCGATAGCAATTACCTAATTTCAGACCCAGAGTGAATTTGACGTGCACTCTAAAACGTGTCCGGTTTGGAGCCACCTCTGATTTGAACTTTTTTGAAGCGAAAAATTGGGCAACTTAGAGGCAATGGGTCAACACAAAGGAGTGGCTCAGTTCGATTGACTCTGGCCCCAGAGCAAACTTCAACATGCCAGTTTCCTTCCACAAACACATTTCGAGTGAAAAATCAACGCTTATGATCGGTCTGGGTCTACACAAATTTGGCTGTCAAAGCGTTCCGGTATCGAACCGTCTACTCTACAATGACCGGCCAAACGCGACCTGGAAGCGCCGAATGACCAACTGGACTACAAAGCGCTCAAAATAAAATAATCGATTGTCCCCTTTTGGAAACAAAATCGGTCGGTTTGGCCGACAGGCGATCAATAATCGGACGATTTCCGAAAATTCGTAGCAAGTGGCAGCCCTGTTATAAGGCAGTTGATAGTAATGTATTTTCTTCTTCTTCTTTTTGACTATTTTCCTTAGTTACTGGTGGTGGTGATTCTGACACTACTACTTTACTGGCAACAACAATGAAGAAGACATCACCTACAATGGCGCAAGCCGCTACTACTGCTGCAACAGCAACAGGTTAGTACCTTACACAAGTTGTTAGCCATTTTTGAGCATATTGAAGTTGATGGTATGGTTGATTTTGTTGGCCTTTTTCCGTGTTGCAATTCATGCCTGTCATTGGCGGCTCCAAGCGGAGTCATTCAGCGGCTCCCTGCAGAGTCATTTGGCGGCTCCATGCTGAATAATTAGGCGGCTCCATGCAGAGTCATTCAGCAGGTCCATGCGGAGTCTTTCGGCGGCTCCATGTCGAGTCATTCGGCAGCTCCAAGTGGAGTCATTTGCCGGCTGAGCTGCGAGCCAACCAGCGATCATACCAGTTGCTCGAATCGGCACTCCCAGCTTAATCCAAACTCGGTTGCTCTGCTGTGAGGTGGGGGGATGCTAATTGAAATTATTGGTGTGAGTACTGGCTACCGAGGGTAGCAATGGTCACCTTTAGAGCACATGGAGGAGGAGAGTTTATAGTATTATTCAACAGGCGATTGGTACCGTTCACAGTTTTATAGAATATTCATTGGATAACAATGTATTTTCTTCTTTGGCTATTTTCCTTAGTTACTGGTACTGGTGATTCTGACACTACTACTTTACTGGCAACAACAGTGAAGACCACATCACCTACAATGGCGCAAGCCACTACTACTGCTGCAACAGCAACAGGTTTGTACCTTACACAAGTTCTTAGCCATTTTGAGCATATGGAAGTTGATGATATGGTTAATTTTGTTGGCCTTTTTCCATGTTGCAATTCATGCCTGTCATTGGCGGCTCCAAGCGGAGTCATTCGGCGGCTCCATGCAGAGTCATTTGGCGGCTCCATGCGGAGTCATTCGGCGGCTCCATGCGGAGTCATTCGGCGGCTCCATGTGGAGTCATTCCGCGTCTCCAAGTGGAGTCATTTGCCGGCTCAGCTGCGAGACAACTAGTGGCTCCAAGCAGAACCATAATACCAGGTGCTCGAATTGGCACACCCAGCTTAATCCAAACACGTTTGCTCTGTCGTGAGGTGTGGGGATGTTAATTGAAATTATTGGTGTGAGTACTGGCTACCGAGGGTAGCAATGGTCACCTTTAGAGCACATGGAGGAGGAGAGTTTATAGTATTATTCAACAGGCGATTGGTACCGTTCACAGTTTTATAGAATATTCATTGGATAACAATGTATTTTCTTCTTCTTTTTGGCTGTTTTTCCTTAGTTACTGGTACTGGTGATTCTGACACTACTACTTTACTGGCAACAACAGTGAAGACCACATCACCTACAATGGCGCAAGCCGCTACTACTGCTGCAACAGCAACAGGTTTGTACCTTGCACAAGTTCTTAGCCATTTTTGAGCAATTGGAAGTTGACGATATGGTTAATTTTGTTGGCCTTTTTCCGTGTTGGAATTCATGCCTGTCATTGGCGGCTCCAAGCGGAGTCATTCGGCGGCTCCATGCAGAGTCATTTGGCGGCTCCATGCGGAGTCATTCAGCGGCTCCATGCGGAGCCATTTGGCGGCTCCATGTGGAGTCATTCGGCGGCTTCATGCGGAGGCATTCGGCGGCTCCATGTGGAGTCATTCCGCGGCTCCAAGCGGAGTCATTTGCCGGCTCAGCTGCGAGACAACTAGTAGCTCCAAGCAGAACCATAATACCAGGTGCTCGAATCGGCACACCCAGCTTAATCCAAACACGTTTGCTCTGTCGTGAGGTGTGGGGATGCTAATTGAAATTATTGGTGTGAGTACTGGCTACCGAGGGTAGCAATGGTCACCTTTAGAGCACATGGAGGAGGAGAGTTTGTAGTATTATTCAACAGCCGATTGGTACCGCTCACAGTTTTATAGAATATTCATGGGATAAACAATGTATTTCCTTCTTTTTTTTGGCTGTTTCCTTTTAGACACTGGTAGTGGTGGTTCTGAAACTACTACTTTACTGCCAACGACGGATCCAGAAAGCACAGGTCAGTTACGTATTTTAAGTGGGTGGGTCAAGTGGAACATGCCATGATGAACTTTTCACTGTGTACCGTAATTCCGCGCAAATAAGCCCACTGGCCTATATCCGGATATAAGCCCACCTCCGTTAATAAGCCCATGGGCTAATAAAGAGACACAAATGCAACTCATGTGTCAAGTAGAATTTTTCACAAAATGGACTCTTCCTACCATGGTACAGGAGTTCAGTGCAGTTTACCAGTAGAGTATGGTAGGGCCACTAGTATGAGCACGGACTTGTACTTTTTCGTAAACCTTCAAAATTCGAATATTGGCCCATGGGCTGAAAAACGAACATGTTTTACTGGATAATTTATCCCCAAACTGCATTATTGTCGCAGTAATGTAGTTAGTGTGTGTTAGCATCCACCGATCACACTGCCATGTTTGCATCTGCTGCGCACCGCTGCATCAGTGCATTGCGCACTGCACTCACACTGCCAGCGCATAGATTTGGGCACGCTTAGCCTGACGTCACACAACTGCTTCCTTTGAACTTTGCTCACTGCACTCACACTGCCAGCGCATGGATTCGGGCGCGCTTAGCCTGACGTCGTACAACTGCTTCCTTGGAACTTTCTCTTTCTTTCTTGCTGTTGGCTTCACTTCAAAGACTAGTCTAATGAGTGGTGACTTTTAGCTTGTGCCAGCATCAAATTTTCACCCTCCATCCCTCCCATCTTATCATCTTGCTAATGGTACTAGGGAACATTTAGCTCTATCGCTCCTAACTGGTCACTTGCTTCGCTAGTTGCGGCTCTTCACGAGCCAGTTGTTGCCAATTGCATTGGCTTTGCCTTGCAACCCCATTGTGGCACAATGTGGGCTTATCATCTTGCTAATGGTACTAGGGAACATTTAGCTCTATCACTCCTAACTGGTCACTTGCTTCGCTAGTTGCGGCTCTTCACGAGCCAGTTGTTGCCAATTGCATTGGCTTTGCCTTGCAACCCCATTGTGGCACAATGTGGGTTTATTGCGGCTCCTCGCGAGCCAGTTGCTGCCAGTGGCCTGGCATTGCTTTCCAGCTCTTCGAGCTTTTGCATTACAAGACCAGTTACTCGAAGCAGCACACTATCTCCAAAACAATTCCTTGTTGCCTTGGGCTGAGTATGAGTGTGTGAGGGATATGGTGCTAATTCACATATAAGCCCATGGGCTTATGCTTGTATGCGCGGAATTACGGTACGCAGTTGAGACGTCACCCACAATGAAAAGTGTCCCTGTTGCCATGACAGTTTAGTAACATTCTTACCCAATGTCAATGAAGTGGGAAGAGATTTTGTCAGCTTTGCTGCAAACCCACCGTTGATTTGGTTCATGTAAATCGAAGTATTTCATGGGAAAGAATGATGCAACAAATAAGATTTCAGTCTTTGACCACTTTGGTAGTGGGTTTGATCTTTGTACTTACCTCCCAGTGCTTTAGTAGCTGATATCTGCACCTTGGGCATTGAGGTTGTAGTCGTTGCTACGCATGCGGAAAATTCAGTCTAACTGGGTCTAAAGTGAACTGTGAAATATGTTAGCCAATGTGTGAAACACGGAAAAAGGGTACTTATAAAGTGTGATTGTGTCGGCTGTTAACCTAATTGCATTTCATGCTTGTAGTATTTGAAAACATTGAAATTGTCTTAACGTTGTATATTGCATTGTATTTGCTTTGGGCTGTTGTCTCAGCTACTGGAAATGCAAGTACTGGAGAAACAGCATCATCAGCAACAACCATGGTATCAAGCACTACCCTGTCGCGAAGCATGCTACCAACAAATACCATGCCAACAGCGCCATTGGCAACAAGTGCAGGTCAGTTTCCTGAAAAGTACAATCATGTTTCAAGTTGGCTTTACTCAGATGCCTAAGCGTTCTTTAGCTTTACCTATTCACGATCCTTTTGATACTTGAAGTAGTTGCTAAGTATTGGAATGTGTTCTTGGTTGTAGGTTTCCTGTACCACAATGTACATTATCACTCTCTTAGTATTGACTCCCATTGATTCTTGCTATACATGTACCTAAAAGCAGTCCAAAATTCCTGCATATTTTACTCCTTAGCCTTAGGGCTATATTGACTGCTTATATTTGACTCCCTTTTAGGGATTGAACACGTGCTTGGGTTTGTTCCGATAAATCTAATATTGATTTCAAAGTACTCAAAGTACCAGAAAAGTTTACATAGCACCTTGTCGTTCAATTCCCTCTCCCCGCTCCCCCCGCCACCTTTGCCTTTTCAATTTTGACAATCCCACTGTGGGATGGGTGTGTCGACTTCTCAGCACATCTCTTTTTCCCTTTGCATGTAACATTGCCTGATAGCTGTAGTACTGGACTGAACGGTTGTGCTGGTTCAGTGGCAGAGTTGAATAAAATGGGCAGTAGGACTGCATTCTCATACTGTTCTTCATATGTTGGGCTGCCCCGTATTGGGTACAGATTTGTCCGGCTATGGAAAAACTTTGCCAGGTGCCCATCTTCAATGTTATGCTGGCTATGAGTCTCTGTCTTTGCATTTGCTGCTCTTTCTTTGGGCTTGCTGCCTCTTGGCGACATGGAAACTGAAACATCTCCTGACGATCTATGTTCTGTAGAAGGAAAGAGCACATCACCAACAGTGGCACAAGTCACTACTACTGCTGCAACAACAACAGCAACAGGTTGGTACTTTTCACAAGTTCTTAGCCATTTTTGAAAAATGTGGAAGTTGCTGGTGCGGTTGGATTTTGTTGGCCATTTTTCGTGTTGTAATTCATGCTTGTATATACAGGGTAGGCCTCGCTATAATGACCATCGCTATAACACAAACCTCACTACAAAGTACGAAATGCAAATGTCCCTGCCGAAACCGCATCACTTCTGTACAAAAATGTCCTCGCTATAACATAATCCGCTATAGCATAATTTTCGCTACAACACACTGTTTCGCAGTGTTTACTTGGTCCCAAGTGCCCAGAGACCTCAATATAATACAATAAGTCGTACAGTGCATTGTCTTTCCGGCCCGAACTACTTTCTTTTCTTGAAATTTCTGCTCACGACTGCATACCCTTCCTTGCATTCAACGCGTCTACTGGAATTCATGCGTTCTTCCAACACTACAGTCGTGTGGACTGGGTACATAATGTGTACTTCGCAAAGTAGTGTTTTCAACACAATGCAGTGGAGACCCTAGTACAACACACTTCCTGAGTTGACCAGAGTGGATCATTACTACATTAGCGCAACAGTTGTGATCAGTAGGCAAAGAGCGTCATTTTGACATACATGTTGCATACTGGTGTCCCCAGCTCACTAACTATAACATAAACAAACATTGCCACACCCCAGAGATTACGGTATAGCGGGGTCTGACCTGTATTTGGAAAGGTTATAACAGGGCTGCCACACTTGGAGGGAGAAAAATCTGACGGTGGTCCGGGGGTGTCCCCGGCGAAATGTTTTAGGATAATGGCTTGCTGTTGGGGCTCCAGAACACATTTTTAACTGGCCACACACATGCAAGCACGTCTGCATTTTACAGCTACATGTGCATGTACATGTAGAGGCGACAGTTTCAAATAGGACACAGATTGCAAACCGGAACGGACTCAATATTCACTTTCTCCCTTGGTATTTTGATTAGAAAACATATGTCACAGTGAAAATACGATGTGATAATACTCCGAGCCAAAATTTCATGGCTCTGCGATGACCAGAAGCGCCATACCAAGCAGGTGAGTTTTTGACGTGTTGCTTTGCACTGCGACTTGAGTTTTACGACTTCCGAAAAATCAACTTCTTGTCGAAGGTAAACAGCGGCTCGCCTCTCGCCAATAAAGCACCGCCTACCAATCAAAACTAATGGAAGCACACACAAGGCTTATTGTTACTCTGTACTGGCCGTCGTGGAGCGATAGCAATTACCTAATTTCAGACCCAGAGTGAATTTGACGTGCACTCTAAAACGTGTCCGGTTTGGAGCCACCTCTGATTTGAACTTTTTTGAAGCGAAAAATTGGGCAACTTAGAGGCAATGGGTCAACACAAAGGAGTGGCTCAGTTCGATTGACTCTGGCCCCAGAGCAAACTTCAACATGCCAGTTTCCTTCCACAAACATATTTCGAGTGAAAAATCAACGCTTATGATCGGTTTGGTTCTACACAAATTTGGCTGTCAAAGCGTTCCGGTATCGAACCGTCTACTCTACAATGACCGGCCAAACGCGACCTGGAAGCGCCGAATGACCAACTGGACTACAAAGTGCTCAAAATAAAATAATCGATTGTCCCCTTTTGGAAACAAAATCGGTCGGTTTGGCCGACAGGCGATCAATAATCGGACGATTTCCGAAAATTCGGAGCAAGTGGCAGCCCTGTTATAAGGCAGTTGATAGTAATGTATTTTCTTCTTCTTCTTTTTGACTATTTTCCTTAGTTACTGGTGGTGGTGATTCTGACACTACTACTTTACTGGCAACAACAATGGAGAAGACATCACCTACAATGGCGCAAGCCGCTACTACTGCTGCAACAGCAACAGGTTAGTACCTTACACAAGTTTTTAGCCATTTTTGAGCATATTGAAGTTGATGGTATGGTTGATTTTGTTGGCCTTTTTCCGTGTTGCAATTCATGCCTGTCATTGGCGGCTCCAAGCGGAGTCATTCAGCGGCTCCCTGCAGAGTCATTTGGCGGCTCCATGCTGAATAATTAGGCGGCTCCATGCAGAGTCATTCAGCAGGTCCATGCGGAGTCTTTCGGCGGCTCCGTGTCGAGTCATTCGGCAGCTCCAAGTGGAGTCATTTGCTGGCTGAGCTGCGAGCCAACCAGCGATCATACCAGTTGCTCGAATCGGCACTCCCAGCTTAATCCAAACTCGGTTGCTCTGCTGTGAGGTGGGGGGATGCTAATTGAAATTATTGGTGTGAGTACTGGCTACCGAGGGTAGCAATGGTCACCTTTAGAGCACATGGAGAAGGAGAGTTTATAGTATTATTCAACAGGCGATTGGTACCGTTCACAGTTTTATAGAATATTCATTGGATAACAATGTATTTTCTTCTTTGGCTATTTTCCTTAGTTACTGGTACTGGTGATTCTGACACTACTACTTTACTGGCAACTACAGTGAAGACCACATCACCTACAATGGCACAAGCCACTACTACTGCTGCAACAGCAACAGGTTTGTACCTTACACAAGTTCTTAGCCATTTTGAGCATATGGAAGTTGATGATATGGTTAATTTTGTTGGCCTTTTTCCATGTTGCAATTCATGCCTGTCATTGGCGGCTCCAAGCGGAGTAATTCGGCGGCTCCATGCAGAGTCATTTGGCGGCTCCATGCGGAGTCATTCAGCGGCTCCATGCGGAGTCATTCGGCGGCTCCATGTGGAGTCATTCCGCGTCTCCAAGTGGAGTCATTTGCCGGCTCAGCTGCGAGACAACTAGTGGCTCCAAGCAGAACCATAATACCAGGTGCTCGAATCGGCACACCCAGCTTAATCCAAACACGTTTGCTCTGTCGTGAGGTGTGGGGATGTTAATTGAAATTATTGGTGTGAGTACTGGCTACCGAGGGTAGCAATGGTCACCTTTAGAGCACATGGAGGAGGAGAGTTTATAGTATTATTCAACAGGCGATTGGTACCGTTCACAGTTTTATAGAATATTCATTGGATAACAATGTATTTTCTTCTTCTTTTTGGCTGTTTTTCCTTAGTTACTGGTACTGGTGATTCTGACACTACTACTTTACTGGCAACAACAGTGAAGACCACATCACCTACAATGGCGCAAGCCGCTACTACTGCTGCAACAGCAACAGGTTTGTACCTTGCACAAGTTCTTAGCCATTTTTGAGCATATGGAAGTTGACGATATGGTTAATTTTGTTGGCCTTTTTCCGTGTTGCAATTCATGCCTGTCATTGGCGGCTCCAAGCGGAGTCATTCGGCGGCTCCATGCAGAGTCATTTGGCGGCTCCATGCGGAGTCATTCAGCGGCTCCATGTGGAGCCATTTGGCGGCTCCATGTGGAGTCATTCGGCGGCTTCATGCGGAGGCATTCGGCGGCTCCATGTGGAGTCATTCCGCGGCTCCAAGCGGAGTCATTTGCCGGCTCAGCTGCGAGACAACTAGTAGCTCCAAGCAGAACCATAATACCAGGTGCTCGAATCGGCACACCCAGCTTAATCCAAACACGTTTGCTCTGTCGTGAGGTGTGGGGATGCTAATTGAAATTATTGGTGTGAGTACTGGCTACCGAGGGTAGCAATGGTCACCTTTAGAGCACATGGAGGAGGAGAGTTTGTAGTATTATTCAACAGCCGATTGGTACCGCTCACAGTTTTATAGAATATTCATGGGATAAACAATGTATTTCCTTCTTTTTTTTGGCTGTTTCCTTTTAGACACTGGTAGTGGTGGTTCTGAAACTACTACTTTACTGCCAACGACGGATCCAGAAAGCACAGGTCAGTTACGTATTTTAAGTGGGTGGGTCAAGTGGAACATGCCATGATGAACTTTTCACTGTGTACCGTAATTCCGCGCAAATAAGCCCACTGGCCTATATCCGGATATAAGCCCACCTCCGTTAATAAGCCCATGGGCTAATAAAGAGACACAAATGCAACTCATGTGTCAAGTAGAATTTTTCACAAAATGGACTCTTCCTACCATGGTACAGGAGTTCAGTGCAGTTTACCAGTAGAGTATGGTAGGGCCACTAGTATGAGCACGGACTTGTACTTTTTCGTAAACCTTCAAAATTCGAATATTGGCCCATGGGCTGAAAAACGAACATGTTTTACTGGATAATTTATCCCCAAACTGCATTATTGTCGCAGTAATGTAGTTAGTGTGTGTTAGCATCCACCGATCACACTGCCATGTTTGCATCTGCTGCGCACCGCTGCATCAGTGCATTGCGCACTGCACTCACACTGCCAGCGCATAGATTTGGGCACGCTTAGCCTGACGTCACACAACTGCTTCCTTTGAACTTTGCTCACTGCACTCACACTGCCAGCGCATGGATTCGGGCGCGCTTAGCCTGACGTCGTACAACTGCTTCCTTGGAACTTTCTCTTTCTTTCTTGCTGTTGGCTTCACTTCAAAGACTAGTCTAATGAGTGGTGACTTTTAGCTTGTGCCAGCATCAAATTTTCACCCTCCATCCCTCCCATCTTATCATCTTGCTAATGGTACTAGGGAACATTTAGCTCTATCGCTCCTAACTGGTCACTTGCTTCGCTAGTTGCGGCTCTTCACGAGCCAGTTGTTGCCAATTGCATTGGCTTTGCCTTGCAACCCCATTGTGGCACAATGTGGGTTTATTGCGGCTCCTCGCGAGCCAGTTGCTGCCAGTGGCCTGGCATTGCTTTCCAGCTCTTCGAGCTTTTGCATTACAAGACCAGTTACTCGAAGCAGCACACTATCTCCAAAACAATTCCTTGTTGCCTTGGGCTGAGTATGAGTGTGTGAGGGATATGGTGCTAATTCACATATAAGCCCATGGGCTTATGCTTGTATGCGCGGAATTACGGTACGCAGTTGAGACGTCACCCACAATGAAACGTGTCCCTGTTGCCATGACAGTTTAGTAACATTCTTACCCAATGTCAATGAAGTGGGAAGAGATTTTGTCAGCTTTGCTGCAAACCCACAGTTGATTTGGTTCATGTAAATCGAAGTATTTCATGGGAAAGAATGATGCAACAAATAAGATTTCAGTCTTTGACCACTTTGGTAATGGGTTTGATCTTTGTACTCACCTCCCAGTGCTTTAGTAGCTGATATCTGCACCTTGGGCATTGAGGTTGTAGTCGTTGCTACGCATGCGGAAAATTCAGTCTAACTGGGACTAAAGTGAACTGTGAAATATGTTAGCCAATGTGTGAAACACGGAAAAAGGGTACTTATAAAGTGTGATTGTGTCGGCTGTTAAAGGGGAAGTATACCATAAAATCAAATTTTCACCAGTTGTAGTCTTCGGGGTGCTGAGTCGAATGGTCTTGGTCCGAGGAAGCTGCGACGCTCCCTTCCTACTTGAATCCCAATCGAACTCGCGCACTTCCACCGAAACTGGGTGACTGCGCCCTACTAGATGGGGATTTGTATGCAAAATGTCACTAAAAGCGCCATTTCGTTCTTATAAAAGCACGGATGACCGCGAGTGGCCCATATGTTGTAGTCTTTTGGACGCTGAGTCGACTGGTCTTGGTCCGAAAAGGCTGCGATGCAGCGTTCCTCCTTTATTCCCAATCGAACATGGTTGAAGAAGCGGTCACGTGGTCCTGGGTGCCCAAATCACCTGGTCACCGCGCCAGCAGGCGACAACTTTCACACCAAGGTTCAACTCGAGTGACAGGACTGCACCCAAAAAAGGTCAAACAGGCTAGTAAGTTGTACCCTGCAGGCACGGTGACCAGGTGACTGGTGTACGCAGGAGCACGTGACCGCTTGTTCAACCATGTTCGATTGGGAATAAAGGAGGAACGCTGCATCGCAGCCTTTTCGGACCAAAACCAGTCGACTCAGCGTCCAAAAGACTACAACATATGGGCCAATCGCGGTCATCCGTGCTTTTATAAGAACGAAATGGCGCTTTTAGTGACATTTTGCATACAAATCCCCATCTAGTAGGGCGCAGTCACCCAGTTTCGGTGGAAGTGCGCGAGTTCGATTGGGATTCAAGTAGAAAGGGAGCGTCTCAGCTTCCTCGGACCAAGACCATTCGACTCAGCACCCCGAAGACTACAACTGGTGAAAATTTGATTTTAGGGTATACTTCCCCTTTAACCTAATGGCATTTCATGCTTGTAGTATTTGAAAACATTGAAATTGTCTTAACGTTGTATATTGCATTGTATTTGCTTTGGGCTGTTGTCTCAGCTACTGGAAATGCAAGTACTGGAGAAACAGCATCATCAGCAACAACCATGGTATCAAGCACTACCCTGTCGCGAAGCATGCTACCAACAAATACCACGCCAACAGCGCCATTGGCAACAAGTGCAGGTCAGTTTCCTGAAAAGTACAATCATGTTTCAAGTTGGCTTTACTCAGATGCCTAAGCGTTCTTTAGCTTTACCTATTCACGATCCTTTTGATACTTGAAGTAGTTGCTAAGTATTGGAATGTGTTCTTGGTTGTAGGTTTCTTTTAAAAGGTTTCCTGTACCACAATGTACATCATCACTCTCTTAGTATTGACTCCCATTAATTCTTGCTATACATGTACCTAAAAGCAGTCCAAAATTCCTGCATATTTTACTCCTTAGCCTTAAGGCTATATTGACTGCTTATATTTGACTCCCTTTTAGGGATTGAACACGTGCTTGGGTTTGTCACGATAAATCTAATATTGATTTCAAAGTACTCAAAGTACCAGAAAAGTTTACATAGCACCTTGTCGTTCAATTCCCTCTCCCCGCTCCCCCCGCCACCTTTGCCTTTTCAATTTTGACAATCCCACTGTGGGATGGGTGTGTCGACTTCTCAGCACATCTCTTTTTCCCTTTGCATGTAACATTGCCTGATAGCTGTAGTACTGGACTGAACGGTTGTGCTGGTTCAGTGGCAGAGTTGAATAAAATGGGCAGTAGGACTGCATTCTCATACTGTTCTTCATATGTTGGGCTGCCCCGTATTGGGTACAGATTTGTCCGGCTATGGAAAAACTTTGCCAGGTGCCCATCTTCAATGTTATGCTGGCTATGAGTCTCTGTCTTTGCATTTGCTGCTCTTTCTTTGGGCTTGCTGCCTCTTGGCGACATGGAAACTGAAACATCTCCTGACGATCTATGTTCTGTAGAAGCAAAGAGCACATCACCTACAGTGGCACAAGTCACTACTACTGCTGCAACAACAACAGCAACAGGTTGGTACTTTTCACAAGGTCTTAGCCATTTTTGAAAAATGTGGAAGTTGCTGGTGCGGTTGGATTTTGTTGGCCATTTTTCGTGTTGTAATTCATGCTTGTATATACAGGGTAGGCCTCGCTATAATGACCATCGCTATAACACAAACCTCACTACAAAGTACGAAATGCAAATGTCCCTGCCGAAACCGCATCACTTCTGTACAAAAATGTCCTCGCTATAACATAATCCGCTATAGCATAATTTTCGCTACAACACACTGTTTCGCAGTGTTTACTTGGTCCCAAGGGCCCAGAGACCTCAATATAATACAATAAGACGTACAGTGCATTGTCTTTCCGGCCCAAACCACTTTCTTTTCTTGAAATTTCTGCTCACGACTGCATATCCTTGCTTGCATTCAACGCGTCTACTGGAATTCATGCGTTCTTCCAACACTACAGTCGTGTGGACTGGGTACATAATGTGTACTTCGCAAAGTAGTGTTTTCATCGCAATGCAGTGGAGACCCTAGTGCAACACACTGCCTGAGTTGGCCAGAGTGGATCATTACTACATTAGCGCAACAGTTGTGATCAGTAAGCAAAGAGCGTCATTTTGACATACATGTTGAAAACTGGTGTCCCCAACTCACTGACTATAACATAAACAAACATTGCCAAACCCCAGAGATTACGTTATAGCGAGGTCTGACCTGTATTTGGAAAGGTTATAAAGCAGTAGTTGATAGTATTGTATTTTCTTCTTCTTCTTTTTGACTATTTTCCTTAGTTACTGGTGGTGGTGATTCTGACACTACTACTTTACTGGCAACAACAATGGAGAAGACATCACCTACAATGGCGCAAGCCGCTACTACTGCTGCAACAGCAACAGGTTAGTACCTTACACAAGTTTTTAGCCATTTTTGAGCATATGGAAGTTGATGGTATGGTTGATTTTGTTGGCCTTTTTCCGTGTTGCAATTCATGCCTGTCATTGTCGGCTCCAAGTGGAGTCATTCGGCGGCTCCCTGCAGAGTCATTTGGCGGCTCCATGCTGAATGATTAGGCGGCTCCATGCAGAGTCATTCGGCGGCTCCATGTGGAGTCATTCGGCAGCTCCAAGTGGAGTCATTTGCCGGCTGAGCTGCGAGCCAACTAGCGATCATACCAGTTGCTCGAATCGGCACTCCCAGCTTAATCCAAACTCGGTTGCTCTGCTGTGAGGTGGAGGGGTGCTAATTGAAATTATTGGTGTGAGTACTGGCTACCGAGGGTAGCAATGGTCACCTTTAGAGCACATGGAGGAGGAGAGTTTGTAGTATTATTCAACAGCCGATTGGTACCGTTCACAGTTTTATAGAATATTCATTGGATAACAATGTATTTTCTTCTTCTTTTTGGCTATTTTCCTTAGTTACTGGTACTGGTGATTCTGACACTACTACTTTACTGGCAACAACAGTGAAAACCACATCACCTACAATGGCGCAAGCCGCTACTACTGCTGCAACAGCAACAGGTTTGTACCTTACACAAGTTCTTAGCCATTTTTGAGCATATGGAAGTTGATGGTATGGTTAATTTTGTTGGCCTTTTTCCGTGTTGCAATTCATGCCTGTTATTGGCGGCTCCTAGCGGAGTCATTCGGCGGCTCCATGCAGAGTCATTCGGCGGCTCCATGCAGAGTCATTTGGCGGCTCCATGCGGAGTCATTCGGCGGCTTCATGCGGAGGCATTCGGCGGCTCCATGTGGAGTCATTCCGCGGCTCCAAGCGGAGTCATTTGCCGGCTCAGCTGCGAGACAACTAGTAGCTCCAAGCAGAACCATAATACCAGGTGCTCGAATCGGCACACCCAGCTTAATCCAAACACGGTTGCTGTGTCGTGAGGTGTGGGGATGCTAATCGAAATTATTGGTGTTAGTACTGGCTACCGAGGGTAGCAATGGTCACCTTTAGAGCACATGCAGCAGGAGAGTTTGCAGTATTATTCAACAGGCGATTGGTACCGCTCACAGTTTTATAGAATATTCATGGGATAACAATGTATTTTCTTCTTTTTTTTGGCTGTTTCCTTTTAGACACTGGTAGTGGTGGTTCTGAAACTACTACTTTACTGCCAACGACAGATCCAGAAAGTACAGGTCAGTTACGTATTTTAAGTGGGTGGGTCAAGTGGAACATGTCATGGTGAACTTTTCACTCTGTACCGTAATTCCGCGCATATAAGCCCACGGGCCTATATCCGGATATAAGCCCACCTCCGTTTATAAGCTCATGGGCTAATAAAGAGACACACATGCAACTCGCGTGTCAAGTAGAATTTTTCACAAAATGGACTCTTCCTACCATGGTACAGCAGTTCAGTGCAGTTTACCAGTAGAGTATGGTAGGGCCACTAGTATGAGCACGGACTTGTACTTTTTCGTAAACCTTCAAAATTCGAATATTGGCCCATGGGCTGAAAAACGAACATGTTTTACTGGATATGTTATCCCCAAACTGCATTATTTCACATATAAGCCCATGGGCTTATGCTTGTATGCGCGGAATTACGGTACGCAGTTGAGACGTCACCCACAATGAAAAGTGTCCCTGTTGCCATGACAGTTTAATAACATTCTTACCCAATGTCAATGAAGTGGGAAGAGATTTTGTCAGCTTTGCTGCAAACCCACAGTTGATTTAATAATAATAATAATAATAATGACAGTTCGCATTTCACTCATTGCATGAGGTCAACGCATCTGTTAACAATTTCGAGCCAAGCAGCTCTATCAGAAGCAGATTGCACAGCATCCAGAAGTGACAGATTAATGCATTGTAAGTCTTTCTTGACAACGTCGATCCATCTCAGACGTGGTCATGCTCGGGGTCGTCGTATGTCTGTTGTGTTGATTGACATTAGGAGGGCTTGGAAAGAGGACGATTCTTCGCCTTCCCTCACTACATGGCCGAACCACAGCAGTCTCCGTTGCCTGCAGACTTGGGATAGTGGGGTCTGCTCGGTTTTGGCATACAGCGCTGTGTTCGAGATTCGTTGTGGGTTGATTTAGTTCATGTAAATCGAAGTATTTCATGGGAAAGAATGATGCAACAAATAGGATTTCAGTCTTTGACCACTTTGGTAGTGGGTTTGATCTTTGCACTCACCTCCCAGTGCTTTAGTAGCTGATATCTGCACCTTGGGCATTGAGGTTGTAGTCGTTGCTACGCATGCGGAAAAGTCAGTCTAACTGGGACTAAAGTGAACTGTGAAATACGTTAGCCAATGTGTGAAACACAGAAAAAGGGCACTTATAAAGTGTGATTGTGTCGGCTGTTAACCTAATTGCATTTCATGCTTGTATTTTTGGAAAACATTGAAAAGGTCTCAACGTTGTGTATTGCATTGTATTTTCTTTGGGCTGTTGTCTCAGCTACTGGAAATGCAAGTACTGGAGAAACAGCGTCATCAGCAACAGCCATGGTATCAAGCACTACCCTGTCGCGAAGCATGCTACCAACAAATACCACCCCAACAGCGCCATTGGCAACAAGTGCAGGTCAGTTTCCTGAAAAGTACAATCATGTTTCAAGTTGGCTTTACTCAGATGCCTAAGCGTTCTTTAGCTTTACCTATTCACGATCCTTTTGATACTTGAAGTAGTTGCTAAGTATTGGAATGTGTTCTTGGTTGTAGGTTTCTTTTAAGGTTTCCTGTACCACAATGTACAGTATCACTCTCTTAGTATTGACTCCCATTGATTCTTGCTATACATGTACCTAAAAGCAGTCCAAAATTCCTGCATATTTTACTCCTTAGCCTTAGGGCTATATTGACTGCTTATATTTGACTTCCTTTTAGGGATTGAACACGTGCTTGGGTTTGTCACGATAAATCTAATATTGATTTCAAAGTACTCAAAGTACCAGAAAAGTTTACATAGCACCTTGTCGTTCAATTCCCTCTCCCCGCTCCTCCCGCCCCCTTTGCCTTTTCAATTTTGACAATCCCACTGTGGGATGGGTGTGTCGACTTCTCAGCACATCTCTTTTTCCCTTTGCATGTCACATTGCCTGATAGCTGTAGTACAGGACTGGACCGTTGTGCTGGTTCAGTGGCAGAGTTGAATAAAATGGGCAGTAGGACTGCATTCTCATACTGTTCTTCATATGTTGGGCTGCCCCGTATTGGGTACGATTTGTCCGGCTATGGAAAAACTTTGCCAGGTGCCCATCTTCAATGTTATGCTGGCTATGAGTCTCTGTCTTTGCATTTGCTGCTCTTTCTTTGGGCTTGCTGCCTCTTGGCGACATGGAAACTGAAACATCTCCTGACGATCTATGTTCTGTAGAAGCAAAGAGCACATCACCTACAGTGGCACAAGTCACTACTACTGCTGCAACAGCAACAGAAACAGGTTGGTACTTTTCACAGGTTCTTAGCCATTTTTGAAAAATGGGGAAGTTGCTGGTGCGATTGGATTTTGTTGGCCATTTTTCGTGTTGTAATTTATGCTTGTATATATACAGGTCAGACCTCGCTATAATGACCATCGCTACAGTCGACCTACCCTTATAACGATATTTGCGTCAGACCAAGAAATATTGTTATAAGGGTAATATTGTTATAGGGGTAACTGGTTCATTTCATACACATACGTCATAATGCATGGTTTTTGTCCATTTTTTACACTCCTCGTAGCATAAAAAACTGAAGTACATGCACAGTATGTACACAGCAAGGTGCCAACTGCTGCCCCCATTGCATTTCGTCATTTCCCAGTAACTTATCAAGTGAAACTTGCCCTACCTGGATAGTGGGCTCTACATACCCCATGCTTGATATTGTTATAAAATGGAAAATGTCGATTGGTCAGCCCATTTTATATCGTTATAGAGGTAATATCGTTATAGCAATATTGTTATAGAGGTAATGCATTGTATACACAAGTCAATGGAGTGATTTGGTTTGGCAGAAAAATATCGTTATATAGGTAATATCGTTATAGAGGTTATCGTTATAAGGGTAGGTCGACTGTATAACATAAACCTCACTACAACGTGCGAAATGCAAATGTCCCTGCCGAAACCGCATCACTTCTGCACAAAAATGTCCTCGCTATAACATAATCCGCTATAGCGTAATTTTCGCTACAACACACTGTTTCGCAGTGTTTACTTGGTCCCAAGTGCCCAGAGACCTCAATATAATACAATAAGTCGTACAGTGCATTGTTTTTCCGGCCCGAACTACTTTCTTTTCTTGAAATTTCTGCTCACGACTGCATACCCTTGCTTGCATTCAACGCGTCTACTGGAATTCATGCGTTCTTCCAACACTGCAGTCGTGTGGACTGGGTACATAATGTGTACTTCGCAAAGCAGTGTTTTCAACACAATGCAGTGGAGACCCTAGTACAACACACTTCCTGAGTTGACCAGAGTGGATCATTACTACATTAGCGCAACAGTTGTGATCAGTAAGCAAAGAGCGTCATTTTGACATACATGTTGCATACTGGTGTCCCCAGCTCACTAACTATAACATAAACAAACATTGCCAAACCCCAGAGATTACGGTATAGCGAGGTCTGACCTGTATTTGGAAAGGTTATAACAGGGCTGCCACACTTGGAGGGAGAAAATCTGCCGGTGGTCCGGGGGTGTCCCCGGCGAAATGTTTTAGGAAAATGGCTTGCTGTTGGGGCCCCAGAACACATTTTTAACTGGCCACACACATGCAAGCACGCGTGCATTTTACAGCTACATGTGCATGTACATGTAGAGGCGACGGTTTCAAATAGGACACAGGTTGCAAACCGGAACGGACTCAATATTCACTTTCTCTCTTGGTATTTTGATTAGAAAACGTATGTCACAGTGAAAATACGATGTGATAATACTCCGAGCCAAAATTTCATGGCTTTGCGATGACCAGAATCGCCATACCAAGGAGGTGAGTTTTTGACGTGTTGCTTTGCACTGCGACTTGAGTTTTACAACTTCCGAAAAATCAACTTCTTGTCGAAGGTAAACAGCGGCTCGCCTCTCGCCAATAAAGCACCGCATACCAATCAAAACTAATGGAAGCACACACAAGGCTTATTGTTACTCTGTACTGGCCGTCGTGGAGCGATAGCGATTACCTAATTTCAGACCCAGAGTGAATTTGACGTGCACTCTAAAACGTGTCCGGTTTGGAGCCACCTCTGATTTGAACTTTTTTGAAGCGAAAAATTGGGCAACTTAGAGGCAATGGGTCAACACAAAGGAGTGGCTCAGTTCGATTGACTCTGGCCCCAGAGCAAACTTCAACATGCCAGTTTCCTTCCACAAACATATTTCGAGTGAAAAATCAACGCTTATGATCGGTTTGGGTCTACACAAATTTGGCTGTCAAAGCGTTCCAGTACCGAACCGTCTACTCTACAATGACCGGCCAAACGCGACCTGGAAGCGCCGAATGACCAACTGGACTACAAAGCGCTCAAAATAAAATAATCGATTGCCCCCTTTTGGAAACAAAATCGGTCGGTTTGGCCGAGAGGCGATCAATAATCGGACGATTTCCGAAAATTCGTAGCAAGGGGCAGCCCTGTTATAAGGCAGTTGATAGTAATGTATTTTCTTCTTCTTCTTTTTGACTATTTTCCTTAGTTACTGGTACTGGTGATTCTGACACTACTACTTTACTGGCAACAACAATGAAGAAGACATCACCTACAATGGCGCAAGCCGCTACTACTGCTGCAACAGCAACAGGTTAGTACCTTACACAAGTTTTTAGCCATTTTTGAGCATATGGAAGTTGATGGTATGGTTGATTTTGTTGGCCTTTTTCCGTGTTGCAATTCATGCCTGTCATTGGCGGCTCCAAGCGGAGTCATTCAGCGGCTCCCTGCAGAGTCATTTGGCGGCTCCATGCTGAATCATTAGGCGGCTCAATGCAGAGTCATTCAGCAGGTCCATGCGGAGTCTTTCGGCGGCTCCATGTGGAGTCATTCGGCAGCTCCAAGTGGAGTCATTTGCCGGCTGAGCTGCGAGCCAACCAGCGATCATACCAGTTGCTCGAATCGGCACTCCCAGCTTAATCCAAACTCGGTTGCTCTGCTGTGAGGTGGGGGGATGCTAATTGAAATTATTGGTGTGAGTACTGGCTACCGAGGGTAGCAATGGTCACCTTTAGAGCACATGGAGGAGGAGAGTTTATAGTATTATTCAACAGGCGATTGGTACCGTTCACAGTTTTATAGAATATTCATTGGATAACAATGTATTTTCTTCTTCTTTTTGGCTGTTTTTCCTTAGTTACTGGTACTGGTGATTCTGACACTACTACTTTGCTGGCAACAACAGTGAAGACCACATCACCTACAATGGCGCAAGCCACTACTACTGCTGCAACAGCAACAGGTTTGTACCTTACACAAGTTCTTAGCCATTTTGAGCATATAGAAGTTGATGATATGGTTAATTTTGTTGGCCTTTTTCCGTGTTGCAATTCATGCCTGTCATTGGCGGCTCCAAGCGGAGTCATTCGGCGGCTCCATGCAGAGTCATTTGGCGGCCCCATGCGGAGTCATTCGGCGGCTCCATGCGGAGTCATTTGGCGGTTCCATGTGGAGTCATTCCGCGGCTCCAAGTGGAGTCATTTGCCGGCTCGGCTGCGAGACAACTAGTGGCTCCAAGCAGAACCATAATACCAGGTGCTCGAATCGGCACACCCAGCTTAATCCAAACACGTTTGCTCTGTCGTGAGGTGTGGGGATGCTAATTGAAATTATTGGTGTGAGTACTGGCTACCGAGGGTAGTAATGGTCACCTTTAGAGCACATGGAGGAGGAGAGTTTGTAGTATTATTCAACAGCCGATTGGTACCGCTCACAGTTTTATAGAATATTCATGGGATAACAATGTTTTTTTGTTTTTTTTGGCTGTTTCCTTTTAGACACTGGTAGTGGTGGTTCTGAAACTACTACTTTACTGCCGACGACGGATCCAGAAAGCACAGGTCAGTTACGTATTTTAAGTGGGTGGGTCAAGTGGAACATGCCATGATGAACTTTTCACTGTGTACCGTAATTCCGCGGAAATAAGCCCACGGGCCTATATCCGGATATAAGCCTACCTCCGTTAATAAGCCCATGGGCTAATAAAGAGACACAAATGCAACTCATGTGTCAAGTAGAATTTTTCACAAAATGGACTCTTCCTACCATGGTACAGCAGTTCAGTGCAGTTTACCAGTAGAGTATGGTAGGGCCACTAGTATGAGCACGGACTTGTACTTTTTCGTAAACCTTCAAAATTCTAATATTGGCCCATGGGCTGAAAACAAACATGTTTTACTGGATAATTTATCCCCAAACTGCATTATTTCACATGTAAGCCCATGGGCTTATGCTTGTATGCGCGGAATTACGGTACGCAGTTGAGACGTCACCCACAATGAAAAGTGTCCCTGTTGCCATGACAGTTTAGTAACATTCTTACCCAATGTCAATGAAGTGGGAAGAGATTTTGTCAGCTTTGCTGCAAACCCACAGTTGATTTGGTTCATGTAAATCGAAGTATTTCATGGGAAAGAATGATGCAACAAATAAGATTTCAGTCTTTGACCACTTTGGTAGTGGGTTTGATCTTTGTACTCACCTCCCAGTGCTTTAGTAGCTGATATCTGCACCTTGGGCATTGAGGTTGTAGTCGTTGCTACGCATGCGGAAAAGTCAGTCTAACTGGGTCTAAAGTGAACTGTGAAATATGTTAGCCAATGTATGAAACACAGAAAAAGGGCACTTATAAAGTGTGATGGTGTCGGCTGTTAACCTAATTGCATTTCATGCTTGTATTTTTGGAAAACATTGAAAACGTCTCAACGTTGTGTATTGCATTTTATTTGCTTTGGGCCGTTGTCTCAGGTACTGGAAATGCAAGTACTGGAGAAACAGCGTCATCAGCAACAACCATGGTATCAAGCACTACCCTGTCGCCAAGCATGCTACCAACAAATACCACGCCAACAGCGCCATTGGCAACAAGTGCAGGTCAGTTTCCTGAAAAGTACAATCATGTTTCAAGTCGGCTTTACTCAGATGTCTAAGCGTTCTTTAGCTTTACCTATTCACGATCCTTTTGATACTTGAAGTAGTTGCTAAGTATTGGAATGTGTTCTTGGTTGTAGCTTTCTTTTAAGGTTTGCTTTACCACAATGTACATTATCACTCTCTTAGTATTGACTCCCATTGATTCTTGCTATACATGTACCTAAAAGCAGTCCAAAATTCCTGCATATTTTACTCCTTAGCCTCAGGGCTATATTGACTGCTTATATTTGACTTCCTTTTAGGGGTTGAACACGTGCTTGGGTTTGTCGCGATAAATCTAATATTGATTTCAAAGTACTCAAAGTACCAGAAAAGTTTACGTAGCACCTTGTCGTTCAATTCCCTCTCCCCGCTCCCCCCGCCCCCTTTGCCTTTTCAATGTTGACAATCCCACTGTGGGATGGGTGTGTCGACTTCTCAGCACATCTCTTTTTCCCTTTGCATGTCACATTGCCTGATAGCTGTAGTACAGGACTGGACCGTTGTGCTGGTTCAGTGGCAGAGTTGAATAAAATGGGCAGTAGGACTGCATTCTCATCCTGTTCTTCATATGTTGGGCTGCCCCGTATTGGGTACAGATTTGTCCAGCTATGGAAAAACTTTGCCAGGTGCCCATCTTCAATGTTATGCTGGCTATGAGTCTCTGTCTTTGCATTTGCTGCTCTTTCTTTGGGCTTGCTGCCTCTTGGCGACATGGAAACTGAAACATCTCCTGACGATCTATGTTCTGTAGAAGCAAAGAGCACATCACCTACAGTGGCACAAGTCACTACTAGTGCTGCAACAGCAACAGCAACAGGTTGGTACTTTTCACAAGTTCTTAGCCATTTTTAAAAAATGTGGAAGTTGCTGGTGCGGTTGGATTTTGTTGGCCATTTCTCGTGTTGTAATTCATGCTTGTATATACAGGTCAGACCTCGCTATAATGACCATCGCTATAACATAAACCTCACTACAACGTACGAAATGCAAATGTCCCTGCCGAAACCGCATCACTTCTGTACAAAAATGTCCTCGCTATAACATAATCCGCTATAGCGTAATTTTTGTTACAACACACTGTTTCGCAGTGTTTACTTGGTCCCAAGTGCCCAGAGACCTCAATATAATACAATGAGTCGTACAGTGCATTGTCTTTCCGGCCCGGACTACTTTCTTTTCTTGAAATTTCTGCTCACGACTGCATACCCTTGCTTGCATTCAACGCGTCTACTGGAATTCATGCGTTCTTCCAACACTACAGTCGTGTGGACTGGGTACATAATGTGTACTTCGCAAAGTGTTTTCAACACAATGCACTGGAGACCCTAGTACAACACACTTCCTGAGTTGACCAGAGTGGATCATTACTACATTAGCGCAACAGTTGTGATCAGTAAGCAAAGAGCGTCATTTTGACATACATGTTGCATACTGGTGTCCCCAGCTCACTAACTATAACATAAACAAACATTGCCACACCCCAGAGATTACGGTATAGCGAGGTCTGACCTGTATTTGGAAAGGTTATAACAGGGCTGCCACACTTGGAGGGAGAACAATCTGACGGTGGTCCGGGGGTGTCCCCGGCGAAATGTTTTAGGAAAATGGCTTGCTGTTGGGGCTCCAGAACACATTTTTAACTGGCCACACACATGCAAGCACGTGTGCATTTTACAGCTACATGTGCATGTACATGTAGAGGCGACAGTTTCAAATAGGACACAGGTTGCAAACCGGAACGGACTCAATATTCACTTTCTCTCTTGGTATTTTGATTAGAAAGCATATGTCACAGTGAAAATACGATGTGATAATACTCCGAGCCAAAATTTCATGGCTCTGCGATGACCAGAAGCGCCATACCAAGCAGGTGAGTTTTTGACGTGTTGCTTTGCACTGCGACTTGAGTTTTACGACTTCCGAAAAATCAACTTCTTGTCGAAGGTAAACAGCGGCTCGCCTCTCGCCAATAAAGCACCGCATACCAATCAAAACTAATGGAAGCACACACAAGGCTTATTGTTACTCTGTACTGGCCGTCGTGGAGCGATAGCAATAACCTAATTTCAGACCCAGAGTGAATTTGACGTGCACTCTAAAACGTGTCCGGTTTGGAGCCACCTCTGATTTGAACTTTTTTGAAGCGAAAAATTGGGCAACTTAGAGGCAATGGGTCAACACAAAGGAGTGGCTCAGTTCGATTGACTCTGGCCCCAGAGCAAACTTCAACATGCCAGTTTCCTTCCACAAACATATTTCGAGTGAAAAATCAACGCTTATGATCGGTTTGGGTCTACACAAATTTGGCTGTCAAAGCGTTCCGGTATCGAACCGTCTACTCTACAATGACCGGCCAAACGCGACCTGGAAGCGCCGAATGACCAACTGGACTACAAAGCGCTCAAAATAAAATAATCGATTGTCCCCTTTTGGAAACAAAATCGGTCGGTTTGGCCGAGAGGCGATCAATAATCGGACGATTTCCGAAAATTCGTAGCAAGTGGCAGCCCTGTTATAAGGCAGTTGATAGTAATGTATTTTCTTCTTCTTCTTTTTGACTATTTTCCTTAGTTACTGGTGGTGGTGATTCTGACACTACTACTTTACTGGCAACAACAATGAAGAAGACATCACCTACAATGGCGCAAGTCGCTACTACTGCTGCAACAGCAACAGGTTAGTACCTTACACAAGTTTTTAGCCATTTTTGAGCATATTGAAGTTGATGGTATGGTTGATTTTGTTGGCCTTTTTCCGTGTTGCAATTCATGCCTGTCATTGGCGGCTCCAAGCGGAGTCATTCAGCGGCTCCCTGCAGAGTCATTTGGCGGCTCCATGCCGAATAATTAGGCGGCTCCATACAGAGTCATTCAGCAGGTCCATGCGGAGTCTTTCGGCGGCTCCATGTGGAGTTATTCGGCAGCTCCAAGTGGAGTCATTTGCCGGCTGAGCTGCGAGCCAACCAGCGATCATACCAGTTGCTCAAATCGGCACTCCCAACTTAATCCAAACTCGGTTGCTCTGCTGTGAGGTGGGGGGATGCTAATTGAAATTATTGGTGTGAGTACTGGCTACCGAGGGTAGCAATGGTCACCTTTAGAGCACATGGAGGAGGAGAGTTTATAGTATTATTCAACAGGCGATTGGTACCGTTCACAGTTTTATAGAATATTCATTGGATAACAATGTATTTTCTTCTTCTTTTTGGCTATTTTACTTAGTTACTGGTACTGGTGATTCTGACACTACTACTTTACTGGCAACAACAGTGAAGACCACATCACCTACAATGGCGCAAGCCGCTACTACTGCTGCAACAGCAACAGGTTTGTACCTTACACAAGTTCTTAGCCATTTTGAGCATATGGAAGTTGATGATATGGTTAATTTTGTTGGCCTTTTTCCATGTTGCAATTCATGCCTGTCATTGGCGGCTCCAAGCGGAGTCATTCGGCGGCTCCATGCAGAGTCATTTGGCGGCTCCATGCGGAGTCATTCGGCGGCTCCATGCGGAGTCATTCGGCGGCTTCATGCGGAGTCATTCGGCGGCTCCATGTGGAGTCATTCCTCGGCTCCAAGCGGAGTCATTTGCCGGCTCAGCTGCGAGACAACTAGTGGCTCCAAGCAGAACCATAATACCAGGTGCTCGAATCGGCACACCCAGCTTAATCCAAACACGGTTGTTGTGTCGTGAGGTGTGGGGATGCTAATTGAAATTATTGGTGTGAGAACTGGCTACCGAGGGTAGCAATGGTCACCTTTAGAGCACATGCAGCAGGAGAGTTTGCAGTATTATTCAATAGCCGATTGGTACCGCTCACAGTTTTATAGAATATTCATTGGATAACAATGTATTTTCTTCTTTTTTTTGGCTGTTTCCTTTTAGACACTGGTAGTGGTGGTTCTGAAACTACTACTTTACTGCCAACGACAGATCCAGAAAGTACAGGTCAGTTACGTATTTTAAGTGGGTGGGTCAAGTGGAACATGTCATGGTGAACTTTTCACTCTGTACCGTAATTCCGCGCATATAAGCCCACGGGCCTATATCCGGATATAAGCCCACCTCCGTTTATAAGCCCATGGGCTAATAAAGAGACACACATGCAACTCACGTGTCAAGTAGAATTTTTCACAAAATGGACTCTTCCTACCATGGTACAGCAGTTCAGTGCAGTTTACCAGTAGAGTATGATAGGGCCACTAGTATAAGCACGGACTTGTACTTTTTCGTAAACCTTCAAAATTCGAATATTGGCCCATGGGCTGAAAAACGAACATGTTTTACTGGATATTTTATCCCCAAACTGCATTATTTCACATATAAGCCCATGGGCTTATGCTTGTATGCGCGGAATTACGGTACGCAGTTGAGACGTCACCCACAATGAAAAGTGTCCCTGTTGCCATGACAGTTTAATAACATTCTTACCCAATGTCAATGAAGTGGGAAGAGATTTTGTCAGCTTTGCTGCAAACCCACAGTTGATTTAATAATAATAATAATAATAATGACAGTTCGCATTTCACTCATTGCATGAGGTCAACGCATCTGTTAACAATTTCGAGCCAAGCAGCTCTATCAGAAGCAGATTGCACAGCATCCAGAAGTTACAGATTAATGCATTGTAAGTCTTTCTTGACAACGTCGATCCATCTCAGACGTGGTCGTCCTCGGGGTCGTCGTATGTCTGTTGTGTTGATTGACATTAGGAGGGCTTGGAAAGAGGACGATTCTTCGCCTTCCCTCACTACATGGCCGAACCACAGCAGTCTCCGTTGCCTGCAGACTTGGAATAGTGGGGTCTGCTCGGTTTTGGCATACAGCGCTGTGTTCGAGATTCGTTGTGGGTTGATTTGGTTCATGTAAATCGAAGTATTTCATGGGAAAGAATGATGCAACAAATAGGATTTCAGTCTTTGACCACTTTGGTAGTGGGTTTGATCTTTGCACTCACCTCCCAGTGCTTTAGTAGCTGATATCTGCACCTTGGGCATTGAGGTTGTAGTCGTTGCTACGCATGCGGAAAAGTCAGTCTAACTGGGACTAAAGTGAACTGTGAAATATGTTAGCCAATGTGTGAAACACAGAAAAAGGGCACTTATAAAGTGTGATTGTGTCGGCTGTTAACCTAATTGCATTTCATGCTTGTATTTTTGGAAAACATTGAAAAGGTCTCAACGTTGTGTATTGCATTGAATTTGCTTTGGGCTGTTGTCTCAGCTACTGGAAATGCAAGTACTGGAGAAACAGCGTCATCAGCAACAGCCATGGTATCAAGCACTTCCCTGTCGCGAAGCATGCTACCAACAAATACCACGCCAACAGCGCCATTGGCAACAAGTGCAGGTCAGTTTCCTGAAAAGTACAATCATGTTTCAAGTCGGCTTTACTCAGATGTCTAAGCGTTCTTTAGCTTTATCTATTCACGATCCTTTTGATACTTGAAGTAGTTGCTAAGTATTGGAATGTGTTCTTGGTTGTAGGTTTCTTTTAAGGTTTCCTGTACCACAATGTACATTATCACTCTCTTAGTATTGACTCCCATTGATTCTTGCTATACATGTACCTAAAAGCAGTCCAAAATTCCTGCATATTTTACTCCTTAGCCTTAGGGCTATATTGACTGCTTATATTTGACTTCCTTTTAGGGATTGAACACGTGCTTGGGTTTGTCGCGATAAATCTAATATTGATTTCAAAGTACTCAAAGTACCAGAAAAGTTTACATAGCACCTTGTCGTTCAATTCCCTCTCCCCGCTCCTCCCGCCCCCTTTGCCTTTTCAATTTTGACAATCCCACTGTGGGATGGGTGTGTCGACTTCTCAGCACATCTCTTTTTCCCTTTGCATGTCACATTGCCTGATAGCTGTAGTACAGGACTGGACCGTTGTGCTGGTTCAGTGGCAGAGTTGAATAAAATGGGCAGTAGGACTGCATTCTCATACTGTTCTTCATATGTTGGGCTGCCCCGTATTGGGTACGATTTGTCCAGCTATGGAAAAACTTTGCCAGGTGCCCATCTTCAATGTTATGCTGGCTATGAGTCTCTGTCTTTGCATTTGCTGCTCTTTCTTTGGGCTTGCTGCCTCTTGGCGACATGGAAACTGAAACATCTCCTGACGATCTATGTTCTGTAGAAGCAAAGAGCACATCACCTACAGTGGCACAAATCACTACTACTGCTGCAACAGCAACAGCAACAGGTTGGTACTTTTCACAAGTTTTTAGCCATTTTTGAAAAATGTGGAAGTTACTGGTGCGGTTGGATTTTGTTGGCCATTTTTCGTGTTGTAATTTATGCTTGTATATACAGGTCAGACCTCGCTATAATGACCATCGCTATAATATAAACCTCACTACAACGTACGAAATGCAAATGTCCCTGCCGAAACCGCATCACTTCTGTACAAAAATGTCCTCGCTATAACATAATCCGCTATAGCGTAATTTTCGATACAACACACTGTTTCGCAGTGTTTACTTGGTCCTAAGTGCCCAGAGACCTCAATATAATACAATAAGTCGTACAGTGCATTGTATTTCCGGCCCGAACTACTTTCTTTTCTTGAAATTTCTGCTCATGACTGCATACCCTTGCTTGCATTCAACGCGTCTACTGGAATTCATGCGTTCTTCCAACACTACAGTCGTGTGGACTGGGTACATAATGTGTACTTCGCAAAGTGTTTTCAACACAATGCAGTGGAGACCCTAGTACAACACACTTCCTGAGTTGACCAGAGTGGATCATTACTACATTAGCGCAACAGTTGTGATCAGTAAGCAAAGAGCGTCATTTTGACATACATGTTGCATACTGGTGTCCCCAGCTCACTAACTATAACATAAACAAACATTGCCAAACCCCAGAGATTACGGTATAGCGAGGTCTGACCTGTATTTGGAAAGGTTATAACAGGGCTGCCACACTTGGAGGGAGAAAATCTGACGGTGGTCCGGGGGTGTCCCCGGCGAAATGTTTTAGGAAAATGGCTTGCTGTTGGGGCCCCAGAACACAATTTTAACTGGCCACACACATGCAAGCACGCGTAGAGGCGACGGTTTCAAATATGACACAGGTTGCACACCGGAACGGACTCAATATTCACTTTCTCTCTTGGTATTTTGATTAGAAAACATATGTCACAGTGAAAATACGATGTGATAATACTCTGAGCCAAAATTTCCATGCAGAGTCATTCAGCAGGTCCATGCGGAGTCTTTCGGCGGCTCCATGTGGAGTCATTCGGCAGCTCGAAGTGGAGTCTATTTTCCTTAGTTACTGGTACTGGTGATTCTGACACTACTACTTTACTGGCAACAACAGTGAAGACCACATCACCTACAATGGCGCAAGCCACTACTACTGCTGCAACAGCAACAGGTTTGTACCTTACACAAGTTCTTAGCCATTTTGAGCATATGGAAGTTGATGTTAACCCGACTGCTGCATGGACGATAAGTGCTGCGAATAGTGATCATGCACCCTGGCCTGAGTAGCTCGCTTGGCTAATTGAAAGTCTGCCGACCTGGGCCACATTATGTTGCTAATACATGCACAACCCCAGTCACAGCGCACAAGTTGGTTGAGTTTGGCCGTCAGGAGGCCAGCGCAAGGTATCCGGGGCGCGGGTCTGATTCCAGCGAGGGGCAAGGTGGTACCCCGCAGCGCAAGGGTAGCGTGATACCCTAAGCCAACGTGCGTGCTGCATGAGTAGCGTGATACTCGCCGAGCGCTTTTGCTGTTGCCTAGCAACGCGTTTCTGTCTTTCCTGGGCCCCCAAATGCATGTTGGGTGGCCCTGCGCATGACTGCACGTTGTCATAGCAACCTTGGAAATCTCAAGCCGGTTACCAACAAGCTAGGAATCAGACCAAGCCGCCGAATGCCCCCAAATTCTGCGTTGGTCAGCCGAATGACCTTAGTGTGGTATTCAAGCGCTTCAGCTACATGTACGTAGTTCAAATGCGTGCCATTTGTATGGTTGTTTTCCCTTAGTGACACTGATAAGGGTTTGAATCGCATGTAGTCGGCAAAAGCAATGGGTGGCATGATGCCTTAGGTGGGAGCTATAGCACAGCAACTGAGGGTGCAGGTAACTTATCATAAGTATCAGAGGCGTGCGTGCACAGTCAGTGCTAGAACGTGAGTGCATACGTCCGCGAATGGGCGTACCAGCGTGTGCGCAGCGGGTGTACCTGCATGCGTGCTTGTGCGGTGTCAGACTGCGGGTGCGCGTACGCGTGCATGCATATGTGTGTGCATGCGTGGGGGTGTGCGTGCGTGTGTATGTGTATGCGGTTGCGTGTATGTGGGTGTGGCTGTGCGCGCTTGCGCCAGCGCAAGGTGTCCGGGGCGCGGGTCTGATTCCAGCGAGGGGCAATGTGGTACCCCACAGCACAAGGGTAGCGTGATACCCTACGCAGCACAAGCGTAGCGTGATACTCTACGCAGCACAAGGGTAGCGTGATACCCTACGCAGCACAAGGGTAGCGTGATACCCTACGCCAACGCGCGCGCTGCATGAGTAGCGTGATACTCGCCAAGCGCTTTTGCTGTTGCCTAGCAACGCGTTTCTGTCTTTCCTGGGCCCCCAAATGCATGTTGGGTGGCCCTGCGCATGACTGCACGTTGTCATAGCAACCTTTGAAATCTCAAGCCTGTTACCAACAAGCTAGGAATCAGACCAAGCCGCCGAATGCCCGCAAATTCCGCGTTGGTCAGCTGAATGACCTTAGTGACACTGATAAGGGTTTGAATCGCATGCAGTCGCAAAAGCCAGGGGTGGCATGGTGCCATAGGTGAGAGCAATAGCACCGCAACAAAGTGGAGCAGATAGCTTCTCATAAGTATCAGAAGCGTGCGTGCACAGTCAGTGCTAGAACGTGAGTGCGTGCGTCCGCGAGTGGGCGTACCAGCGGGTGCTCAGCGTGTGTGCATGCGTGCATGCTTGCACGGTGTCAGAGTGCGGGTGCGCGTACGCGTGCATGCATGTGGGTGTGCGCGTGCGTGCGTGCGTGCGTGCGTGTGTATGTGTATGCGGGTGCGTGTATGTGGCTGTGCGCGCTTGCGCGCCTGCGGACGGTGAACAGTTACTTTCCACAGCGGACATAGTGCTTGTAGCAGGCACTTCGCCATCTGCCGAGTTTCATGATCTCGCATTCGGTGAAGCCGCTCAATGCTCCTGTGGTTGCGGGTCCGGCTCTGAGGCCGTGCAGTGGATACTGGTTCGGTGGGTACCCTGCGCTGCTCAGGAGCTGACGGATTAGACGTGTGAGTCTTTGTGCAGCCAGGAAATTGCCACAGCTTTCGACGACCAGTGGTCTATTGGGCAGGTTGGCGCGTCTGGAGAGATAGGTATGCATGGCTCTGACCGGGCAAACCGTTGAGTTGGTGGTTGTGAGCTGGACGGAGTGACCCTTGCCGAGTTGGTCGGTCTTGGACTTCTTGATTGTGACCTGCATGGCCTGCGGCGTGATGGAGAGGTCATTTGTTCGGAGGCCCCCGTCTGACATGGTTGTGGCGGTTGTGGAAGTGTATTCGCTTGCCCGGAGACAGGCAAATAGCTGCCCATGCCATGGCTCGGTCGGTAGCGTTGACATTAGACCTAATCAGGGCGTTGCGCATAGCTGCCATGTGGGGCCGGAGGATTGGCTTGCTGGCGTTCTTAGTTCGGTTGGCCTGTGCACGTGCCACTCCTTTAACTGCAAGGTCCACTCTTCGCGAAGAGAGATCTTTGCCGTTTTCTTTGGCAATTGCCCGGATCGCCGACACATACAAGCGGACGGTTGACGCGGCATGTTGACGTGCCAGGTAGGCTACAAACGCCAGCATGATGGTGTCTGTAATCACCTTGGTGCCGACTAGTTTGCAGAATTGGTGCAGTCGTTTCCAGGCTGTCGCGCATGTGGCGCTCAGGCACCACAACATCAACAGAGACTCGACCAGCCCGCTGTGCTGCTGTTGCTGCTGCTACTGTTGGGAGTGTTGGCTGTGCACGTGGAGGTACCACTGGTTGCAGACCCATCGATGTGGTCAAGTGGCTGTGCGCGTTCAATATGTAAAGCCACACGGCGACGCTCACCGCCATACTTGCGCTCTAGCAACTTCTTAGCTGCGTCATAGGCTGATGGTGAGTAGCCAAATCGCTCGATGGCTGTCAGTGCTTCTCCTGCCAAATACTGCCTCATTTGCAACAGCTTGTACTGAGGGGTGGCGGGTGCACTATCTACACATGCCATGAAAGCTTCTCGGAATGACTCAAACGTACGTTTGTCACCGCTGAATATCGGTATGCCAACTCGTTGTAGCTGCTTCCATGGCTCTGCACGAGCCTGGTTTTGTTGCATTTGAGGTAGCCATGTTGCATACATTTGATTTCCAATATTGTATGGTGTTGCATAACCCTTGGCTGTTGCATGTACCCGGAAGACATCTGTGGTTGGTCGGTATGCCCATATACATTAGTACCTGTAGAAGCCATTGACATTGTGCTCATATGCGGTGCCTGCCACTGGATACATGACTGGGGCGCTGCCATTGACACTGGAGGCTTTCTGAAAGAGTGTGGATTAGCTTGTGTACCAACACTGTACTTAGTATTCTCTGCAGTATTCACACTATGCGTACTGGTTGAGTATACAGAATTGCTTGGAAGAACATTGCTACTGCCAGTACTGCCCAAGGGTAATGTAGGACCAGTAACCTTAGAACTACTACTAGATGTACTGCCTGAGCCTGAGGTAGTTGTGTTTGCAGTAGCAGGCCTAGCAAGAACACTCACACCATCATTGACACTTACTGTGGTACATGTAGTGGCACTTGTCATGGTCACTGTTTCTGAACCATCTGTCACATGATACTGGCCAATGACTGTTGGACTGGACAGCGCTGCGCTGGTGACCTCTGCCGCTCTGGGATGGTACCACCAGTACCATGTGTACCAGTAGCTAGCTGTTGAAATAATTGAATGCCATGTTACTGCTGTGCGGTCATCCGTGTCAAAACGTAGTTGTTGATATCAGTTGCATTTGTTGCATCTCCGCTGGCGCACCTGTTCACGTCTCGTTGTTGTAGCGATCTGGCCAGCAATCCCGGCTGTGACTCAACCCAAGCAGTGGTCCTGCGGACGGTTCATTGCTGTACACATGTCCTGGCCACCAGCCGCCGACTTCCCTGGCTTCATCGCGGCACTGTTGATGCGAATTACCGGTATACTGCTGCGTTTCAGCTGAGGCGACTGGCACGCGGTGAGTTGTTCGTACAATTTCAAACGCCAAGTCCGTCGCTTCGTCAAATTGCCTCTGGAGTACTTCCAGCTCACTAATCATCTTATCCTTCTCTCTCGCATTGCTGAGCAGCTCTCTGCTTCGTATAAACCAGCTAGATCTGTGATCGTCCCTTCCGCCTTCCGCTCTCTCATGTGATCTTTCGAGCTCGTTCATTTCTTTTTTGACATCGAAATAGCTCTCATCGTCCGTGCATCGCATCTGCACTCGCTGGGCTTTTACTATCAGCCCTCGTCTTGTCCTGCGTTTTCCTGGCTCGGAGCGCAGAAATTGCAAAACAGTTGGATGCACGCAGCAGCACAGCTAGCAAGAGAAAGAGCTGTGGATGGGTTTGTTCCTGTTTTTGATGGCTGTGGCTATCCGTTGGCCCAACGGTCTCGTGTGAGTACGGCGTTTGTTTGTGCTGCCAGCTCGCGTCCGGCGTTTGTTTGCGCTGCCAGCTCGGGCCCGGTGCGCGGGTGAAACCGAACCATGACGAAGGTTTTCGCTCTTTAGTGCTATTGACTGGCTTTTCATACGATGCCTATTGATGTCTAGAGACATGCTGTCTAGCCTTCCCCTGGTACGCATTCATGGGGCTTTGTTGAAGTTCGTGCCGTGGACTGCCAAAGGGAATTGTTTGAATCGTGCTGGGGCGAGTGCGACATTACGGCGTCCCTGCAGCCGGCCTAATCGCGTTTGTCGCCACAACCGATTATATGGTTAATTTTGTTGGCCTTTTTCCATGTTGCAATTCATGCCTGTCATTGGCGGCTCCAAGCGGAGTCATTCGGCGGCTCCATGCAGAGTCATTTGGCGGCTCTATGCGGAGTCATTCGGCGGCTCCATGCGGAGTCATTGGGCGGCTCTATGTGGAGTCATTCCGCGGCTCCAAGTGGAGTCATTTGCCGGCTCAGCTGCGAGACAACTAGTGGCTCCAAGCAGAACCATAATACCAAGTGCTCGAATCGGCACACCCAGCTTAATCCAAACACGTTTGCTCTATCGTGAGGTGTGGGGATGCTAATTGAAATTATTGGTGTGAGTACTGGCTACCGAGGGTAGCAATGGTCACCTTTAGAGCACATGGAGGCGGAGAGTTTATAGTATTATTCAACAGCCAATTGGTACCGTTCACAGTTTTATAGAATATTCATTGGATAACAATGTATTTTCTTCTTCTTTTTGGCTATTCTCCTTAGTTACTGGTACTGGTGATTCTGACACTACTACTTTACTGGCAACAACAGTGAAGACCACATCACCTACAATGGCGCAAGCCGCTACTACTGCTGCAACAGCAACAGGTTTGTACCTTACACAAGTTCTTAGCCATTTTGAGCATATGGAAGTTGATGATATGGTTAATTTTGTTGGCCTTTTCCATGTTGCAATTCATGCCTGTCATTGGCGGCTCCAAGCGGAGTCATTCGGCGGCTCCATGCAGAGTCATTTGGCGGCTCCATGCGGAGTCATTTGGCGGCTCCATGCGGAGTCATTTGGCGGCTCCATGCGGAGTCATTCGGCGGCTCCATGTGGAGTCATTCCGGTGCTCCAAGTGGAGTCATTTGCCGGCTCAGCTGCGAGACAACTAGTGGCTCCAAGCAGAACCATAATACCAGGTGCTCGAATCGGCACACCCAGCTTAATCCAAACACGTTTGCTCTGTCGTGAGGTGTGGGGATGCTAATTGAAATTATTGGTGTGAGCACTGGCCACCGAGGGTAGCAATGGTGACCTTTAGAGCACATGGAGGAGGAGAGTTTGTAGTATTATTCAACAGCCGATTGGTACCGCTCACAGTTTTATAGAATATTCATGGGATAACAATGTATTTTCCTCTTTTTTTGGCTGTTTCCTTTTAGACACTGGTAGTGGTGGTTCTGAAACTACTACTTTACTGCCAACGACGGATCCAGAAAGCACAGGTCAGTTACGTATTTTAAGTGGGTGGGTCAAGTGGAACATGCCATGATGAACTTTTCACTGTGTACCGTAATTCCGCGCAAATAAGCCCACGGGCCTATATCCGGATATAAGCCCACCTCCGTTAATAAGCCCATGGACTAATAAAGAGACACAAATGCAACTCATGTGTCAAGTAGAATTTTTCACAAAATGGACTCTCCCTACCATGGTACAGGAGTTCAGTGCAGTTTACCAGTAGAGTATGGTAGGGCCACTAGTATGAGCACGGACTTGTACTTTTTCGTAAACCTTCAAAATTCTAATATTGGCCCATGGGCTGAAAAACGAACATGTTTTACTGGATAATTTATCCCCAAACTGCATTATTTCACATATAAGCCCATGGGCTTATGCTTGTATGCGCGGAATTACGGTACGCAGTTGAGACGTCACCCACAATGAAAAGTGTCCCTGTTGCCATGACAGTTTAGTAACATTCTTACCCAATGTCAATGAAGTGGGAAGAGATTTTGTCAGCTTTGCTGCAAACCCACAGTTGATTTGGTTCATGTAAATCGAAGTATTTCATGGGAAAGAATGATGCAACAAATAAGGTTTCAGTCTTTGACCACTTTGGTAGTGGGTTTGATCTTTGTACTCACCTCCCAGTGCTTTAGTAGCTGATATCTGCACCTTGGGCATTGAGGTTGTAGTCGTTGCTACGCATGCGGAAAATTCAGTCTAACTGGGTCTAAAGTGAACTGTGAAATATGTTAGCCAATGTGTGAAACACGGAAAAAGGGTACTTATAAAGTGTGATTGTGTCGGCTGTTAACCTAATTGCATTTCATGCTTGTAGTCTTTGAAAACATTGAAATTGTCTCAACATTGTGTATTGCATTGTATTTGCTTTGGGCTGTTGTCTCAGCTACTGGAAATGCAAGTACTGGAGAAACAGCGTCATCAGCAACAACCATGGTATCAAGCACTACCCTGTCGCGAAGCATGCTACCAACAAATACCACGCCAACAGCGCCATTGGCAACAAGTGCAGGTCAGTTTCCTGAAAAGTACAATCATGTTTCAAGTCGGCTTTACTCAGATGTCTAAGCGTTCTTTAGCTTTACCTATTCACGATCCTTTTGATACTTGAAGTAGTTGCTAAGTATTGGAATGTGTTCTTGGTTGTAGCTTTCTTTTAAGGTTTGCTTTACCACAATGTACATTATCACTCTCTTAGTATTGACTCCCATTGATTCTTGCTATACATGTACCTAAAAGCAGTCCAAAATTCCTGCATATTTTACTCCTTAGCCTTAGGGCTATATTGACTGCTTATATTTGACTTCCTTTTAGGGATTGAACACGTGCTTGGGTTTGTCGCGATAAATCTAATATTGATTTCAAAGTACTCAAAGTACCAGAAAAGTTTACGTAGCACCTTGTCGTTCAATTCCCTCTCCCCGCTCCCCCCGCCACCTTTGCCTTTTCAATTTTGACAATCCCACTGTGGGATGGGTGTGTCGACTTCTCAGCACATCTCTTTTTCCCTTTGCATGTCACATTGCCTGATAGCTGTAGTACAGGACTGGACCGTTGTGCTGGTTCAGTGGCAGAGTTGAATAAAATGGGCAGTAGGACTGCATTCTCATCCTGTTCTTCATATGTTGGGCTGCCCCGTATTGGGTACAGATTTGTCCAGCTATGGAAAAACTTTGCCAGGTGCCCATCTTCAATGTTGTGCTGGCTATGAGTATTTGTCTTTGCATTTGCTGCTCTTTCTTTGGGCTTGCTGCCTCTTGGCGACATGGAAACTGAAACATCTCCTGACGATCTATGTTCTGTAGAAGCAAAGAGCACATCACCTACAGTGGCACAAGTCACTACTACTGCTGCAACAGAAACAGCAACAGCAACAGGTTGGTACTTTTCACAAGTTCTTAGCCATTTTTGAAAAATGTGGAAGTTGCTGGTGCGGTTGGATTTTGTTGGCCATTTCTCGTGTTGTAATTCATGCTTGTATATACAGGTCAGACCTCGCTATAATGACCATCGCTATAACATAAACCTCACTACAACGTACGAAATGCAAATGTCCCTGCCGAAACCGCATCACTTCTGTACAAAAATGTCCTCGCTATAACATAATTCGCTATAGCGTAATTTTTGCTACAACACACTGTTTCGCAGTGTTTACTTGGTCCCAAGTGCCCAGAGACCTCAATATAATACAATAAGTCGTACAGTGCATTGTCTTTCCGGCCCGGACTACTTTCTTTTCTTGAAATTTCTGCTCACGACTGCATACCCTTGCTTGCATTCAACGCGTCTACTGGAATTCATGCGTTCTTCCAACACTACAGTCGTGTGGACTGGGTACATAATGTGTACTTCGCAAAGTGTTTTCAACACAATGCACTGGAGACCCTAGTACAACACACTTCCTGAGTTGACCAGAGTGGATCATTACTACATTAGCGCAACAGTTGTGATCAGTAAACAAAGAGCGTCATTTTGACATACATGTTGCATACTGGTGTCCCCAGCTCACTAACTATAACATAAACAAACATTGCCACACCCCAGAGATTACGGTATAGCGAGGTCTGACCTGTATTTGGAAAGGTTATAACAGGGCTGCCACACTTGGAGGGAGAAAAATCTGACGGTGGTCCGGGGGGTGTCCCCGGCGAAATGTTTTAGGAAAATGGCTTGCTGTTGGGGCTCCAGAACACATATTTAACTTGCCACACACATGCAAGCACGTGTGCATTTTACAGCTACATGTGCATGTACATGTAGAGGCGACAGTTTCAAATAGGACACAGGTTGCAAACCGGAACGGACTCAATATTCACTTTCTCTCTTGGTATTTTGATTAGAAAACATATGTCACAGTGAAAATACGATGTGATAATACTCCGAGCCAAAATTTCATGGCTCTGCGATGACCAGAAGCGCCATACCAAGCAGGTGAGTTTTTGACGTGTTGCTTTGCACTGCGACTTGAGTTTTACGACTTCCGAAAAATCAACTTCTTGTCGAAGGTAAACAGCGGCTCGCCTCTCGCCAATAAAGCACCGCATACCAATCAAAACTAATGGAAGCACACATAAGGCTTATTGTTACTCTGTACTGGCCGTCGTGGAGCGATAGCAATTACCTAATTTCAGACCCAGAGTGAATTTGACGTGCACTCTAAAACGTGTCCTGTTTGGAGCCACCTCTGATTTGAACTTTTTTGAAGCGAAAAATTGGGCAACTTAGAGGCAATGGGTCAACACAAAGGAGTGGCTCAGTTCGATTGACTCTGGCCCCAGAGCAAACTTCAACATGCCAGTTTCCTTCCACAAACATATTTCGAGTGAAAAATCAACGCTGATGATCGGTTTGGGTCTACACAAATTTGGCTGTCAAAGCGTTCCGGTATCGAACCGTCTACTCTACAATGACCGGCCAAACGCGACCTGGAAGCGCCGAATGACCAACTGGACTACAAAGCGCTCAAAATAAAATAATCGATTGTCCCCTTTTGGAAACAAAATCGGTCGGTTTGTCCGAAAGGCGATCAATAATCGGACGATTTCCGAAAATTCGTAGCAAGTGGCAGCCCTGTTTATAAGGCAGTTGATAGTAATGTATTTTCTTCTTCTTCTTCTTTTTGACTATTTTCCTTAGTTACTGGTACTGGTGATTCTGACACTACTACTTTACTGGCAACAACAGTGAAGACCACATCACCTACAATGGCGCAAGCCACTACTACTGCTGCAACAGCAACAGGTTAGTACCTCACACAAGTTCTTAGCCATTTTGAGCATATAGAAGTTGATGATATGGTTAATTTTGTTGGCCTTTTTCCGTGTTGCAATTCATGCCTGTCATTGGCGGCTTCAAGCGGAGTCATTCGGCGGCTCCATGCAGAGTCATTTGGCGGCCCCATGCGGAGTCATTCGGCGGCTCCATGCGGAGTCATTTGGCGGCTCCATGTGGAGTCATTCCGCGGCTCCAAGTGGAGTCATTTGCCGGCTCAGCTGCGAGACAACTAGTGGCTCCAAGCAGAACCATAATACCAGGTGCTCGAATCGGCACACCCAGCTTAATCCAAACACGTTTGCTCTGTCGTGAGGTGTGGGGATGCTAATTGAAATTATTGGTGTGAGTACTGGCTACCGAGGGTAGTAATGGTCACCTTTAGAGCACATGGAGGAGGAGAGTTTGTAGTATTATTCAACAGCCGATTGGTACCGCTCACAATTTTTTAGAATATTCATGGGATAACAATGTATTTTCTTCTTTGTTTTTGGCTGTTTCCTTTTAGACACTGGTAGTGGTGGTTCTGAAACTACTACTTTACTGCCGACGACGGATCCAGAAAGCACAGGTCAGTTACGTATTTTAAGTGGGTGGGTCAAGTGGAACATGCCATGATGAACTTTTCACTGTGTACCGTAATTCCGCGCAAATAAGCCCACGGGCCTATATCCGGATATAAGCCTACCTCCGTTAATAAGCCCATGGGCTAATAAAGGGACACAAATGCAACTCATGTGTCAAGTAGAATTTTTCACAAAATGGACTCTTCCTACCATGGTACAGCAGTTCAGTGCAGTTTACCAGTAGAGTATGGTAGGGCCACTAGTATGAGCACGGACTTGTACTTTTTCGTAAACCTTCAAAATTCTAATATTGGCCCATGGGCTGAAAACGAACATGTTTTACTGGATATTTTATCCCCAAACTGCATTATTTCACATATAAGCCCATGGGCTTATGCTTGTATGCGCGGAATTACGGTACGCAGTTGAGACGTCACCCACAATGAAAAGTGTGCCTGTTGCCATGACAGTTTAGTAACATTCTTACCCAATGTCAATGAAGTGGGAAGAGATTTTGTCAGCTTTGCTGCAAACCCACAGTTGATTTGGTTCATGTAAATCGAAGTATTTCATGGGAAAGAATGATGCAACAAATAAGATTTCAGTCTTTGACCACTTTGGTAGTGGGTTTGATCTTTGTACTCACCTCCCAGTGCTTTAGTAGCTGATATCTGCACCTTGGGCATTGAGGTTGTAGTCGTTGCTACGCATGCGGAAAAGTCAGTCTAACTGGGTCTAAAGTGAACTGTGAAATATGTTAGCCAATGTGTGAAACACAGAAAAAGGGCACTTATAAAGTGTGATTGTGTCGGCTGTTAACCTAATTGCATTTCATGCTTGTATTTTTGGAAAACATTGAAAACGTCTCAACGTTGTGTATTGCATTGTATTTGCTTTGGGCTGTTGTCTCAGCTACTGGAAATGCAAGTACTGGAGAAACAGCGTCATCAGCAACAACCATGGTATCAAGCACTACCCTGTCGCGAAGCATGCTACCAACAAATACCACGCCAACAGCGCCATTGGCAACAAGTGCAGGTCAGTTTCCTGAAAAGTACAATCATGTTTCAAGTCGGCTTTACTCAGATGTCTAAGCGTTCTTTAGCTTTACCTATTCACGATCCTTTTGATACTTGAAGTAGTTGCTAAGTATTGGAATGTGTTCTTGGTTGTAGCTTTCTTTTAAGGTTTGCTTTACCACAATGTACATTATCACTCTCTTAGTATTGACTCCCATTGATTCTTGCTATACATGTACCTAAAAGCAGTCCAAAATTCCTGCATATTTTACTCCTTAGCCTTAGGGCTATATTGACTGCTTATATTTGACTTCCTTTTAGGGATTGAACACGTGCTTGGGTTTGTCGCGATAAATCTAATATTGATTTCAAAGTACTCAAAGTACCAGAAAAGTTTACGTAGCACCTTGTCGTTCAATTCCCTCACCCCGCTCCCCCCGCCCCCTTTGCCTTTTCAATTTTGACAATCCCACTGTGGGATGGGTGTGTCGACTTCTCAGCACATCTCTTTTTCCCTTTGCATGTCACATTGCCTGATAGCTGTAGTACAGGACTGGACCGTTGTGCTGGTTCAGTGGCAGAGTTGAATAAAATGGGCAGTAGGACTGCATTCTCATCCTGTTCTTCATATGTTGGGCTGCCCCGTATTGGGTACAGATTTGTCCAGCTATGGAAAAACTTTGCCAGGTGCCCATCTTCAATGTTGTGCTGGCTATGAGTATTTGTCTTTGCATTTGCTGCTCTTTCTTTGGGCTTGCTGCCTCTTGGCGACATGGAAACTGAAACATCTCCTGACGATCTATGTTCTGTAGAAGCAAAGAGCACATCACCTACAGTGGCACAAGTCACTACTACTGCTGCAACAGCAACAGCAACAGCAACAGGTTGGTACTTTTCACAAGTTCTTAGCCATTTTTGAAAAATGTGGAAGTTGCTGGTGCGGTTGGATTTTGTTGGCCATTTCTCGTGTTGTAATTCATGCTTGTATATACAGGTCAGACCTCGCTATAATGACCATCGCTATAACATAAACCTCACTACAACGTACGAAATGCAAATGTCCCTGCCGAAACCGCATCACTTCTGTACAAAAATGTCCTCGCTATAACATAATTCGCTATAGCGTAATTTTTGCTACAACACACTGTTTCGCAGTGTTTACTTGGTCCCAAGTGCCCAGAGACCTCAATATAATACAATAAGTCGTACAGTGCATTGTCTTTCCGGCCCGGACTACTTTCTTTTCTTGAAATTTCTGCTCACGACTGCATACCCTTGCTTGCATTCAACGCGTCTACTGGAATTCATGCGTTCTTCCAACACTACAGTCGTGTGGACTGGGTACATAATGTGTACTTCGCAAAGTGTTTTCAACACAATGCACTGGAGACCCTAGTACAACACACTTCCTGAGTTGACCAGAGTGGATCATTACTACATTAGCGCAACAGTTGTGATCAGTAAACAAAGAGCGTCATTTTGACATACATGTTGCATACTGGTGTCCCCAGCTCACTAACTATAACATAAACAAACATTGCCACACCCCAGAGATTACGGTATAGCGAGGTCTGACCTGTATTTGGAAAGGTTATAACAGGGCTGCCACACTTGGAGGGAGAAAAATCTGACGGTGGTCCGGGGGGTGTCCCCGGCGAAATGTTTTAGGAAAATGGCTTGCTGTTGGGGCTCCAGAACACATATTTAACTTGCCACACACATGCAAGCACGTGTGCATTTTACAGCTACATGTGCATGTACATGTAGAGGCGACAGTTTCAAATAGGACACAGGTTGCAAACCGGAACGGACTCAATATTCACTTTCTCTCTTGGTATTTTGATTAGAAAACATATGTCACAGTGAAAATACGATGTGATAATACTCCGAGCCAAAATTTCATGGCTCTGCGATGACCAGAAGCGCCATACCAAGCAGGTGAGTTTTTGACGTGTTGCTTTGCACTGCGACTTGAGTTTTACGACTTCCGAAAAATCAACTTCTTGTCGAAGGTAAACAGCGGCTCGCCTCTCGCCAATAAAGCACCGCATACCAATCAAAACTAATGGAAGCACACATAAGGCTTATTGTTACTCTGTACTGGCCGTCGTGGAGCGATAGCAATTACCTAATTTCAGACCCAGAGTGAATTTGACGTGCACTCTAAAACGTGTCCTGTTTGGAGCCACCTCTGATTTGAACTTTTTTGAAGCGAAAAATTGGGCAACTTAGAGGCAATGGGTCAACACAAAGGAGTGGCTCAGTTCGATTGACTCTGGCCCCAGAGCAAACTTCAACATGCCAGTTTCCTTCCACAAACATATTTCGAGTGAAAAATCAACGCTGATGATCGGTTTGGGTCTACACAAATTTGGCTGTCAAAGCGTTCCGGTATCGAACCGTCTACTCTACAATGACCGGCCAAACGCGACCTGGAAGCGCCGAATGACCAACTGGACTACAAAGCGCTCAAAATAAAATAATCGATTGTCCCCTTTTGGAAACAAAATCGGTCGGTTTGTCCGAAAGGCGATCAATAATCGGACGATTTCCGAAAATTCGTAGCAAGTGGCAGCCCTGTTTATAAGGCAGTTGATAGTAATGTATTTTCTTCTTCTTCTTCTTTTTGACTATTTTCCTTAGTTACTGGTACTGGTGATTCTGACACTACTACTTTACTGGCAACAACAGTGAAGACCACATCACCTACAATGGCGCAAGCCACTACTACTGCTGCAACAGCAACAGGTTAGTACCTCACACAAGTTCTTAGCCATTTTGAGCATATAGAAGTTGATGATATGGTTAATTTTGTTGGCCTTTTTCCGTGTTGCAATTCATGCCTGTCATTGGCGGCTTCAAGCGGAGTCATTCGGCGGCTCCATGCAGAGTCATTTGGCGGCCCCATGCGGAGTCATTCGGCGGCTCCATGCGGAGTCATTTGGCGGCTCCATGTGGAGTCATTCCGCGGCTCCAAGTGGAGTCATTTGCCGGCTCAGCTGCGAGACAACTAGTGGCTCCAAGCAGAACCATAATACCAGGTGCTCGAATCGGCACACCCAGCTTAATCCAAACACGTTTGCTCTGTCGTGAGGTGTGGGGATGCTAATTGAAATTATTGGTGTGAGTACTGGCTACCGAGGGTAGTAATGGTCACCTTTAGAGCACATGGAGGAGGAGAGTTTGTAGTATTATTCAACAGCCGATTGGTACCGCTCACAATTTTTTAGAATATTCATGGGATAACAATGTATTTTCTTCTTTGTTTTTGGCTGTTTCCTTTTAGACACTGGTAGTGGTGGTTCTGAAACTACTACTTTACTGCCGACGACGGATCCAGAAAGCACAGGTCAGTTACGTATTTTAAGTGGGTGGGTCAAGTGGAACATGCCATGATGAACTTTTCACTGTGTACCGTAATTCCGCGCAAATAAGCCCACGGGCCTATATCCGGATATAAGCCTACCTCCGTTAATAAGCCCATGGGCTAATAAAGGGACACAAATGCAACTCATGTGTCAAGTAGAATTTTTCACAAAATGGACTCTTCCTACCATGGTACAGCAGTTCAGTGCAGTTTACCAGTAGAGTATGGTAGGGCCACTAGTATGAGCACGGACTTGTACTTTTTCGTAAACCTTCAAAATTCTAATATTGGCCCATGGGCTGAAAACGAACATGTTTTACTGGATATTTTATCCCCAAACTGCATTATTTCACATATAAGCCCATGGGCTTATGCTTGTATGCGCGGAATTACGGTACGCAGTTGAGACGTCACCCACAATGAAAAGTGTGCCTGTTGCCATGACAGTTTAGTAACATTCTTACCCAATGTCAATGAAGTGGGAAGAGATTTTGTCAGCTTTGCTGCAAACCCACAGTTGATTTGGTTCATGTAAATCGAAGTATTTCATGGGAAAGAATGATGCAACAAATAAGATTTCAGTCTTTGACCACTTTGGTAGTGGGTTTGATCTTTGTACTCACCTCCCAGTGCTTTAGTAGCTGATATCTGCACCTTGGGCATTGAGGTTGTAGTCGTTGCTACGCATGCGGAAAAGTCAGTCTAACTGGGTCTAAAGTGAACTGTGAAATATGTTAGCCAATGTGTGAAACACAGAAAAAGGGCACTTATAAAGTGTGATTGTGTCGGCTGTTAACCTAATTGCATTTCATGCTTGTATTTTTGGAAAACATTGAAAACGTCTCAACGTTGTGTATTGCATTGTATTTGCTTTGGGCTGTTGTCTCAGCTACTGGAAATGCAAGTACTGGAGAAACAGCGTCATCAGCAACAACCATGGTATCAAGCACTACCCTGTCGCGAAGCATGCTACCAACAAATACCACGCCAACAGCGCCATTGGCAACAAGTGCAGGTCAGTTTCCTGAAAAGTACAATCATGTTTCAAGTCGGCTTTACTCAGATGTCTAAGCGTTCTTTAGCTTTACCTATTCACGATCCTTTTGATACTTGAAGTAGTTGCTAAGTATTGGAATGTGTTCTTGGTTGTAGCTTTCTTTTAAGGTTTGCTTTACCACAATGTACATTATCACTCTCTTAGTATTGACTCCCATTGATTCTTGCTATACATGTACCTAAAAGCAGTCCAAAATTCCTGCATATTTTACTCCTTAGCCTTAGGGCTATATTGACTGCTTATATTTGACTTCCTTTTAGGGATTGAACACGTGCTTGGGTTTGTCGCGATAAATCTAATATTGATTTCAAAGTACTCAAAGTACCAGAAAAGTTTACGTAGCACCTTGTCGTTCAATTCCCTCACCCCGCTCCCCCCCACGGCTGTTCCATGCTGGAAAGTATTGAAGATGGCCGATCTTTTTGCCGAAAAGTGTCACTGTACACGTGACCACTGTATCTACGGTAACCAAAATGGCGAGTGGGTACACTTGGTGTTTTTTTGTAAGAACAAAAATGCTTTGGATGCATTTCATAAAATTATGCTGATCTTGTGCGGGATCAGCTTGTTTTTACAACAAATTATTATTACTTTGCATACAGGAATTCTATGTCCTGCTCGAAACTCGGTATATTGATTGTTGACTTGGGAAGTTCGGAGCGTGGAAGAGTCCAGTACTAGTAAATGTACCTACGCTGACTTACCTTTCCCCACCACCACCACCCGCCATCCTTTGGCGACGCGTTTCAATGTCCTTTCAAAGTTTCCTTCATCCTTACTACTATGATAGTTATTGTCATCAGCTTTTTTGGATTCTGACATGCAAACGGCATACTCATTTACAGCAACTGTCAGTGCTCAACTAGCTGACTTGTCGGAGTGCTTCCGCTTTGCAGGCTGGAGCCTCATGGCGTTGTATCTTGGCAGCGTGCTGTTCAAATATTGCCAGAAGTGTACTAGTGTTGTAACTCGCTTTCTCTTCCTGCTCCCAGTTCCGTGCCATCTCCACACTTGTACAAATGGACGACGATAACTACATTTAGAAGACTGTTTATTGACACGACGACGAAACACAACTATACATGACGAACTCAAGACGAAGACACGATAAACTCAAGACGAAGACATCATGAACTCGAGACGAAGACTGCTTTTTACACCACAGCAACACACGCATGCACCAACATGACGTACACACGACGTACACAAAATAACGTACTACAACATAACTCCCTCCCAAGAGTAGAATCGTCCTCGATTCTAATAATAAAACAGAGTAAAAAGAGGAAAAGATCACACAAATCACTCAATCATACCACACCAGTCACACCCATAAATAAAATACCTCTGCCTGCACTGCAGATTACAAAAACTCTGTCCGCCCACCCAGAACACCAGCCACGATCGCTGTCACACGTGTGGGAACTGATAACCTCAAAAACTCCAAACTACTAGTACTTCACCAACACACCACCTCACGATCACGCAAAAATTCTAAAATGTGAGAGCACAAATCATAGGAATAACAAAAAGAACAAAATCCACTGGCTCTGTGGGGGCCTCTAGTTATCCTCATAGAAGAGCAAATAAAAAAACAAACAGAACACACGCGCTGTGCGGGCGCCTCTTTACCCTCGAGGAGAGCAAATAATAAAGAACAAAATGTTGGGAGAACAGAAAATACAAAACTCACATACTCATCACGTTCACAACAACACACGTACCCTCTCACCAACGAAACTCCTCACGCCGTCTGCCATGCCGTCCGCCATCTCAAGGAGCGCTGCTCAGCGTCCACATCCTCACACTGCAGCCTTCACTTTCCATCCTTCTTTTTTTTTCTGTTTCAGTTTTTCTTCTGGGCACAGTTTTACGTCGTGTCCGGGACCACCAGTGACGACGACTGACAAGAGACGGGAGAGACGAATGATGAAGGACGAGGACGACGGACGAACTTCTTGAAGACGGACGAAACTGACGATAGGACGACTGGAGATGACATCGGAAACTGGGAGCGAAGGCCACGCAGGACGAATCCAGAAGTTGACGTTTACAAATTTCTATCACCGCTGCCACCAATGTTGTAACTCGCTTTCTCTTCCTGCTCCCAGTTCCGTGCCATCTCCACACTTGTACAAATGGACGACGATAACTACATTTAGAAGACTGTTTATTGACACGACGACGAAACACAACTATACATGACGAACTCAAGACGAAGACACGATAAACTCAAGACGAAGACATCATGAACTCGAGACGAAGACTGCTTTTTACACCACAGCAACACGCGCATGCACCAACATGACGTACACACGACGTACACAAAATAACGTACTACAACACTAGTAGCGTGGAGCCGGTCCACGTCCCTGATTGCTGATGGATGTTCTCAGGTGCTTGAAGCACTTGTGGATGGACCACCTTGTTCGCCCATCAGTCCAAGGGATACACCGAACTGACTGATGCAGTCCACAGTATGCGCCTCCAGCATGTGCATTTTAGGCGTTAATAGTCTTGTTCTGGTCGTAGACTGTCTTCCTTAGTGTTGCCACGAAGAGTTTAATGTTCGTAGAGAGTTGATGCAGCTTGTCAGGAGTGATCTTGTTGCACACTGCGAAGATTGCCCTACAATCTTTGTATTGCGTGAAGAGTCTGCCGTACTTGTCTCGGAGTGCTGATGCTCTATCTGGCAGGTCTTGTTGTTGCGGTGTGTACTGGATGTATGGTGAGTTGTCAGTGTTGAAGATGTTTGTCATTGTCTGTAGAGGAGCGCTGGTTATTTCCTTGCATGTGGCTGGCTGCAGTGCTTTATGAATGTGGTTTCCCATGAAAGCCCCGGAGTGATATGCCTGTCTGTCTATTCTGTGTTTTTTAAGCACGGGCTCGAAAGATTCGTGGCATGGCTGCATTGAATTCTGCGCTCAGCAAGAATAGACGAGATAAAGGAAGAAGGAGATTTTAGCTGAGCTGCCCACAGCTTAGCTTTGCAATCATATGACATGCATTCTACCTCAAATGCATCTTGGAATAGTTCATGCATATACGACACACACGACAGACGCTCGCAACATGGGTGCTGCACGGCTGCATTCACTTGCCACAAACAGACACAGCAGGAAAGAGAGGGGAGGGTGATAAAAAGGCAGGTGCTTCATTCCCTGCAAAGAAGGCCGGGGAAGCAAGCTCTAGAAGTGCGTCTCGACTGCAGTGGGTGGGATTAGCCCTAGACGCCGTTGAGCATGACGTCGACGGTTTCTTGGGCCTGCACCTTTTCTCCTATCCTCAGCACCTGAGCACACTTTACAAGGGCCAGGAGTGGTACTGCCATGTGGCTGCCACAGATAGAGAGTTGGTGTTCTAAAGTCACTAGAAGAAGAGGAGGATGCCCTTCTCAAGTACGATCTGCATGAATCACAAAATGTTGCAGGATGTACGTCTGGCGTGTCTGTTGCTGTGTTGATGTTGAAATAATGCAGGAGCTCATCTGCATGATCAGCCACAGCATGTGTAGTCGTCCTCGTCTTCTTGTCTTTCCGAAAGGGTGGTATAAAGAACCCACACACCCTGCACAGAGACTCTAGCACTGAATTGTGGGTTGCCATGGGGGCTGACAACGAGGGACCCTCGACGAGAATGAGTGGCCCTCGACGAAAAAAACTCAATTGGGTTGCAGAGGTAGTATGATCGTGCACCAGGAAAAACTTGGAAAAGACGCTAGAAAACCTTACCTTGGGCAAGAAGCTAGCTGAAAGTATCCCCAGGAATAGGCACGATGCTATGAAAAGGAAGAATACGAAGGAAACGTTCGTCGAGGAAAAGAGCACTTTCATCAGGAGTGAAGCTTCGAAATTTTGGACATTAAGACGACTGCATTCAAGGAGTTTTATAAACCTGAATTCACCTGGAAGGCAGGCTTGGTTTGTCCTATATCCATCGAAGAAGCCATGTATTCAAGGTAATTTCGATGCAATTCAATTTCGAATTTTTGAATTTTCTTGAGCAACCTAGCTGCGCCAGCCGCAAAGGCGCGGATGACGTAGGTGCCGCTTTTTCGGAATCTGAACAGCCGTGCCCCGCCCCCTTTGCCTTTTCAATTTTGACAATCCCACTGTGGGATGGGTGTGTCGACTTCTCAGCACATCTCTTTTTCCCTTTGCATGTCACATTGCCTGATAGCTGTAGTACAGGACTGGACCGTTGTGCTGGTTCAGTGGCAGAGTTGAATAAAATGGGCAGTAGGACTGCATTCTCATCCTGTTCTTCATATGTTGGGCTGCCCCGTATTGGGTACAGATTTGTCCAGCTATGGAAAAACTTTGCCAGGTGCCCATCTTCAATGTTGTGCTGGCTATGAGTATTTGTCTTTGCATTTGCTGCTCTTTCTTTGGGCTTGCTGCCTCTTGGCGACATGGAAACTGAAACATCTCCTGACGATCTATGTTCTGTAGAAGCAAAGAGCACATCACCTACAGTGGCACAAGTCACTACTACTGCTGCAACAGCAACAGCAACAGCAACAGGTTGGTACTTTTCACAAGTTCTTAGCCATTTTTGAAAAATGTGGAAGTTGCTGGTGCGGTTGGATTTTGTTGGCCATTTCTCGTGTTGTAATTCATGCTTGTATATACAGGTCAGACCTCGCTATAATGACCATCGCTATAACATAAACCTCACTACAACGTACGAAATGCAAATGTCCCTGCCGAAACCGCATCACTTCTGTACAAAAATGTCCTCGCTATAACATAATTCGCTATAGCGTAATTTTTGCTACAACACACTGTTTCGCAGTGTTTACTTGGTCCCAAGTGCCCAGAGACCTCAATATAATACAATAAGTCGTACAGTGCATTGTCTTTCCGGCCCGGACTACTTTCTTTTCTTGAAATTTCTGCTCACGACTGCATACCCTTGCTTGCATTCAACGCGTCTACTGGAATTCATGCGTTCTTCCAACACTACAGTCGTGTGGACTGGGTACATAATGTGTACTTCGCAAAGTGTTTTCAACACAATGCACTGGAGACCCTAGTACAACACACTTCCTGAGTTGACCAGAGTGGATCATTACTACATTAGCGCAACAGTTGTGATCAGTAAACAAAGAGCGTCATTTTGACATACATGTTGCATACTGGTGTCCCCAGCTCACTAACTATAACATAAACAAACATTGCCACACCCCAGAGATTACGGTATAGCGAGGTCTGACCTGTATTTGGAAAGGTTATAACAGGGCTGCCACACTTGGAGGGAGAAAAATCTGACGGTGGTCCGGGGGGTGTCCCCGGCGAAATGTTTTAGGAAAATGGCTTGCTGTTGGGGCTCCAGAACACATTTTTAACTGGCCACACACATGCAAGCACGTGTGCATTTTACAGCTACATGTGCATGTACATGTAGAGGCGACAGTTTCAAATAGGACACAGGTTGCAAACCGGAACGGACTCAATATTCACTTTCTCTCTTGGTATTTTGATTAGAAAACATATGTCACAGTGAAAATACGATGTGATAATACTCCGAGCCAAAATTTCATGGCTCTGCGATGACCAGAAGCGCCATACCAAGCAGGTGAGTTTTTGACGTGTTGCTTTGCACTGCGACTTGAGTTTTACGACTTCCGAAAAATCAACTTCTTGTCGAAGGTAAACAGCGGCTCGCTTCTCGCCAATAAAGCACCGCATACCAATCAAAACTAATGGAAGCACATATAAGGCTTATTGTTACTCTGTACTGGCCGTCGTGGAGCGATAGCAATTACCTAATTTCAGACCCAGAGTGAATTTGACGTGCACTCTAAAACGTGTCCGGTTTGGAGCCACCTCTGATTTGAACTTTTTTGAAGCGAAAAATTGGGCAACTTAGAGGCAATGGGTCAACACAAAGGAGTGGCTCAGTTCGATTGACTCTGGCCCCAGAGCAAACTTCAACATGCCAGTTTCCTTCCACAAACATATTTCGAGTGAAAAATCAACGCTGATGATCGGTTTGGGTCTACACAAATTTGGCTGTCAAAGCGTTCCGGTATCGAACCGTCTACTCTACAATGACCGGCCAAACGCGACCTGGAAGCGCCGAATGACCAACTGGACTACAAAGCGCTCAAAATAAAATAATCGATTGTCCCCTTTTGGAAACAAAATCGGTCGGTTTGTCCGAAAGGCGATCAATAATCGGACGATTTCCGAAAATTCGTAGCAAGTGGCAGCCCTGTTTATAAGGCAGTTGATAGTAATGTATTTTCTTCTTCTTCTTTTTGACTATTTTCCTTAGTTACTGGTACTGGTGATTCTGACACTACTACTTTACTGGCAACAACAGTGAAGACCACATCACCTACAATGGCGCAAGCCGCTACTACTGCTCCAACAGCAACAGGTTAGTACCTTACACAAGTTTTTAGCCATTTTTGAGCATATGGAAGTTGATGGTATGGTTGATTTTGTTGGCCTTTTATTGCGTGTTGCAATTCATGCCTGTCATTGGCGGCTCCAAGCGGAGTCATTCAGCGGCTCCCTGCAGAGTCATTTGGCGGCTCCATGCTGAATCATTAGGCGGCTCCATGCAGAGTCATTCAGCAGGTCCATGCGGAGTCTTTCCGCGGCTCCATGTGGAGTCATTCGGCAGCTCCAAGTGGAGTCATTTGCCGGCTAAGCTGCGAGCCAACTAGCGATCATACCAGTTGCTCGAATCGGCACTCCCAGCTTAATCCAAACTCGGTTGCTCTGCTGTGAGGTGTGGGGATGCTAATTGAAATTATTGGTGTGAGTACCGGCTACCGAGGGTAGCAATGGTCACCTTTAGAGCACATGGAGGAGGAGAGTTTGTAGTATTATTCAACAGCCGATTGTTACCGTTCACAGTTTTATAGAATATTCATTGGATAACAATGTATTTTCTTCTTCTTTTTGACTATTTTCCTTAGTTACTGGTACTGGTGATTCTGACACTACTACTTTACTGGCAACAACAATGAAGAAGACATCACCTACAATGGCGCAAGCCACTACTACTGCTGCAACAGCAACAGGTTTGTACCTTACACATGTTCTTAGCCATTTTGAGCAAATGGAAGTTTGAATTCTTTATTCTCACGATGGCACCATCGCCAATAAGAGATAAATTTATGAGAAGGTGAGATTGTGGGTTAAACAGTTGGAAAGTGATTTACATCACTTTGAGCTTTACAAGTATGGGAGAGGGTGAGCGCTGCAGGAGCAGATTGAGTTGATGATATGGTTAATTGTGTTGGCCTTTTTCCATGTTGCAATTCATGCCTGTCATTGGCGGCTCCAAGCGGAGTCATTCGGCGGCTCCATGCAGAGTCATTTGGCGGCTCCATGCGGAGTCATTCGGCGGCTCCATGCGGAGTCATTCGGCGGCTCCATGTGGAGTCATTCCGCGTCTCCAAGTGGAGTCATTTGCCGGCTCAGCTGCGAGACAACTAGTGGCTCCAAGCAGAACCATAATACCAGGTGCTCAAATCGGCACACCCAGCTTAATCCAAACACGTTTGCTCTGTCGTGAGGTGTGGGGATGCTAATTGAAATTATTGGTGTGAGTACCGGCTACCGAGGGTAGCAATGGTCACCTTTAGAGCACATGGAGGAGGAGAGTTTATAGTATTATTCAACAGCCGATTGGTACCGTTCACAGTTTTATAGAATATTCATTGGATAACAATGTATTTTCTTCTTCTTTTTGGCTGTTTTTCCTTAGTTACTGGTGGTGGTGATTCTGACACTACTACTTTACTGGCAACAACAGTGAAGACCACATCACCTACAATGGCGCAAGCCACTACTACTGCTGCAACAGCAATAGGTTTGTACCTTACACAAGTTCTTAGCCATTTTGAGCATATAGAAGTTGATGATATGGTTAATTTTGTTGGCCTTTTTCCGTGTTGCAATTCATGCCTGTCATTGGCGGCTCCAAGCGGAGTCATTCGGCGGCTCCATGCAGAGTCATTTGGCGGCTCCATGCGGAGTCACTCGGCGGCTCCATGCGGAGTCATTTGGCGGCTCCATGTGGAGTCATTCCGCGGCTCCAAGTAGAGTCATTTGCCGGCTCAGCTGCGAGACAACTAGTGGCTCCAAGCAGAACCATAATACCAGGTGCTCGAATCGGCACACCCAGCTTAATCCAAACACGTTTGCTCTGTCGTGAGGTGGGGGGATGCTAATTGAAATTATTGGTGTGAGTACCGGCTACCGAGGGTAGCAATGGTCACCTTTAGAGCACATGGAGGAGGAGAGTTTGTAGTATTATTCAACAGCCGATTGGCACCGCTCACAGTTTTATAGAATATTCATGGGATAACAATGTATTTTCTTCTTTGTTTTTGGCTGTTTCCTTTTAGACACTGGTAGTGGTGGTTCTGAAACTACTACTTTACTGCCGACGACGGATCCAGAAAGCACAGGTCAGTTACGTATTTTAAGTGGGTGGGTCAAGTGGAACATGCCATGATGAACTTTTCACTGTGTACCGTAATTCCGCGCAAATAAGCCCACGGGCCTATATCCGGATATAAGCCTACCTCCGTTAATAAGCCCATGGGCTAATAAAGAGACACAAATGCAACTCATGTGTCAAGTAGAATTTTTCACAAAATGGACTCTTCCTACCATGGTACAGCAGTTCAGTGCAGTTTACCAGTAGAGTATGGTAGGGCCACTAGTATGAGCACGGACTTGTACTTTTTCGTAAACCTTCAAAATTCTAATATTGGCCCATGGGCTGAAAACGAACATGTTTTACAGGATAATTTATCCCCAAACTGCATTATTTCACATATAAGCCCATGGGCTTATGCTTGTATGCGCGGAATTACGGTACGCAGTTGAGACGTCACCCACAATGAAAAGTGTCCCTGTTGCCATGACAGTTTAGTAACATTCTTACCCAATGTCAATGAAGTGGGAAGAGATTTTGTCAGCTTTGCTGCAAACCCACAGTTGATTTGGTTCATGTAAATCGAAGTATTTCATGGGAAAGAATGATGCAACAAATAAGATTTCAGTCTTTGACCACTTTGGTAGTGGGTTTGATCTTTGTACTCACCTCCCAGTGCTTTAGTAGCTGATATCTGCACCTTGGGCATTGAGGTTGTAGTCGTTGCTACGCATGCGGAAAAGTCAGTCTAACTGGGTCTAAAGTGAACTGTGAAATATGTTAGCCAATGTGTGAAACACAGAAAAAGGGCACTTATAAAGTGTGATTGTGTCGGCTGTTAACCTAATTGCATTTCATGCTTGTATTTTTGGAAAACATTGAAAACGTCTCAACGTTGTGTATTGCATTGTATTTGCTTTGGGCTGTTGTCTCAGCTACTGGAAATGCAAGTACTGGAGAAACAGCGTCATCAGCAACAACCATGGTATCAAGCACTACCCTGTCGCCAAGCATGCTACCAACAAATACCACGCCAACAGCGCCATTGGCAACAAGTGCAGGTCAGTTTCCTGAAAAGTACAATCATGTTTCAAGTCGGCTTTACTCAGATGTCTAAGCGTTCTTTAGCTTTACCTATTCACGATCCTTTTGATACTTGAAGTAGTTGCTAAGTATTGGAATGTGTTCTTGGTTGTAGCTTTCTTTTAAGGTTGGCTGTACCACAATGTACATTATCACTCTCTTAGTATTGACTCCCATTGATTCTTGCTATACATGTACCTAAAAGCAGTCCAAAATTCCTGCATATTTTACTCCTTAGCCTTAGGGCTATATTGACTGCTTATATTTGACTTCCTTTTAGGGATTGAACACGTGCTTGGGTTTGTCGCGATAAATCTAATATTGATTTCAAAGTACTCAAAGTACCAGAAAAGTTTACATAGCACCTTGTCGTTCAATTCCCTCTCCCCGCTCCCCCCGCCCCCTTTGCCTTTTCAATTTTGACAATCCCACTGTGGGATGGGTGTGTCGACTTCTCAGCACATCTCTTTTTCCCTTTGCATGTCACATTGCCTGATAGCTGTAGTACAGGACTGGACCGTTGTGCTGGTTCAGTGGCAGAGTTGAATAAAATGGGCAGTAGGACTGCATTCTCATACTGTTCTTCATATGTTGGGCTGCCCCGTATTGGGTACGATTTGTCCAGCTATGGAAAAACTTTGCCAGGTGCCCATCTTCAATGTTATGCTGGCTATGAGTATCTGTCTTTGCATTTGCTGCTCTTTCTTTGGGCTTGCTGCCTCTTGGCGACATGGAAACTGAAACATCTCCTAACGATCTATGTTCTGTAGAAGCAAAGAGCACATCACCTACAGTGGCACAAATCACTACTACTGCTGCTGCAACAGCAACAGCAACAGGTTGGTACTTTTCACAAGTTCTTAGCCATTTTTGAAAAATGTGGAAGTTGCTGGTGCGGTTGGATTTTGTTGGCCATTTTTCGTGTTGTAATTTATGCTTGTATATACAGGTCAGACCTCGCTATAATGACCATCGCTATAATAACAGTTAGTTATAAACCTCACTACAACGTACGAAATGCAAATGTCCCTGCCGAAACCGCATCACTTCTGTACAAAAATGTCCTCGCTATAACATAATCCGCTATAGCGTAATTTTCGCTACAACACACTGTTTCGCAGTGTTTACTTGGTCCCAAGTGCCCAGAGACCTCAATTTAATACAATAAGTCAGTCGTACAGTGCATTGTATTTCCGGCCCGAACTACTTTCTTTTCTTGAAATTTCTGCTCAAGACTGCATACCCTTGCTTGCATTCAACGCGTCTACTGGAATTCATGCGTTCTTCCAACACTACAGTCGTGTGGACTGGGTACATAATGTGCACTTCGCAAAGTAGTTTTTTCAACACAATGCAGTGGAGACCCAAGTACAACACACTTCCTGAGTTGACCAGAGTGGATCATTACTACATTAGCGCAACAGTTGTGATCAGTAAACAAAGAGCGTCATTTTGACATACATGTTGCATACTGGTGTCCCCAGCTCACTAACTATAACATAAACAAACATTGCCAAACCCCAGAGATTACGGTATAGCGAGGTCTGACCTGTATTTGGAAAGGTTATAACAGGGCTGCCACACTTGGAGGGAGAAAAATCTGACGGTGGTCCGGGGGTGTCCCCAGCGAAATGTTTTAGGATAATGGCTTGCTGTTGGGGCTCCAGAACACATTTTTAACTGGCCACACACATGCAAGCACGTCTGCATTTTACAGCTACATGTGCATGTACATGTAGAGGCGACAGTTTCAAATAGGACACAGGTTGCAAACCGGAACGGACTTAATATTCACTTTCTCTCTTGGTATTTTGATTAGAAAACATATGTTACAGTGAAAATACGATGTGATAATACTCCGAGCCAAAATTTCATGGCTCTGCGATGACCAGAAGCGCCATACCAAGCAGGTGAGTTTTTGACATGTTGCTTGCTTTGCACTGCGACTTGAGTTTTATGACTTCCGAAAAATCAACTTCTTGTCGAAGGTAAACAGCGGCTCGCCTCTCGCCAATAAAGCACCGCATACCAATCAAAACTAATGGAAGCACACATAAGGCTTATTGTTACTCTGTACTGGCCGTCGTGGAGCGATAGCAATTACCTAATTTCAGACCCAGAGTGAATTTGACGTGCACTCTAAAACGTGTCCGGTTTGGAGCCACCTCTGATTTGAACTTTTTTGAAGCGAAAAATTGGGCAACTTAGAGGCAATGGGTCAACACAAAGGAGTGGCTCAGTTCGATTGACTCTGGCCCCAGAGCAAACTTCAACATGCCAGTTTCCTTCCACAAACATATTTCGAGTGAAAAATCAACGCTTATGATCGGTTTGGGTCTACAAAAATTTGGCTGTCAAAGCGTTCCGGTATCGAACAGTCTACTCTACAATGACCGGCCAAACGCGACCTGGAAGCGCCGAATGACCAACTGGACTACAAAGCGCTCAAAATAAAATAATCGATTGTCCCATAATGTGTACTTCGCAAAGTAGTGTTTTCATCGCAATGCAGTGGAGACCCTAGTACAACACACTTCCTGAGTTGACCAGAGTGGATCATTACTACATTAGCGCAACAGTTGTGATCAGTAAGCAAAGAGCGTCATTTTGACATACATGTTGCATACTGGTGTCCCCAACTCACTAACTATAACATAAACATTGCCAAACCCCAGAGATTACGTTATAGCGAGGTCTGACCTGTATTTGGAAAGGTCATAAGTCAGTTGATAGTTATGTATTTTCTTCTTCTTTTTGACTATTTTCCTTAGTTACTGGTGGTGGTGATTCTGACACTACTACTTTACTGGCAACAACAATGAAGAAGACATCACCTACAATGGCGCAAGCCGCTACTACTGCTGCAACAGCAACAGGTTAGTACCTTACACAAGTTTTTAGCCATTTTTGAGCATATGGAAGTTGATGGTATGGTTGATTTTGTTGGCCTTTTTCCGTGTTGCAATTCATGCCTGTCATTGGCGGTTCCAAGCGAAGTCATTCGGCGGCTCCCTACAGAGTCATTTGGCGGCTCCATGCTGAATCATTAGGCGGCTCCATGCGGAGTCATTCAGCAGGTCCATGCGGAGTCATTCGGCGGCTCCATGTGGAGTCATTCGGCAGCTCCAAGTGGAGTCATTTGCCGGCTGAGCTGCGAGGCAACTAGCGATCATACCAGTTGCTTGAATCGGCACTCCCAGCTTAATCCAAACTCGGTTGCTATGCTGTGAGGTGTGGGGATGCTAATTGAAATTATTGGTGTGAGTACTGGCTACCGAGGGTAGCAATGGTCACCTTTAGAGCACATGGAGCAGGAGAGTTTGTAGTATTATTCAACAGCCGATTGGTACCGTTCACAGTTTTATAGAATATTCCCATGAATATAACAATATAAATATAACAATGTATTCTCTTCTTCTTTTTGGCTATTTTCCTTAGTTACTGGTACTGGTGATTCTGACACTACTACTTTGCTGGCGACAACAGTGAAGACCACATCACCTACAATGGCGCAAGCCGCTACTACTGCTGCAACAGCAACAGGTTTGTACCTTACACAAGTTCTTAGCCATTTTTGAGCATATGGAAGTTGACGGTATGGGTAATTTTGTTGGCCTTTTCCATTTTGCAATTCATGCCTGTCATTTGGCGGCTCCATGCGAAGTCATTCGGCGGCTTCATGCGAAATTATTCGGCAGCTCCATGTGGAGTCATTCCGCGGCTCCAAGTGGAGTCATTTGCCGGCTCAGCTGCGAGACAACTAGTGGCTCCAAGCAGAACCATAATACCAGGTGCTCAAATCTTCACACCCAGCTTAATCCAAACACGGTTGCTCTCGTGAGGTGGGGGGATGCTAATTGAAAATGTTGGTGTGAGTACTGGCTACCGAGGGTAGCAATGATCACCTTTAGAGCACATGGAGCAGGAGAGTTTGCAGTATTATTCAACAGCCGATTGGTACCGCTCACAGTTTTATAGAATATTCATGGGATAACAATGTATTTTCTTCTTTTTTTGGCTGTTTCCTTTTAGACACTGGTAGTGGTGGTTCTGAAACTACTACTTTACTGCAAATGACGGATCCAGAAAGCACAGGTCAGTTACGTATTTTAAGTGGGTGGGTCAAGTGGAACATGCCATGATGAACGTTTCACCCTGTACGCAGTTGAGGGATCACCCATAATGAAAAGTGTCCCTGTTGCCATGACAGTTTAGTAACATTGTTACCCAATGTTAATGAAGTGGGAAGAGATTTTTTCAGCTTTGCTGCAAACCCACAGTTGATTTGGTTCATGTAAATCGTAGCATTTCATGGGAAAGAATTATGCAAGAAGTAAGATTTCAGTCTTTGACCACTTTGGTAGTGGGTTTGATCTTTGCACTCACCTCCCAGTGCTTTAGTAGCTGATATCTGCACCTTGGGCATTGAGGTTGTAGTCGTTGCTACGCATGCGGAAAATTCAGTCTAACTGGGTCTAAAGTGAACTGTGAAATATGTTAGCCAATGTGTGAAACACGAAAAGAAAAAAAAGTAAATTATCGTGGCCGTTCCCGAAGGGAACTCACGATGGCCGCTAACACCCGATTAATCCTAGCGGCAGATGCAGCGCCTAACGGTGGGTACTTATACTTAAACACGGAAAAAGGGTACTTATAAAGTGTGATTGTGTCGGCTGTTAACCTAATTGTATTTCAAGCTCGATTCCCGCCACATCCAGCTTGCGACCTCAGGCTACATCACCGAGCCATCAAGCCGAGAATTGAGGTGTCATCAAGTCTTTGCCCTCCCCACCACCCACTCCACCCGCCTTCAATGTTCACTCTTGCACTCCGCATGCACTCAGTACAATCACCTGCCACCACACTGTTACTCCCTCCGAGAAATAAATACATTCAAAAGAGAAGTTACCCCAATCATAGTGTTGAGTCCAAACAAGAGACTGACGACGGGAACAGGTATGTTGGTGGAACGACATTTATTATAGACCAGGACAAACGACACGACTACATGGTGATTATTGAAGAGGGAGATTATTGAAGAGAGCTTATTGAAAAGAGAGAGTTGAGAGAGCAGCAACACAATATAAAGGGCCTGGGTAGCTATGGCGAACATGGACGAGCAAGTAGCTACCCAGGCCAAATGAATAATACATGAACTAATGAATTATATGAATTAATATTGTAATTACTATTGGGGCTAACATACCACCCTCCATGAAAAAATAACCCCGCGTCCTCGCAGAAAAAAAGAAAGAAGAAAGAGAGAAAAAGATAAAAAAATGACTGAAGTAGAAAAAACACAAACACACACACACACACACACACACTGCACGCACGCACGGTTATTGTTCCTGTACTTCTCTAAGTCTAAAGATAAGAAACTAGATGTCACGAGGAACCTACTGATACTGCCTGCATGGCTAAAAATAGCGTAGTAGCACTTCTGCTAAACATCAAAAATTAAAGCGTGGCTCACCATGATCGGCCCTTTTATTACTAACATTTTATGAACACACGCGCGCACACACACTACAAAAAAATTCATGAAATAAATAAACCGAAAATAAATTTGACGACGAAGGACAGAAGAAAAAGAAAGAGAGAAATAAAGAAAGTAGCTGACCTGCATGACTTGGACGAGACGAGGTTGACATAGAAGAGACGAGGTTGGAGATGAGACGAGGTTGGCGACGAGACGAGATTTACGTGACGAGACGAATGCCAGGCGGTAGAGCACGAGAATCCCAGGGTCGCGGGCTTCGGCAAAAGCTGGGCGCCAATGTTGAGTCTGAACAAGAGACTGACGACGGGAACAGGTATGTTGGTGGAACGACATTTATTATAGACGGGATGACTAAGACCAGGACGAATGAAACGACTACATGGTGATTATTGAAGAGGGCGATTATTGAAGAGAGCTTATTGAAGAGAGAGAGAGAGTTGAGAGAGCAGCAACGCAATATAAAGGGCCTGGGTAGCTATGGCAAACATGGACGCGCAAGTAGCTACCCAGGCCAAATGAATAATGCATGAACTAATAAGTTTTATGAATTAATATAATTGTAATTACTTGTGGGGCTAACACTAGTATTATCAATTTGCACATGCTCCGACCCCCGCTGTAGCCCATCCTAGGTATAGTATTTTAATCAAGCTCTATCGCCTACCTGCCTTCGCAATGGATATACTTCCTTCTTCGTCTTTACTTAAATGAAACACCCAAACCACGGCTGCCACTAGCCACCGTTTCTCCCGGTTTATTGCAGCCACTCTAATTGATCACACATACCGTATTATCTCTAATATAAGCACGGTCCTTTATTTTTTCAATGTACCTCTGCCCCGTGCTATTAGTGGAGACGGTCCTTTATTGGAGACTGTTCCATTATTATTTCAACCTCATTTCAGAGGCATGTTGCCATGCCAAGTTCATGTCAGACACACACATTTCAGGGTTTTTCGTACTGCATTTTACCAGGTACCGATAGAAATGCACACATTTTCATTTTTTTTAAATGGCGGTACTGCATTTTGCCAGGTACAGATAGTGAATTTACACAAGCCAGACCTGGAAGCAATTAGAGCAAGCAGTACAGCGATGTAGGAAAGTAGAGATACCGTATCGATCTCCATACTGTACAGTGGAAAACATACCGGTAATAAACCTACAGTGACAGGTTGGTGATCACGCAACACACAACAATCGCAATCACACAACCAGAAGTATACCGTAACCAGTACCGGTAAGTAAAAAGAAACCCAACGACAGGAAGAACAGCAAGCCGAACATGTCCGACACGCAATCACACTACCGGTAGTCTTCTTCCGAGCTGCTCGAGTCGTCCGATTCGTCCTCATCTGGAACCACCACCACCACCTCAGCTTCAGCGTCGTCCACGTGGTCTTCCTCCTCGATCACCTCAGGCTGCTGAGTAACAATCTCGGCTGATTTGGCCTTCAGCTGCGGCAGGCCTTCTGGAATTTGACCGTGTGATTTGAAGCAATGTATCAGGTCGTCTTCGGACCCGTCGGCAGCAATCGTAATGCCGCACGCCTTGAAGGAGCTCGTGATTATGGCGCTGGTCAAGCTGGCCCAGGCATCCACGACCCATTGCAGGTAGACGTGCATTGGCGGTGGGCGAGGGTTGCCGCCACGGGTCAGCTCCTTCTCACCATGCAGCATCCAGTCTTCGTGGTACTTGCGAATCGCGGCTTTGAACGGCTGGTTCCACGAAACGTCCGGTGCCTGGACGTACTTTGTACACCCCCCTGGTACAATAGCTTGGTGGAGCTTCAGCTCAGACATCACTGCCTTGGTATCCTTGCTGAGGTGGCACCGGAATGCATCCCAGACAAGGAGACGCTTGCCGAAAGCTAGTGGCCCGATGGCACGGCGCAGGAAATCTTCAGTTAATGAGTTATCCATCCAGACCTTTCCGGCCCAGTTGAGGATCAACGTCCCTCCAAACTTTTGCACGATTGCAGGAACAGGGCGCTTTCTTGGTAGGAGAACATAGGGCTTCACCTTCGTTCCGTTCGCTCTTGCACAAAGCATGACCGTGACATGCACCTTCTCGTGCCCAAGAGTTTGCATGGTAACATCCTTCGCTCCCTTGGTGGTGATGCAGTTCTTCCCAATGGGATCGAGCCAAACTGCTGTTTCATCGCAAGCGAGGATGTTTGCATCTGTGTACTTGTGCTGCTGGCGTTGCGTTCGCAGGAACAGCACAAAGTCGATGATTTTTGGAACGTAATCGGCAGGTGGCTTTTGACACGTAGTCGTTGTAGCACGAAGACTAAAATTGTTGCAACGTAAGAACTTCTCTAGCCAGCCCAAACTCGCTGTGAACTTGTCTGCCTCCAGTTTGCCCGCTTCAACAAGCTCAGAAGCGATTTTCATTGCCTCCAAGCGAATAAGACGGCGAGAAACACATTTGCGATGTTCTCGCATGTTCAGCACCCATTGTCGAACACGGTCATTCACCGCAGCGGCTAGCTGCGTGCGCCCACCGCCAGAGAGACGTTGACTCTTCGAACTTTTCTTGCCGCCAGACAACTCAGCCTTCATTTTCGCTTCATTTTTCCGCCAAAGTACGATCTGGTTCCTGCCGACCTTGAACTTCTGGGCAGCAGCAGAATTGTTTACACGCTTAGAATATTCTACAGCTTCCAACTTTAGCTGGAGAGAAAGAGTTCTCCGTTTCTTCGATGAGTTCTCTGCCATCTTTACACAAGCTTACAGGAAAGAACGATCTTACCGCGTGGGTGAAAGGAAAAACCATGCCATGCGCCAAGCGCTTACAGTGCGCAGCACGTGTACCTTTCTACGCCTACGGTACGGTAAGTTGTTTTTGGTGCACGCGACTGACCATGGTAACATGTACATGCAATGTGCGTACATATACCACCGTACCGTGTCCTTTATTGGAGACCCAGGTGGTTTTCAGGGCACTTCACAGTGTGCTTATAATGGAGACTGTGCACTTTATTTTTTGAATGCTGCCCCAAGGTGTTCTATTATTGGAGACGTGCTATTATTGGAGACTGTGCTTATAATAGAGATAATACGGTAGTACTGTCTCTCTTGTATTGGCTACGGCCATCATGAGAATAAAGATAACGATACTGCTTGTATTTTTGAAAACATTGAAAACGTCTCAACGTTGTGTGTTACATTGTATTTGCTTTGGGCTGTTGTCTCAGCTACTGGAAATGCAAGTACTGGAGAAACAGCTTCATCAGCAACAACCATGGTATCAAGCACTACCCTGTCGCCAACAATGCTACCAACAAATACCACGCCAACAGCGCCATTGGCAACAAGTGCAGGTCAGTTCCCTGAAAAGTACAATCATGTTTCAAGTCGGCTTTACTCAGATGTCTAAGCGTTGTTTAGCTTTACCTACTCACGGTCCTTTTGATAGTTGCTAAGTATTGGAATGTGTTCTTGGTTGTAGCTTTCTTTTAAGGTTTCCTGCACCACAATGTACATCACTCTCTTAGTATTGACTCCCATTGATTTTTGCTATACATGTACCTAAAAGCAGTCTAATATTTCTGCATATTTCACTCCTTAGTGATAGCTTGCATGCCGTCCTACCGGTAGGACCCAAGAAATCGAGCTGCAAAAGTGCTTTTGGTTGAGAAATGTCTTGAAACAATAGGTCTTTTGCCAAATAAGACACGCAGTGACTTGGCAGGGCATGGCATGCGTATTGAATGCGTGACACAGGCACGGGGTACATGCAGTGCGTTCCTCCCAGCGCGAGCTCTTGCTTTGGAACCGCAACGATCAATCACCGCGTTTGGCGTTTACTCGCCCACGTGGCCAGAAAAATGTGGCTCTCCTGGATCGAAAAAACTGACAGCGAAGGGTTTCTGTTTTATTCTCGCTTTTTCATCGCTGTCCGCTGTTTGTTTAGAAAGTATCTCTTTGCATATACTTCTCGCTGGGCCTTTGCAGTGAGTTTGATACATGGCTGATGAAGCCGTCCATGAGCCGAGCCCTTCTTCTCTTGCCGCGATACGTTGCGATGAAGGGAACGTTGAAACTAGTCATGTGACTGAAAATGAAGTTGAAGATCCCAATGTTCGGTTTGTGATGCCTCCGGACAACGAGTCGTTTGAAAAATGGACGGTGAACCAGTTGAAGACGTACCTGCGAGCTAGAGGAGCCCGAGTGTCCGGGAAACGAGATGAGTTGCTCGAACGGTAAGTACCACTTCGGGATGCAGTCTTCAAATAACGTTTCGCAAAAGGAAAAGGAAATTTTATTCCCGTAGCTATGCAGAAGACGTTACTTCAGTAACGTCTGGCGCTAGCCAGGGTCCACACAGCTTTAATTTGGTGTTTGTTTGTTTGTTTGTGTCACGCCTGGCGCTATCCCGTATCTGTCCCGTACCGTATCGCACAGCTGGCCATTTGCTGGCTCCCGTATCTGTCCCGTACCGTACCGTACCATCAAACACAGCTGGCTACAAACAGCTGGCCACAATATTATGTACATGTATACGACTCCCTGTGTGTTGCATATGTGCTTGAAGGGGACGGTTGCACTTTTTGTAGCTCCGTTTTATCTGAGTTTTCAGTCGTTCCTCTTACTAGTTTTGCCAAGGGGGTGGCTCTGGGTCCACCAGAGTTGCCCCTGGCATATTTCTGAATTTGCTGGGGCGAGGGTTCCGCGACGCGGTCGCCAAGGCAGTGTATTTTCAGTCACGACCGTTGTCGTCCTCGTCTCTCCATTCGCGGTGGTGTAGCTGACCCCCGAATGGTTTCAAACTGCGAAGCTCGGAGGAGTACAGTGGTGGCAGAGGCATGAGCTGTGAGTGGAGACGGTTGCTGGAGATGGATGGTGATGCAGGGAGAAGAGTTACGCTGCCTGATGCCGCGTGGAAAATTGTTTGAATCTGCAATTTCAGTTCGAGCGCGGTGGACTTCTAGACGATGTGTCCTCATGGCTGTTTTTCAACGCTTGGCCTATCGCTGATATCCCTGAGTGGGATGTTCTTCCAGTGGAGTCCAGGTGGGACTTCGGGTGCCCACACTCCATCACCTGGTTGATTGTTTCGGAACTGCAAAAATAATTATTGTTTCCTATTTTGTGCGCATCTCTTGTCATCTCTCTTTTCTATACGTCGCACACCAGATGTACTACTATCGCCGTCTTTGTCTTGCTTTCTCTCCCTGCTTGCTGTTTTTTCTGTTTCTGTTGCCACTGTCCCTCATCATACCCATGCTTGGGTGGTGGGCGGCGTGACCCGTTAGGGTAGCTGCCAATACAGTACGACTCCCTGATGTATAGAGAGACTTTCTGGAAAGAAATAGGGAGACGAGGAGGAAATGAAATTAGAATGGATGTTAGTTGCAGAATAGGTGATAGGATGCGTCAGCAAAAACATACTTTGGAAGAGAGATCCCGTCGTCTCCAAAATAGGCGTGAACGGGCGAATCAGCGCCGGTCACAGGAAACGTCGGCAGAGTGATCCCGTCGACTCCAGAACGCGCGTGCTCGGCAGAGTCAGCGCCTTCCCAGGAAACATTTCCATCAGTTCCCACAACATGCATGATGAGCTAAGTAACAAAGCATAGCGTAGGGCCCTGAGCTTCCAAGCTCTCTCGTCGGTACATGTTTTTGCTTTCCAACTTCCTCCATCTGTTCAGGGCCAGGTTCTACCACAACGATCCAAAACTGCGCACTCCAGATACATCTGGCGGCAGGCGTCGGCAAGGAAAACGGAAGAGTGCTGCCATTCAGAGCATTGTTGACGCTGAGCTCGTGGAAGCACATAGTGATGCAATAAGCACATCGTCCACTGTAGCAGCTATATCTCGTCCTAGTTTCCTGACACAGGGTGGGACACATCAAGCTCTGCTTTGCCAAATGACCTATCGCTTGGTGTGACTTTCGATCACCTCCGAGCCTGCGGCAAGCATGCTACCGTGAAAAGTCCTTCACCCGCGGATTCAACTTCTTCTTCTGGAGTTACATACATTCTGTGAGCTGTTGCAAGATTGCAATGTCTACTGAGACCCCGACCAGATACTTCATCAAAGCCAAGTGCTGGGCGTCCCAGTCCAAGAAAGAAAGTTATGCACTTGAGTGTTTAGTTGAAGCAGCTGCTACAACTTACCTGATGTCTATCGCTTATGCACACTGCTCTTGCACTGCTGGAGTTGCTGGCTCGTGCCATCATCTCGTCGCACTGCTCCTAAGCATCGAGCACTGTGCGAAGAAGCAGCAGGATGTACCAGCAGAGCAGACTTGCACAACTGAGAAGCAGGCTTGGGGTCCTCGGCCTCGTCAAGTTGTCGCACAGCCAGTTTCTTCACTTGTAATTGAAAAAGCGGATCCGTTGAAGAATATGGATGACAGTCGGAGTGTCCGGCGAGCATCCTCGCTCTATGAGGCGAGAGGTCCTTCAACCAAAGAGATTAAGTGTGAGGAACTTGATCGCCTGCTGGATAAGATCACCGCAACCGGCCACAGGTACCCCATTGCAACTTTGCTGTCGCGTGGAGAGGAGATGCACCAGTGTCCGTCCAAGGTGGGCGCTGTCCCATTCGGCTCAGTGCTGTGTTACCACCAGCTCGAGGGGGGTAAAGTTGATGTGCCTCCAGCTAGAAAGCGACCATTTGTGGCGATAGCTGACCAACCGCAGTTGGCAGCGTCAAGCTCGCAAACAGCAAGTGATGATCGAAACGCCACCTCAGAATCACCTACCAGCCAACAACCTGCTGGCGCTGAGTGTTCTACCAGCCAGCACTTCTGTGATTTACCACTGCCGAAGTCTGCTAGGGAAGGTGATGAGTTTGCACGACCGCTACTCCATAGCAAAACCATAGCCATCGAGCAGCTCACTCGTAGTCAGGGTAGCAGTGAATTGTGGAAAAAACAGAGGAGAATCACCCTGACTTCTTCACGTTTCCACCTCGTAACTCACCGGAAGGAGGTGACAGATGCATTCGTGACGAGCCTCTTTCAGGACAAGGATTTGTCTCGAGTTGGAGCGGTTTCTCATGGAAGAGCCTGTGAGGATTTGGCCAGAAGGGATTATTTGGCAAGCAAGCAAACAATGTGCAACGCGGACTACGAGGTGCGGCAATGTGGTCTGGTCATCCACCCTGTTTACCAGTACATTGGCGCTAGTCCTGACGGCCAAGTCTATGATGGGTCCTGTCCAGCCGATCCAAATGGTTTGCTGGAGATAAAATGTCCGCACACCGCTTATGGAGATGACTTAACCCCTGCTGAGGCCTGTTCATTGCCAGACGTCTGCTGTGAGCTTGTCAATGGTCAACCCCGGCTCCGTGCTAGTCACGCGTACTACTACCAAGTTCAAGGGCAACTTGGTGTGTCTGGCTTATCTTGGTGTGACTTTGTCATCTGGACTGGGCCTCGTCAACTTTCCGTGGAACGCATCTTGTTCGACGATGAATTTTGGAAGAAGGATCTACTTCCATGCCTGCTACAGTTCTGCTCATCCCATCTGAAAAAGGCCACGGAAATCTCTGCCGGCCAGGTTTTCCAGGATGATTGAGAACATTGCCTGGCAGCTGTTTGTCCACTTGAATCATTATTATTACATTTCATTCTTTTCTTCCCAGTTATACATTGTAATCTTGTAATGGGTTGAAATCGTAAATACAGATCAAATGCAATAGCATGTAATTAGGCCTCAAACTGAAAGGAACCTGCAAGATAAAATTCGAATCATTTCAACTTCATGCGTATGGTTGTACAATACATGTATAATATATTCGCCGTTGTAGGTCCGTTGTGACCGTAATAACAATCCCGGCAAGACTAACTTTATTCATTGAACTTATGTAAATATTGCAATCCAAATTATATCGGTTCAAATTTTGTACAGAGGAAGTCATTATCTGCTCAGTAATATGATTGTGCATGACTGTTCAGGCATGACGAAATTCGTGTTGCTGAAGATCAATTCGCCATGCAATGCTAGCAACAGTTGGCATGGATAACTTAATTTGCATCAGCAAGTAAAGGAGCCTGGAACAATGTGAGAAGGCAACAGACTGTCCATATCTGATTGATGATGGGGAAAAGAGTTGTTGGAACAATCTTGGAAAAGATGTTGAACTCCTTGATCCGCTCCATCAGACGCTCAACATGAATTCGTAACTTGGCGATTTGTTGCGTTTTCTGAACGTCTTCTAGGGCCATCTGGTGTCCTGATCGCTTGAACAGGGGAATGTTCAACTTGACGCCATACGGCACTAAAAGATCCTGGATGTCGAATCCTTTATCTGCCATAATCGATGTCCCATAGCCGGCTGCTGGGAGAATATCTAGGAAGTGGCTTCTGATCGTTAGCTCGCGGTTACTGATAGATCCAGTGAACAACTCGGAGATGAACGCCACAGCACCATCTGGGGTCATACCGATGAGGCCCTTCAAGGTGGTATGTGTCTTGTACGAGCTGTACAGTTGGGACTGTGCAGGCAGACTGGACGCAACTTCGAATTTTAGCTCTGTGGCATCAATGATCAAGAATGTTGTCGGCTACAGGTCCTTGAACACATCGGGCAATCGTTCTGACACTTGGGAAGGGTGCGGCCATATTGGTATCATTCCCAGTCGCAGGTACATGTATTGACCATTGTTGTGATGATACGACTCACAGTCCCAGTATCTATCAAGTACAGATCAGCCAGCATTCGGATGTCTGTGCCGCGGCAAAGACGAACCATGGTAAGGAAAAACTTCTCTCTCCAAGCCAACTTGCTCTTCCGTCCAGCACCGGGTTTCCTTTTCCGTGAGTCGGCATCCAAGGGTTTGCTGTGAAAGGAAATGACGCTCTTATCATCCAGGTGAAGAAATTGTTCACATGCATCAAATGCAGCAAGTGAAGGAAACCCAGTGTAGTACTGCATATCGGAGTCAGAGTCTTCAAACCGAGCTAGAGAAAATAGTTTCAGGCTGAAGTCGACTTGGATATCGTCGATAGCAGCCAGTGCTTCTTCAAGTTCGTCTTTTTCCTTGGCATTTTCCTTCGTCGTGGCTTTCAGCTTTGCAGCGTCTGACTTGGGCTCCTTTGCTACTTTAGGAGGAGGAGAAGCACCACGCTCGCGAGACTTTCTCTTCGTGGGCTTCTTCCATGCAAATACGCTTGGAACAGCAGTAGATTTCAGCCTTGCGCCCGACTTCTTTGTCCCTTGGACATAGTCTTCGTCCGTGAAGTGGTTAGAACACACCACTGTACTGTACGACATGTTGGTAAACACACCGTCCCTCTCATCTCGACGGCTGGCGGCAATCCAAGACTTCCTTGTGTCCAACTCGTCCCTGCTCATGCTTCTAGCTTCTCCAGTTTTTGTTTCTTTGCTACCAGGGAAGACGTGGAACAAAGTATTTTTGTCCGAACGTCGGTCGCTGTTGCACTGCGGAACACAGCAGTGATCGCCTTTCCCCATGACTAGAGAAGCTGGGAAGATGTCCTACATAACAAAGCTGAACACTTTACAAGAACCAGGCGGAGAATCTCCAGCGGCTGTTCTTTTATCTTCTAAAATGTCGAGCGCGATCGCTTGAAGAAGTTAGTTTCTGAAAGTAAAGGCACGAACAAAAATAGAAGGAAAAGTCACATTTACACGTGGGCGAGTACACGCCAAACGCGGTGATTGATCGTTGCGGTTCCAAAACAAGAGCTCGCGCTGGGAGGAATGCACTGCATGTACCCCGTGCCTGTGTCACGCATTCAATACGCATGCCATGCCCCGCCAAGTCACTGCGTGTCTTATTTGGCAAAAGACCTATTGTTGAGATGAGGTTTTTGGCAGGCAAAGTAATGGCGCAAAATGCAATGCAATGTAATGCAATCCAATGCATTGTGTATGCGCAATTTTTTCAATTGTCAAAATGGCCGCACATAATCTTGTCGGTGCGCTAGCAACTCTGTCCAAAGTGAATTTTGACCATGGCACATCAACCGTGGTGAGGTCCTGTTGCAAAAGAAGGGTCCACGAGTGGGATTCGTACCCAGCACCCCTGTCTTTCCGGGACAGTGCCCTACCGATTAGGCTACCGGGGTCACACACACTCATGGGTCCTTCTTGCTACACTGCTCCCCCACCCCATCACAATGTACTGAATGTTAGAACTACGAATACTACTGTCCTAATGTTTTTATTACCTGGCCAAGGCAGTGGAATGCATAATTCCATACTCCGTTTCCATGGTTACCATGGGCTGTTACCATGGAGTTTCGTAGTATGCCTTGTGTGGCTTCGTCTAAAATTTGTGGACTCCTTCATTAGCCCCTGAGCAACAGTTTAGTGTCAAGTTTTAGGTCAATGTTAGCACAGTGGCCATGCAGCAAGTCTGTGTATGATGGTCCTAGTGGTAGGTCCTACCAGTAGGACCGAGGTCTATGCAAGCTATCGTTAGAGCTATATTGACTGCTTATATTTGACTCCCTTTTAGGGATTGAACACGTGCTTGGGTTTGTCGTGATAAATCTAGCATACACTTCAAAGTACTCGAAGTAGCAGAAAAAGTTATATAGCAACTTGCCTTTCAATTCCCTCTCCCCGCTCCCCCCGCCCCCTTTGCCTTTTCAATTTTGACAATCCCACTGTGGGATGGGTGTGTCGACTTCTCAGCGCATCTCTTTTTCCCTTTGCATGTCACATTGCCTGATAGCTGTAGTACAGGACTGGATCGTTGTGCTGGTCCAGTGCAGAGTTGAATAAAATGGGCAGTAGGACTGCATTCTCGTATTGTTCTTCATATGTTGGGCTGCCCCGCATTGGGTACAGATTTGTCCAGCTATGGAAAAACTTTGCCACGCGCCCGTCTTCAATGTTATGCTGGCTATGAGTCTCTGTATTTGCATTTGCTGCTCTTTCTATGGGCTTGCGGCCTCTTGGCGACATGGAAACTGAAACATCTCCTGACGATCTATGTTCTGTAGAAGCAATGAACACATCACCTACAATTGCACAAGTCACTAATACTGCTGCAACAGCAACAACAACAGGTTAGTACTTTACACAAGTTTTTAGCCATTTTTGAAAAATGTGGAAGTTGCTGGTGCGGTTGGATTTTGTTGGCCATTTTTTTGCGTTGTAATTCATGCTTGTATATACAGGTCAGACCTCGCTATAATGACCACCGCTATAACATAAACCTCACTACAACGTATGAAATGCAAATGTCCCTGCCGAAACCGCATCACTTCTGTATTAAATTTCCTCACTATGACCTAATCCGCCAAAGCGTAATTTTTGCTATAACACACTGTTCTGCAGTATTCACTTGGTCCCAAGTGCCCAGATATCTCAGTATAGTACAAAAAGTTGTACAGTACATTGTCCTTCTGGCCGAAATCACTATCTTTTCTTGAAATTTCTGCCCATGGCTGCATACCCTTGCTTGCACTCAACGCGTCTACTGGCATTCATGCATTCTTCCAACACCGCAGTCGTGTGGACTGGGTACGTAATGTGTACTTCGAGAAGTAGTGTTTTCAACACAATGCAGTCGAGACCCTAGTGCAACACACTTCCTGAGTTGACCAGAGTGGATCATTACTACCGTTTAGCTAGACAGTTGTGATCAGTAAGCAAAGAGCGTCATTTTGACATACATGTTGCATACTGGTCTCCTCAACTCACTATACCATTATATAAACGGAGATTACATTATACTCAATCTGCGGACAGAACTGTTTCGTTATTTGTGGACTCGTCAGCGCAGCACAGTGGAAATGAGGCCGAACCTGGTAGCAATGAAAAAATAATTTTCCAAAGCCAGATTTAAAAACCAGGCCCGAACGTACCTTGCCAGAGTCCTCGAACTGACAAGTCAGTGAGCTCTGCGTAACGCAAACAACAAAGGCACTACCCCACGCATTAAATTACGAGATTACGTTATAGCGAGGTCTGACTTGTATTTTGGAAGGTTATAAGGCAGTTGATAGTAATTATTTTCTTTTTCTTTTTGGCTATTTTTCTTAGTTACTGGTGGTGGTGATTCTGACACGACTACTTTACTGTCAACAACAATGAAGAACACATCACCTACAATGACGCAAGCCAATACTACTGCTGCAACAGCAACAGGTTAGTACCTTGCACAAGTTCTTAGCCATTCTTGCGTGATTGAAGTTTCAAATCTTTATTCTCACGATAGCCAGTGGCCAATAAGAGATAATAGTGTAAGAAAGGAGAAAGAGCGAGGAAGAATTGGGTGGGCAGAGCCTAGGGATTAATGACTACTTAAGTGTACGGGCAGGGGTGGTCGCTACACGAGCATACAGAGTTGTGCAACAGCAGGGATATCTGGTATTTGAAGAGAGTACGAGAAAGGATTTTGTGAAGCTGGGTGGGCAAGCAGTTAAAGTAATGAAGGGCCTTGTACAGTCTGTATCGGCTATAGCGTACCCTTTTGATTTCCGTGATTTTATCACTATAACCGATGCATCACTATATGCGATACGATCGATTTTCTTCGATCGACACGTGAAAGGCAAGGAAATACTTCCAGCATGGCGTTTTGACAGTGCCCGCATTTCCATAAAAAAATTCTGTTATGTACATGTACATGTGTCACTATCAAAATAAGCAACGTGAAGAAAGTAAAAAAAATAGGGCCTTTGATATTATTGCAACATGTATTTTAAAGTTATCACTACAGGCGATAATAATGTAGTGTGTTATGCATGTTTTGATTCTTTGTTGCCATCATAATATCCGATATATCATTACATCCGATAATATTGGTTATAGTGATATTTGTACTGGATAAAATACGTTTTGCTTTTGATATTTCGTACCAATATCACTGTAGCCGATATATTCTTATATCCGGTCACTCTATAGCCGATACAGACTGTACAGGGGAGAATGGAGACAGCGATCAGTCCGCGGAGTTGGCAAGTGCCAAGTACGAGAGCGACGTAAATTATACGAAGGTTGCACGCTGCTAGCAGTATGCAGCGAGAGTATATGCGGTGGGGCATAATTGTGGCGCAGAGAATGTGCGAAGAGTATAATGTTTATAGTTTCAAAAAGATTTGCAATCCTGGCGATCAGCCGCGGAGTTTGGCGTCTTCCCGTATGAGCACTCGAGCGCTGCCTGGAAAAACTCACTGTGAACTCGAAGAAATATTCCGCGCGAAAGCAGGAAAAATGACTACTCGCTCGCGTTGATAAAGTCATGTACGTCTGGTTTACAACAAACGAGTTCTTCCTCGTATCGATAATGGAGTTAGAGAGGACATGTCGAAACGAAAGTGTTGTAAATGTTGACAAGCGGCATGGGTCCCAATTCGTTTTGTGACCAAAATAGTTTCTTTGAGCTGCGATGCAATTTACTCACCGTGTGACGAAAACGACATTGACACGGACTCATTCCCAAGGCATGACTTGGCAAAGCTATCTGTGTGACTTCGACGACATTTTGAGAAAAGCAGACGCTTGTGAACGCTGATAGAAGACGGCGTTGACTGCTAAATTCAAATAAATTGGCGATCTTGATATACTAAAATAAATCTCAAAAAGCTACAGACTTCCATATTCACTCACACCATTTCAGGGTTGTGGGTGTGTTCACATGGCGTGAGCCAGTCAAGTGTCAGTCAGTTCGGCAGGAAGCGCGAGCTCCAACAACAAGTCGTTTGGTGCAGCCATCTTCTTTGTCTTGTACCACCTTGATCACCAAAACAATGAAAAAAGTTTGACTTGAGGATAGGTTGGGATTTGAACTCACAACTTCATGGTCAGCAGACAGCATTCATAACCACAAGGCCAAAAAGGAACAGATAAATCGTGGGTTTTGATAAAAAAATCGATACTGGCTTCCTGGGCAAAGTCGAAACCATTGGAAAAGGCCGGAAACCTGGCCGAAATTGTAACTCCTTAATGATTGGTCCAATTGTTCCGAAACCTTCACAGAACAATTTGCCGTGTCCTAACAAGCCATTCTATGTACTTTGTTGTCCAAATTTCCCTTATCTTCATACTTTTTAAGACCCAAACCTGCTTGCATTTCTTTTGGAAACAGACTGTAACTTTAAAGCGTGAAAATAATGTTGACCATTTGATGCGATGCAATAGGTGGGAGTGTTCTAAGTGTGTGTAAAGGGGAAGGTGGGGACATATTCTGGCGGCTTTCCGCTGGAGACGTTCTAGCCTGTCAAGGGAAGTGTGTGAGAGTATTGCTCTCATATGAGAATATAGGTAGTATGTATGTCTGATAGATGTGAGATAAAGAATCACTGGTGAGTGTAGACCTTAGTCTAAAAAGAATATTGAAAGACTTGAGTGATTTTTTGACTATGTATTCAACATGCTCCGTCCAACGGAGGTCATGCTGAAAGATTATTCCGAGGTGTTTGTGTTTTTGTGCTACGTTAAAGGGGAAGTATACCCTAAAATCAAATTTTCACCAGTTGTAGTCTTCGGGGTGCTGAGTCGAATGGTCTTGGTCCGAGGAAGCTGAGACGCTCCCTTCCTTCTTGAATCCCAATCGAACTCGCGCACTTCCACCAAAACTGGGTGACTGCGCCCTACTAGATGGGGAGTTGTATGCAAAATGTCACTAAAAGCGCCATTTCGTTCTTATAAAAGTACGGATGACCGCCATTGGCCCATATGTTGTAGTCTTTTGGACGCTGAGTCGACTGGTTTTGGTCTGAAAAGGCTGCGATGCAGCGTTCCTCCTTTATTCCCAATCGAACATGGTTGAACAAGCGGTCACTTGCTCCTGCGTACACCAGTCACCTGGTCACCGTGCCTGCAGGGTACAACTTACTAGCCTGTTTGACCTTTTTTGGGTGCAGTCCTGTCACTAGAGTTGAACTAGAGTTGAACCTTGGTGTGAAAGTTGTCGCCTGCTGGCGTGGTGACCAGGTGATTTGGGCACCCAGGAGCACGTGACCGCTTGTTCAACCATGTTCGATTGGGAATAAAGGAGGAACGCTGCATCGCAGCCTTTTCGGACCAAAACCAGTCGACTCAGCGTCCAAAAGACTACAACATATGGGCCAATCGCGGTCATCCGTGCTTCTATAAGAACGGAATGGCGCTTTTAGTGACATTTTGCATACAAATCCCGATCTAGTAGGGCGCAGTCACCCAGTTTCGGTGGAAGTGCGCGAGTTCGATTGGGATTCAAGTAGGAAGGGAGCGTCGCAGCTTCCTCAGACCAAGACCATTCGACTCAGCACCCAGAAGACTACAACTGGTGAATTTTTTTGATTTTAGGGTATACTTCCCCTTTAACCCTTTGGAGTCCATGGTTCGATTTCGAACCATGGGCATTTTGTATGCATGTGGGCGCAGTCAAACTTTCGGTTCTCGGCCAAATCTTGACCAAATTCAACAATCGAAGGGTCTAAATGGTAGAGAAAACTCTCAGCTATCGCCTCGAACAGGTCCGAAGTCTCTCCGACGAAGTTTGAGGGAGCGGCGAGCGATCAAACATTTCTAATTTTCTGCGCTGCATGCTGCGAGTCAGCAGTGCGTGAAAAAAAGGGATTTTCCCAGCTTAATGACAGGCGGCACGTGTCATGACCGGCGCGGCAGGAAGTCACGGCAAGGTAAGCTTCTACTCGAAAAAATTTGAACAGTTCCGGCTAGATTCAGTGAAATGGCTACAGGAGACCGATTTCGTCTCAGATCTGGAGCTGGACTCGCGTTTGGGGCACGTTGTGGTTGACAATGAATAGTGCTCTTGGCGAGTTTGGGCTCATTGTATTTCTCTCATCAAGAGCTTTCCAACGAGCTCAAGATCTTCAAAATCGGTGAAGTAGAACCAAAGTTATGTTGAAAATGGAGTGCGCATTTTCGTGACTGCCACAAATTCTGCGGAAGCAAAAAAGTTACGGACTCCAAAGGGTTAAGCGGACTATTCCTGAGGGTGAGCTGGGGTAGCTGTTCAGGGGGACGGTTATTGTGGTAGAACGGGAGGATGACCGTTTTCTTCGTGTTAACCAGCAGATGCCATCTTTGAAGCCAGTCTCCAGCTGCTGTGACACTCTGTTGTAAGTTTCGGGTGCAGTTTTGAAGAGTTCTCGCTATGGAAATCAGAGCGGTGTCATCTGCAAATTGGCTACATGTGGTGCCGGGATTCTCACATGCGTGTGGAAGGTCTATGGTGTAGATGAGGAATAGAAGCGGCCCAAGAACAGATCCCTGAGGGACGCTGGCAGGGATCCCGAGGAAAGGCGATAGGTCGCCATCCACCTGGACCCTCTGCCGACGCCCCAACAGGTACCGTCGGAACCACTGCAGGGCGTTGCCGTGGACACCATAGTGGGAGAGTTTTGCTAGAAGGCCTGCAGGCCACACACGATCGAAGGCCTTGCTTAGATCAAAAAAGTTGATGGCTTGGTTGATTTTGTTGGCCTTTTTCCGTGTTGTAATTCATGCCTGTATATATTTGGGAAGGTTATCGGTTATAAGGTCATGGATAATCTCAAAATTTTGTATATTTTACACAAGGTTGGGGAGCCAAGGTTTGTTTATAAGAAGAAAAGAGGACCAAAAGAGCTACAAGTTACGCTATCGTATCCACGAACACCAGCAGTTATTTTACAATCAGCTGTTGCGATAACATTGCACGACACTGACGAATCAACCACAATGAGAAGTGTCACTGTTGCCACGAGAGTTTAGTAACACTCTTACCCAATGTCGATGAAGCGGGAAGAGATTTTTCAGCTTTGCTGCAAACCCACAGTCAATTTCCAATACGAAACTTCGAATCCTGGTTGTGACAGTCAATTTTTTCTTCAGACTTTTACTGTTTGTGGTTTTCCCTCAAACCAGTGAGTATAAAAATTACTAGTAATATTGCCATGTCAATTACAAACTCCAGTATCACCTTCTCTGACAAGCCTTTGATAGGCGAAACAGTTGTCAAAAGGAAATGTTTTTTTACCCGTTACATCTTCGTTGTTTGAAATTATTGGTGTGAATAATGGCTACCAAGGGTGGCAATGGTCGCCTTTAAAGCACATGGAGGAGGAGAGTTTGTAGTATTATTCAACAGCTTTAATATGGTACCGTTCACAGTTTTATAGAATATTCATGGGATAACAATGTATTTTCTTCTTCTTTTTGGCTGTTTCCTTAGATACTGGTAGTGGTGGTTCTGAAACTACTACTTTACTGCAAACAACAATGTCACCAACAGTGAATAGCACGTCGCCAACAACAGAGCCAGAAATCACAGGTCAGTTGCGTGTTATTAAGTGGGTGGGGCAAGTGGAACATGCCATGATGAACTTTACATTATGTACGCAGTTGAGACATCACCCACAATGAAAAGTGTCACTGTTGCCACGACATTTTAGTAACATTCTTACCCAATGTCAATGAAGCGGGAAGACATTTTTTCAGCTTTGCTGCAAACCCACAGTTGATTTGGTTCATGTAAATCGTAGCATTTCATGGGAAAGTATGATGCAACAAATAAGATTTCAGTCTTTGACCACTTTGGTAGTGGGTTTGATCTTTGTACTCACCTCCCAGTGCTTTAGTAGCTGAATGTGCACCTTGGGCATTGAGGTTGTAGGCGTCGCTACGCATGCGGAAAATTCAGTCTAAAGTGACCTGTGAAATATTTTAGCCAATGTGTGAAACACGGAAAAAGGGCACTTATAAAGTGTAATTGTGTCGGCTGTTAACCTAATGGCATTTCAGGCTTGTATTTTTGGAAAACATTAAAAACGTCTGAACGTTGTGTATTGCATTGTATTTGCTTTGTGCTGTTGTCTCAGCTACTGGAAATGCAAGTACTGGAGAAACAGCTTCATCAGCAACAACCATGGTATCAAGCACTACTCTGTCGCGAAGCATGCTACCAACAAATACCACGCCAACTGCGGCATTGGCAACAAGTGCAGGTCAGTTTCCTGAAAAGTACAATCATGTTTCAAGTTGGCTTTACTCGGATGTCTAAGCGTTGTTTAGCTTTACCTATTCACGGTCCTTTTGATAGTTGCTAAGTATTGGAATGTGTTCTTGGTTGTAGCTTTCTTTGAAGGTTTCCTGTACCACAATGTACATTATCACTCTCTTAGTATTGACTTCCATTGATTCTTGCTATACATGTTACTAAAAGCAGTGAAATATTCCTGCATATTTCACTCCTTAGGGATATACTGACTGCTTATATTTGACTCCCTTTTAGGCATTGAACATGTGCGTGGGTTTGTCGTGGTCAATCTATATTGATTTCAAAGTACTGGAAGTAGCAGAACAATTGACATAGCACCTTGTCGTTCAATTCCCCCTCCTCCCCCCCCCCCCCCACCCAACCCCCATTTTGCCCTTTTAAAGTTGACAATCCCAGTGTACGATGGGCGTGTTGACTTCTCAGCACATCTCTTTTTCCCTCTGCATGTCACATTGCCTGATAGCGGTAGTCCAAGACGGGACCATTGTGCTGGGTCAATGGCAGATTTGAATAAAATGTGCAGTGGGACTCCATTCTCATGCTGTTCTTCATATGTTGGGCTGCCGTGCATTGGGTACAGATTTGTACAGCTATGGAATAACTTTGCCAGGTGCCCGTCTTCAATGTTATGCTGGCTATGAGTCTCTGTCTTTGCATTTGCTGCTCTTTTTTTGGGGGCTTGCTGCCTCTTGGCGACATGGTAACTGAAAACATCTCCTGACAATCTATATTCTGTAGAAGCAAAGAACACGTCACCTACAGTGGCACAAGTCACTAATACAGCTGCAACACCAACTGCAACAGGTTAGTATTTTACACAAGTTCTAAGCCATTTTTGAAAAATATGGAAGTTGCTGGTGCGGTTGGATTTTGTTGGCCATTTTTCGTGTTGTAATTCATGCTTGTATAATACAGGTCAGACCTCGCTATAACGACCCTGCCTATAATATAAACCTCACTACAACGTACGAAATGCAAATGTCCCTGCCAAAACCGCATCACTTCTGTTTAAAATTTCCTCACTATGACCTAATCCGCTATAGCATAATTTTTACTATAACACACTGTTTCGCTTTGTTTGCCTGGTCCCAAGTGCCCAGCGACCTCATTATAATACAGCACGTTGTACAGTGCATCATTGTCTTCCGGCCCCAATCACTTTCTTTTCTTAAAATTTCTGGTCACGACTGCATACCCTTGCTTGCATTCAACACATCTACTGAAATTCATGCATTCTTCCAACACTACAGTCGTGTGGACTGGGTACATAATGTGTACTTCGCAAAGTAGTGTTTTCAACACAATGCAGTCGACACCCTAGTACAACACACTTCCTGAGTTGACCAGAGTGGATCATTACTACAGTGAAACCTGTCTAAGGCGACCCCTCAAGGGACGAGAAAAAGTGGTCGCCGTGGCCAGGTGGTCTTCTTATCCAGGTTCAGCGGGTCACGTGACTATATCCACATGTGATACATCATTTTGATTAGTGCATCACAGTGCACACGCCTATGCTACTCTAGCACGACTCATGTACCTGGGGTCCTCAGACCTGTCAAATGCCGTGCATGCACCATGTACATCTACACTTCCTGCACTGATGTGTAGATCTACCATGCCTGGTGCACCATGCAAAGCGTACATTTACATGACTAGCACTGTGCAACGCAGTCGCGGGTGGGTGGTCGTTGGTCGCGTTGAGCGAGTGGTCGCCTTATCTGAGGTGTTTTGAACGTGAATGCGTCCGTGACAAGGAAAAGTGGTCGCCATGGTCGAGTCGTCGCCAGATCCGAGTGGTCGCCATATCCGAGTGGTCGCCATATCCGAGTGGTCGCCATATCCGAGTGGTCGCCATATCCGAGTGGTCGCCATTACAGGTTTTACTGTACTTTAGCTAGACAGTTGTGATCAGTAAGCTACAAGTTACGCTATCATATCCTAGAACACCAGCAGTTACTTTACAATCAGCTCATGCGATAACATTGCACGACACGGCACGGACCAATCAACCCCAATGAAAAATGTCACTGAAGCGGGAAGAGATTTTTCAGCTTTGCTGCAAACCCACGATCAATTTCCAATACGAAACTTCGAATCCTGGTGGTGACAGTCAATTTTTTCTTCAGACTTTTACTGTTTGTGTCTTTCCCTCAAACCAGTGAGTATAAATATTACTAGTAATATTGCCATGTCAATTACAAACTCCAGTATCACCTTCTCTGACGAGCCTTCGATAGGCGAAACAGTTGTCAGAAGGAAATGTTTTTTTTACCCGTTACATCTTCGTTGTTTGAAATTATTGGTGTGAATAATAGCTACCGAGGGTGGCTATGGCCGCCTTTAAAGCACACGGAGGAGGAGAGTTTGTAGTATTATTCAACAGCTTAATGGCACCGTTCACAGTTTTATAGAATATTAATGGGATAACAATGGATTTTCTTCTTCTTTTGGCTGTTTCCTTAGATACTGGTAGTGATGGTTCTGAAACTACAACTTTACTGCAAACAACAATGTCACCAACAGTGAATAGCACGTCGCCAACGACAGAGCCAGAAACCACAGGTCAGTTACGTGTTATTAAGTTGATGAGTCAAGTGAAACATGCCATGATGAACTTTACATTATGTACACCTTTGAGACATCACCCACAATGAAAAGTGTCACTGTTGCCACGACAGTTTAGTAACATTCTTACCCAATGTCAATGAAGCGGGAAGACATTTTTTCAGCTTTGCTGCAAACCCACAGTTGATTTGGTTCATGTAAATCGTAGCATTTCATGGGAAAGTATGATGCAACAAATAAGATTTCAGTCTTTGACCACTTTGGTAGTGGGTTTGATCTTTGTACTCACCTCCCAGTGCTTTAGTAGCTGAATGTGCACTTTGGGCATTGAGGTTGTAGGCGTCGCTACGCATGCGGAAAATTCAGTGTAAAGTGAACTGTGAAATATTTTAGCCGATGTGTGAAACACGGAAAAAGGGTGCTAATAAAGTGTGATTGTGTCGGCCGTTAACCTAATGGCATTTCAGGCTTGTATTTTTGGAAAACATTGAAAACATCTCAACGTTGTGTAGTGCATTGTATTTGCTTTTTGCTGTTGTCTCAGGTACTGGGAATTCAAGTACTGGAGAAACAGCTTCATCAGCAACAACCATGGTATCAAGCACTACCCTGTCACCAAGCATGCTACCAACAAATACCACGCCAACTGAGGCATTGGCAACAAGTGCAGGTCAGTTTCCTGAAAAGTACAATCATGTTTCAAGTTGGCTTTACTCGGATGTCTAAGCGTTGTTTAGCTTTACCTATTCACGGTCCTTTTGATAGTTGCTAAGTATTGGAATGTGTTCTTGGTTGTAGCTTTCTTTGAAGGTTTCCTGTACCACAATGTACATTATCACTCTCTTAGTATTGACTTCCATTGATTCTTGCTATACATGTTACTAAAAGCAGTGAAATATTCCTGCATATTTCACTCCTTAGGGATATACTGACTGCTTATATTTGACTCCCTTATAGGCATTGAACACGTGCTTGGGTTTGTCGTGGTCAATCTAACATTGATTTCAAAGTACTGGAAGTAGCAGAACAATTGACATAGCACCGGCTTGTCGTTCAATTCCCCCTCCTCCCCCCCCCCCCCCCCCAGCGAACCCCAACCCCTATTTGGCCCTTTCAAAGTTGACAATCCCAGTGTACGATGGGCGTTTTGACTTCTCAGGACATCTCTTTTTCCCCCTGCATGTCACATTGCCTGATAGCGGTAGTCCAAGACGGGACCATTGTGCTGGGTCAATGGCAGATTTGAATAAAATGGGCATTGAGACTCCATTCTCATGCTGTTCTTCATATGTTGGGCTGCCGTGCATTGGGTACAGATTTGTACAGCTATGGAATAACTTTGCCAGGTGCCCGTCTTCAATGTTATGCTGGCTATGAGTCTCTGTCTTTGCATTTGCTGCTCTTTTTTGGAGGGCTTGCTGCCTCTTGGCGACATGGAAACTGAAAACATCTCTTGACGATCTATGTTCTGTAGAAGCAAAGAGCACATCGCCTACAGTGGCACAAGCCACTACTACTGCTGCAACACTAACAGCAACAGGTTAGTATTTTACACAAGTTCTATGCCATTTTTGAAAAATATGGAAGTTGCTGGTGCGGTTGGATTTTGCTGGCCATTTTTCGTGTTATAATTCATGCTTGTATATACAGGTCAGACCTTGCTATAACGACCCTCACTAGAATATAAACCTCACTACAACGTACGAAACGCAAATGTCCCTGCCAAAGCTCGCTGAGCATCCCATTGCTTTGTAAGTTGCTAATCCCTTCCCACTTTGTGTACGTACTCTTCATTTTCTTTTTTCTCTTCTTCCGTGGTTGGTCTCACCCTCTCCTCAATTCAATTGGCTGTCTTGACATGCCATGAGGTGCAGAAATAAATAAATAAATAAATAAAACCACATGACTTCTAAAAAATTGGTTGTGAGCAACACTGGCTCACACTCAAATCACTGCTTTTCACCAGAAAAATATTATATTTCAACGTTTCGGTCCTGAAATAACCATCATCAGGAATGATGACGGTTATTTCATGACCGAAACGTTGAAATATAATATTTTTCTGGTGAAAAGCAGTGATTTGAGTGTGAGCCAGTGTTGCTCACAACCAATTTTTTACTTATGAAGCTGCGTGATGCGTCCTACAAGATTTTAAATCACATCACTTCTGTATAAAAATTCCTCACTACGACCTAATCCGCTAAAGCGTAATTTTTGCTATAACACACTGTTTCGCTGCGTTCCCCTGGTCCCAAGTGCCCAGCGACCTCAATATAATACAACACGTTGTACAGGGCATCGTCTTTTCGGCCCAAATCACTTTCTTTTCTTGAAATTTCTGCTCACGGCTGCATACCCTTGCTTGCACTCAACACGTCTACTGACATTCATGCATTCTTCAAACACTACAGTCGTGCGGACTGGGTACATAATGTGTACTTCGAGAAGTAGTGTTTTCAACACAATGCAGTCGACACCCTAGTACAACACACGTCCTGAGTTGACCAGAGTGGATCATTACTACTTTAGCTAGACAGTTGTGATCAGTAAGCAAAGAGTGTAATTTTGACATACATGTTGCATACTGGTGTCCCCAACTCACTATAACATAAACGTTGCCCCACCCCGAAGATTCGGTTATAGCGAGGTCTGACATGTATTTGGGAATGTTATAAGGCAGCGGATAGTAATTTATTTTCTTCTTCTTTTTGGCTATTTTTCTTAGTTACTGGTGGTGGTGATTCTGACACAACTACTTTACTGGCAACGACAATGAAGAACACATCACCTACAATGATGCAAGCCACTACTACTGCTGCAACAGCAACTGGTTAGTACCTTACACAAGTTTTTAACCTTTTTTGATCAGATGGAAGTTGATGGTATGGTTGATTTTGTTTGCCTTTTTCTGTGGTGCAATCCATGCCCGTATATATTTGGGAAGGTAATAGGTTACAAGGCAGTGGATAATATCAAAATTTTGTATTCTTTTAGACAAGGGTGGAGAGCCAAGGATTAATTTATAGAAAGAAAAGAGAACCAAAAGAGCTACTAGTTACGCTATCATATCCTAGAACACCAGCAGCTACTTTACAATCAGCTCATGCGATAACATTGCACGACACGGTACGGACCAATCAACCCCAATGAAAAATGTCACTGAAGCGGGAAGAGATTTTTCAGCTTTGCTGCAAACCCACAAAATCGGTTGTGGCAACAAACGCGATTAGGCCGGCTGCAGGGACGCCGTAATGACTGTCGCACTCGCCCCAGCACCATTCAAACAATTCCCTTTGGCAGTTCACGGCACGAACTTCAACAAAGCCCCGTGAATGCGTACCAGGGGAAGGCTAGACAGCATGTCTCTAGACATCAATAGGCATCGTATGAAAAGCCAGTCAATAGCACTAAAGACCGAAAGCCTTTGTCACGGTTCGGTTTCACTCGCGCACCGGGCCCGAGCTGGCAGCACAAACAAACGCCGGACGCGAGCTGGCAGCACAAACAAACGCCGTACTCACACGAGCGTTGGGCGAACGGATGGCCACAGCCATCAAAAACAGGAACAAACCCATCCACGGCTCTTTCTCTTGCTAGCTGTGCTGCTGCGTGCATCCAACTGTTTTGCAATTTCTCCCTCCCACCCACGCCTCCTGGTATTTATTATCGCTCTACACTATCCTACGTCTCACAATGAGTGCCACTCAGCATGATGGTACTCCAAGCTACATTGTATTTGATCTGTCCTAGCTCACTATTCTGGACAAAATATTAATTCAATTGCAATGAAGCGCCGGGGGCCGACGGGGGCATTCGGCGGCTTGGTCTGATTCCTAGCTTGTTGGTAACCGGCTTGAGATTTCCAAGGTTGCTATGACAACGTGCAGTCATGCGCAGGGCCACCCAACATGCATTTGGGGGCCCAGGAAAGACAGAAACGCGTTGCTAGGCAACAGCAAAAGCGCTCGGCGAGTATCACGCTACTCATGCAGCACGCACGTTGGCTTAGGGTATCACGCTACCCTTGCGCTGCGGGGTACCACATAATTGCCCCTCGCTGGAATCAGACCCGCGCCCCGGATACCTTGCGCTGGCCTCCTGACGGCCAAACTCAACCAACTACTTGTGCGCTGTGACTGGGGTTGTGCATGTATTAGCAACATAATGTGGCCCAGGTCGGCAGACTTTCAATTAGCCAAGCGAGCTACTCAGGCCAGGGTGCATGATCACTATTCGCAGCACTTATCGTCCATGCAGCAGTCGGGTTAATCAATTTCCAATACGAAACTTTGAATCCTGGTGGTGACAGTTAATTTTTCTTCAGACTTTTACTGTTTGTGTCTTTCCCTCAAACCAGTGAGTATAAATATTACTAGTAATAATATTGCCATGTCAATTACAAACTCCAATATCGCCTTCTCTGATGAGCCTTTGATAGGCGAAACAGTTGTCAGAAAGAAATGTTTTTTTACCCGTTAGTCTTCGTTGTTTGAAATTATTGGTGTGAATAATGGCTACCGAGGGTGGCAATGGTCACCTTTAAAGCACATGGAGGAGGAGAGTTTGTAGTATTATTCAACAGCTTATAAATGGTGTTAGGCTGACTGCCTAGCTTTCTTTTCTCTCTCTCTCCTTCTTCTCTTTTCAGGTGTTAGGCTGACTGCCTAGCTTTCTTTTCTCTCTCTCTCTCTCCTTCTTCTCTTCTTTCTCCTTCTTACCTGACTCTCAAATCTTGTGACATCTAACGTTTCAATAACTTTCAATAACTCTTCTGAAAAATGATACCCCGGGGGTTTCGTTTCGCCACGTTCAACGTGCGCGGACTTTGTTCTGCGTCGAAGCAACAGCAACTAGCTCGTGACATGGACGCCTATCGTATTGATTTCTGCGGACTTCAGGAGCTCAAGATGACAACGACCGTCGATAAGCCTCTCGGTGATTCGCATCGGTTTGTCAGCTTCGGTCAAGCAGAGGGCCGGCATGGAGGTAATGGATTTGTCATATCGAACATGCTCAACAAATTTGTATCAACATTCCAAAAAAAATCCGACCGAGTCGGAACTGTCGACCTCTCCATTCCGCAAGGCAAGGGCAATACCTTACCTGTTCGTTTCGTCGTGGCATATGGCCCCACAAACCCAGCAGCGCAGAGTAATCCTGAGGTTCGTGAAAGGTTCTATGACGCCTTGTCCACAGCCTGGAACAAGTGCAGTGGAAGAACACTCGTGATTGGGCTTGGTGATTTTAACAGCAAGGTCGGAGCAGGTGAAGCAGCGTGTGTGGGTCAATATGGCAAAGGTGTAAGAAATGACAATGGTCAAGCGCTGGTAGAGTGGGCTAACATGCATCATCTGGTGTTGGCTAATACGCTCTTCCGCTACTCAATGCGCTATAGACCCACATGGACTGGATGCATGGCATCCCCTGATGGCCTCAGGAAAATGATCCACAACATGATTGACTACATCGTGATCCCAAAGCGCTACAAGCCACTAGTTGTGAGAGCTCGTTCGTATGCTGGAACCGAGACATTCAGCGATCATAAAATAGTCATTGCGGACATGGAACTGACTGGTCTATACCGTGTACACATTGCCGCAGCAGGCAAGGCCGCTGCTCCCATCGCAATCCAGAGACTAGAAAACGCTGACGTCCGTAAGGAATATCAGTCCAGCCTCTGCCAGAAACTGCGTGAACAACCTGCATCTTGTGGGTCATCTGACAGTGGCTCCGTGATCAGTACCTGGGACTCAACAGCGCAAGCGGTCATCGACGTGGCAGAGAGCACTCTTGGACGCATGCACAGAAGCGGTTCACGCAGGGTTTGTGTACCTAATCCAGAGGTTGAAACCCTCTCACGGCGCCAACGGGAAATCAGATTACTTCAGCAATCAGGCCATCACAATCCAGAAGAGCTAAAGAGGGAACGGAACTGCATCATGCACCAGATCAGAAATATTCAGCGCAGCGATGCCATGGAACGCCTGGATAGGATTGCAGAGCGGGTTGAAAAGGCACCTACATCTGCTCAGATGTTTACTGCAGCAGCGCAGCTAAAGAGTGGTAGTGGACAACGATCACCATTGATTGTCGAGCGAGCTGATGGATGTATTCTTGCTCATGCCACAGACAAGGCCAGTCGAGTTCGAGATCACTTCTCCTCACAATTCAGTGCCAAAACAGCAGGTGAAATACCACCGCCATCACCATACTCCCTCGCCACTCCCATCTCCGAATCTGAAGTCGCCACTACCTCTCGCTAAGCCTAACAAGCCCAAGGGTCCTGTAACCAGTCTGCGGCCCATCACTTTATTAAACTCTATCCGCAAAGTGATATCGATCATTGTGCTTCGGCGCATCACGGAATCCGGGGCACTCTCCCGTCATCTTGGTACTACACAGTCCGGCTTCCGCCCGGGCCGTAGTACAGCGGATGTGGTATGGACCCAGCGGTGGATCGCTGCAAGAGCCATTCGTTACCGACAGCAATTTCACATTCTAGGCCTGGACATGTCCAAGGCCTTCGATACGATTAACCGCCTGAAGCTGCTGGAGGTGATGTCTGCAATCACCAATCCAGATTGCACATGTCTCATCCACCACCTACTCCACAACACAACTATCACTGTTAAGGTTGCAAGTGCCACAGCTGAACCGTTTGAGAGCACTATTGGAACACCACAAGGCGACAGTCTCAGCCCAGTTCTCTTCATCTGCTATCTGGAGGCTGCACTACAGGAATGCAGAACTCGTCTCGCGCCCCGCCCTGCTGGCGACGCAAGTCTACCACCAGAGACGGGTTATGCAGATGAAATCTCCTATTATTCAACCTGCAGGCTGTGGCTTGAGAATGCTCTGCCTGTAATAGCAGACACACTGCACGATTGGTCATTAAAAGTAAATCCAGATAAAACAGAGTGGATCCGTGTGTCACCTGAATCCGAGAGCTGGCGGACATCTAGGCAGCTTGGCTCCTTGATGGGGGAGGAAGAGGATGTTCGGCGCAGGATGGAACTTGCCTCTCGCGTGTTTGGCCAGCTGTACGCCCTATGGCTGCGTAGAGATAAAGTAGCGGAGAAGACACGCTTACGCCTGTACAACGCTATCGTACTGCCGACATTCCTGTACAATTGCGAGACCTGGGGATTATCGTCAACAGCAATGGCCAAGGCAGACGCATTCCACCGGCGTCAAATGCGATCACTCCTTGGAATACGATACCCAGACACAATTTCAAACTACGACCTATACCGCAGAACCAAGAGCAACCCTATATCAGACACAGTTGCATGTAGGCGACTACGAATGACCGGTCATGTGCTACGGATGGACACGGACACGCCACCGCAAGTAGCCATGAGCGGCTATTTTGACAAGGGCAACAAAGCACCTCGTGGACGGCCAAGGTTGACACTGGCCACAAGTCTGGTCGCTCAGCTGAATAAGCTGGGTGTGCCAATGAAGACCATGGAAGACCTTTCCAGGTGCCGACAACAAGCAGCAGACAAGACAGACTGGAGGAAACTGTGCAGCTCGACACCCGGGGAGAAATCGGTATCAGCAGCTACTACACCTAGCTGATAATGCTCACAAGACAGAAGCGGAAAAAACACTGAATTTCTTTATTTAGTGCTCTACTACGCGAAATGTGCTATTATTATTATTATTATTATTCCCTGGTTCGAGTCCTGGTGGTGACAGTCAATTTTTTCTTCAGACTTTTCCCGTTTGTCTCTTTCCCTCAAACTAGTGAAGATTATTATTATTATTATTATTATTTTGAACGGATTGGGAGAACATCAAATTCAATGGATCAGTTGGGGAAGTGAA